GTAATATTATTTAATTACTTAGGACTGCTCTCTTTTTAGAAGATATATTAATTCCTCTAGTTCTTAAGTGTCCTTAATAGAGTGTCTCTAGCTTCTAAGCTATTTATAGCCTACTATTCCTAACTCGAATAGAACCTTTATAAATAGTTTCTTTAGAAGTAGCTTATCTATTATTTTTTATTTACTATTTATATACTACTCTATAGTAATTATATACTTCTAATACCTTATTAGGAATGTCTAGTAGTAACTCTAAGTATTATATCTCTAGAGTTTAATTTATATTAGGCTTCTAAGTATATTATAGATATCTATAGTAATTATAGATCTAAAGAGAGTCTTAATATACTTAAATAATCTATAGGCTAACTTAGTAGTACTACTCTAGTTTAGCCTAATAGATAGATTAAGCCTTATTATAATAATACTATATATAATTCTATTATTCTTTATAAACTCCCTTATTTTAGCTAAGTTATCTACTATATTCGCTAGCGGCTCTACTTTTATAATCTATAGTTTATTATAAATAATATATTCTACTATATCGTTCTTAAGTAGCTTACTAATTAGAATCTTCTACTATAGTATAAAGGTATCGCCTCTTCTAAGAACCTAGTTCTTCTTAGCTAACTTTACTATAGTAGCTATAGTAAGTTTTAATTAGACTTAGTAGTAGGAAGGTTCGGCTAGTAAAAGCTAATTTAAGCTTTTCTTAAATATAGAGAGAGAGTAGATAATATAGGTTGTTTTAAATAATTAATTAAATACGAGTGTTTCTAGAACACTCTAGGCTTATAACCTAACGTAAGTATATAGGTATTTATATAAGAATTAATAATCCTTTTAATAGCTATACTAGAAATATTAGAGCTATATACTATATATAAGTACTAAGAAGCTAAACCCGATTCTTATATCTAGTACTATCTAGTACGTAACCTAGTACTATCTAGTACCTATATTAGGTAATCTAGTATATTTATAATAGAAAGTATATTATAGGGGTTCGTAAATTAGGATAGATTAACGCTAGTTACTTAGTATATATGTCTATATACTATCTCTACTAAATATTATCTTTTATATACTATCTACTATTTAAAGTAAGTTAGTAGTACCTCTATTATATACTCTATATTCTATACCTAATTTTATCTATTAAAATCTTATACTAGGTACGAATATAAGCTAATTTAAGAGCCTAATAGTCTATCTAATATAGAGCCTCTCTATATAGCTTTTTAAGGCTCTCTTTAAGTAGAAGCTATACTCCTTTAATTAGATTAAGGTTAGGGCTTTATATAGGGTACTAGTAAAGCTAAATTAGGTGTTCTTACCTAATCTTCTCGGGTAGATTATCCTTTAATCTATAACTATATAATAGATTACTATCTTCTATTAAAATAGTAGAGTAGTATTAATTCTTTATCTATTTAATCTATTTAATATACTTTAGAAGGATATACTCTATATAGTAGAGCTAGCTTATTAAATTACCCTTCTTCTAGGTGTATAGGGGCTCTAAATTAGCCTATTCCTTTAACTCTACTTAATACTACTCTTCTATCTTCTACCTTCTGTTTCTTCGTAGTTTTTAGCCCTTCTAGATTTCTATAATATACCTATAGTTCTACTATTTATTATTATAGAAGACAAGCTCTAATGTATACTACTAAGAGACAGAGGTAGTAATATAGGCTACTAAATAGTTAGGCTTAGGTTACTTATATACTATCCCTTTATAATTACCCTTCTTACGAAAGATTCGTTAATAAAGAGATATAGCCTTATTAATATAAGCCTTATCTATCTAGTAAATCTATTACTAGAGGCTATCTACTATCTCTACTCTATATTAGTACCTATATTTAATCCTTAGCCTCTTATTAGTTTATAAGATCTAAATAGTACTCTACCTCTTACTACGTAGTATTTGTAGCTGCCTTTTATTTATTCTCCTTGTTAAGGTTATATATAAGCTTACTATATACTTTTAGAAGAAGAAATAGTCCTATTTTCTTAAATCTTAGGGACCTTTAGCTATTATCTTAACCTAGTAGAATAGATCCTTCTTTTTAGGCCTAGGTGCCTACTTTCGTAGTAGTCTTCGGGTAGGGAATAGCTCCTCTTCTACTCTTAGCTATATACGTTAGTAGAGCTAATTACTAGCTATTATATAGGTAGAGTACTATTCTTTATAGCTATAGAGTAGAAGTATTTAGTATATTAGTCTTTAGATGTATATTAGTTCTGTATAGATGTAAATTTCTATAGTAATTTCCCTTTCTCTTTAACCTTTCTAAATAATTTCTAAGTATAGGAGGCATAGTAGTAGTAATACAGAGCCTTTAAAAGAGGTGTTGGTAGGGAGGTCTGGTATGCCAAGCAACTAGCGTCAATCCATCCTAATTTGCGAACCCCTGTAATATAGTGCTTTTCTTGGCAGGTTTCGTGTGACACCCCGCTTTGCTGGGTGCTCGGCGAGCCGTGACACATCGCAGGCAGATCGGCAACCTGGTATCGGCGGATATATGATGTCGCATGCATCCGTACATTGAAAGGCATCCAACCTCCCTGAGTCTCTGGGTCAAAAGGAAGAGAGAGAGGGAAAACGCATTGCGTGGAACTGTCGAGTCGGCATATTGTGCTTTTCTTGGCAAGCTTCGTCAGCACATCGAGCGTTCCTCGGCAAGCTGACTGCCGATACTATTCGCGCGGATCGGCAGGACGTACTCGGCAACACTGTCCCACGTCTTAGTACATACTGCTCGTGCTCTGCAATTGATATGATTCCTCTTGTCGTTCCGATTGAGAGAGGCAAAGAAAAAACAAAGACATCTGCAGCAATCCGGTCGCTGGAGTGCCGAGGATCCCGCACAGCCGGCTTCAGTCAGCAGGCGGAAGGCAGCCGATTCGCTCGGACGCCCCCGCCTCCAGCTTTGTTGCCTCCAACCATCCAGCCGCCTGCGGCCATCTCGACATCTCCATTAACAGCGACTTCATTTCCATCATTATCATCAAAACATTTCCATCTGAACCTTCTTCCATGTCGTCACCTACGGCATCGTTCGGCAGCGATCTCCCCACTTCGGTTCACGCATCGCCCGACCTGCACGGCAACGGCAGCAGCTCTCCCGCGACGAGCGTCGAGATTGCGCCCGAGGAGCAACAGTCCGACGAGGAGCGCGCCCGACAGAATCAAGCCAAGCAGCGCGGCAACAAGACTCAAGAAGAGCAAGAGAATCAGCAGCAGCAGCAGGGGGAACAACAAGAAGAGGTACCGCGTAGGGTAGTGGAGGTCCTCGAGACATATACCAAGCTTGCGGAAGGTCAGCCCCTTCCGACGCGACAAGAAGGAGGATCAGAGGACGCACACGACCTCGAGTGGACCCTCACACCCAATCAATACCAGCACTTGCGACGCATCATTGCCTCGCGCGACTCGCGCTGGATCGCCGCCGCACGCTGGGCACCCGACAAAGCCCGCGAAGAGTACTGTCCACAGAAGCAGCTTCTTCGCCTCCGCATGTGCGAACCCATCCACGGCGAGACCGCACACTTGGCAGCCCTCGCCATTCTAGATGCACTGAAGAAGCGCCTAAAGCAGGACCCTTCGTTGCTCCAGTACCGGAACACTTTCTTCGTCGGCTCCAATTCGACTATCGAGCTGAAGGAGGGCGACGAGAGGTATCCACAGGTCCCGGACGCATCCATCAAGATAAGCGGGACATGGCTTCCACCATTCGTGATTGAGGTCAAGTTCTCGAACCCGCTGCCCGACAGCAAGGCCGAGAACTACATTTACGGGAGTGAAGCAGACATCCGGACTGTTCTGTATCTGAACATCGACTACCGGAGCCCCAAGGAGCGGAAGACAAATTGCGATCCATATAAGATGACCATCTCTCTCTTCCGTCTCGAGCCTGAGTCTGCTGATCCGACATGCATGTACCCAACGCCGTTCCTTCACAATGTTCCAATTCCCTCTACACTGGAGCTCGAGCAAGACCCTACACTCCGGAACCAGGACCTCACCCTCCGACTGGGCGACTTCCATCCCGAGCTCGACTTCAAGGACACATTTACCGTACCCTTCAGCGAAATTCGAGCGCTGCTGGACCACGCCATCGAAATTCAGCGGCAGAAAGATGAGGGTAACAACAAGAGAAGCAAGGAAGCGCCTCGGATAAAGCTGGGTGACAGAAAGAGGACCAGAGAAGAGGCACAACCGGATTCAGACGAAGGCAGGACTCCAACCACGAGTTCGGACACAGGCGAGGAAGATGATACGGAGTACAAGCCGTCCACTGCCAAGCGAGTGAAGCGAGATACGCAGCTTCCTGCGCGAGAATCCCGCCGCCGCTCAAAGGCCACGGAGAGTTCATCATGCGGTGAAGGGGAGTCCTGATCCATGGGTATGACTTCAGAGATCGTCCGAAGCTACGACACTCCATCTGGAGCGCACCAACGTCCCCAGGAAGGCCCAATCCTTTCAGTGATCACCGATGCTGTCTGACCGAACGAGGAACCCTGGTTACTAACAGCGCCGCTGTAGGCGCTCTTGTGGCGTCAGCGCCTGGTCAGCTGTTCTTCGAAGACGTCCGATCGGTCTGTTGGAGATATGCATCCTTTGGGGCTCGGCATACCTGAGTTTGGCTCTTGTGAAGTTGAGATGTGATAATGCCGGCGACTGCAGAGGGGTCATTCTCATGTCTTGTGTTACCGTGGGACGGATGAAGGGGAGGTGGAAGTGTGGGGTTCCTCTAGCCTTCTTTGCTCGTCTGGAACGGATGCCGCAAACCGTGATGCGGGCATCTCGGAGTACGGATGTATCGATGGATTTCGATCTCGCTCGTGTTGCATTATCTCTTCAGATTTCGACCTCGTGAGTCGTCCGGCTTTAAAGGAATTGGATATTCTGAATCGAAGTGTCTTCCAATCTCTCCCAGCGTGTGGCCCCTTTCACTCTCATCTACCCTGTCATTCATTGGTCTACAGCGCTGCCGTCTCGTTAAACAATAGACGAAGGTATGCGAGCACGCTGACTCCCTTCTTCTGTCTGGGATGAATGGTCCACGCGGCCATCCGTCCATTGAGGCACATGGGCTGATATGCGTGCACCCCGATCGTAAACATCTGCTGCCTCTGTATCTGGCTTTAAGATCGGGTTCAGAGACTGGATGGATTTCGATAGGACTGATTAGATTGGACACTCCGAAAGAAGAGCCTTCTCCCTCTGCTGCTCGGTGTCTACCACTTCTTTTTCCCCCTCGTGGTAGTAACCTCGTCAGGCGGGTGGAAATTCCAGAGAGGGCGTACGCGAGGTGAGATCTGTCCGCGAAATCAATGTCTCATGCATCTTCCCTCGCCCTCGCCGAGGTAGTGTTCATTTTGTCGGAGTTGCTGTCGATAAGGTAGCATTGGGCGGGGCTTCAATCATTTGTCTAGGAGGCAGAATCCTGCAGGCACAATTCGTCCCTTAAGCATAGTCTGCTGCTCGCTTGTATACACCTCGAGTCCATTGCTTTATTTGTAGGTACTGTAGGCTGTACCTGGTACCCGGCGTGCGGATGCTCGATTGGTCTAGGAGAGAAGGTTAATATAGCATGAAATTTCTCGCTACACGTAGTACGATAGTGTAGGCGAGCCGGCTTATTACTCCGTTTAAGACTACTACTATTAGAAATATATACATATAAGGGAGCTTCTCTTAGGAGACAATTTAGAGAGGCCCTATATTAGATAGACTATTAGGCTCTTAAATTGGCTTATATTCGTACCTAGTATAAGATTTTAATAGATTAAATTAGGTATAGAATATAGAGTATATAATAGAGGTGCTACTAACTTACTTTGAATAGTAGACAGCGTGTAAAAGATAATATTTAGTAGAGATAGTATATAGACACATATACTAAGTAACTAGCGCTAATCTAACCTAATTTACGAACCTCTATAGTAGCGAACAGCAGTTGTACGGCATCTGTAAGGCACCGGAAAGCAGAGATGGATGGAAGATATCGACAACGGGGGGGGGGTGTGGTGTGGATTTGGTTTAGTGTAAGGCGGCACGATATGGCGGGAGCGTAACGGGCGGTCGGCGTCGCTGTTGCCCTGCGTAAGGTTGCTGACTCGTCTTCCCGCACTTGCAACTGCCAACATCCTTCACACTTTCGTCGCTGCTGCCTCTCTTGGAGCATTCCCTCTCGAAGCATTTCCCTCTTGGAGCTTCCCATCTTGGACGCGCCCGGCATTGTACGACACGACACGACACGACACGACACGCGCACGACAACCTCGATACTGCATCCACGCATCTGCGGGGACACGGCGGAGACGGGCCATCCTTCCTCTCGGCTTCCCATCGTGCCTCCCGACGGCGAAGTGCATGGTAAGTGTGGCATGAGCGACCGGGGTGCTCGGTCTGCTTGTCTGCCTCTCATCATCATCGCGCTGTCTATCTATCCGCTCCAGTCGTATCCATCTCACCACACCCTCCCTCGTGGGAACTGGAAGGGGGGGAGCTGCCCGCCAGACAGACACACGTCGACATACCTTACCTTAACCACCCATCTCCACCTCCACCTCCACCTCCACCTGCCTCCCTCCACCACTTCACGCGACACGAGACACGACCAGACGAGACAAGAGACGAAACTGACGATGCGAATTCGGTAGCAGAGCAGCAGCGCAGCAAGGCATGGCCACATAGCCGCTCCTTCCATGCCAACTCCTCCGTCATGAGGGCGCTTTCGCGCGGCGGCATCCACCCGATGCTGCTCACTCTCATCCTTGGCCTCGCCTTCATATCGCTCCCGGCACACGCCGCCTTCATCACCTTCGAGAATTGCCTCTCCTCCCGCATCACCGATTCCCGCCCGAAGCAGTTGCAGTTCACGCCCTCATTCGTCGATGCGACCTTCCTCAACACCGTCGGCAGCACCTACGTGCTCAATTTGACCATCTTTGGCAACGTCTCCGGCTCTCAATTCCAAGGCGCCTATCCGCTGCCGTCAGATCCGCAATGGAAGAACGACAATGAGTCATTTGGCAAGATCACGAATGTCGGCACAGCAAACAAGTTGGCGACCTTGACAGCAGAGTACAACGTCCTGACATACACGGCATACAAGAACGATGGTACCGAGTTCTGCAACACCCTGGTAAATGGCACAGGATATGACTGCCCGCTGGGTCCGGCGTTCTATGCCAACGCCAGCGATCCGTCCGACATCCCGCGCTTCACCATTCAACACGACTTCGGCAGCTCCTACGCCTTCAGTACCATCTCTACCACGGTCCACGTCATCTCCGGCGATACTGGCGCCCCCGATGTCGCCTGCATCAGCGCTCAGATCTCACCAGATCTGGGTCCCAACATTGCTGGGCTGCTCACGTGGCTCCCGGCTGCCATCTTGATACTTAAGGGGATCGCGACGCTGTCGGCTGCCATCTGGTCGCCGTGGGGAACCTCGGACGTCTTCAAGTGGAGTAGTAACTACGGAAGAGACGAGGATCTGCTGCGCTTGGTCACACCTGGCTTTGGAGATTGTCTTCAATACATCCAGTTTGTAGTCTTGACGGGCAGCTTGACACTGCAGTATCCCGGCTTCTTCCAGCCGGCAGTCAGTCAAGCAAGTTGGTCGACACTCCTCTTCAACGAGAGCTACGTTACCGGCGGCGACGGCAGGGTGAGCCTCATTGATGGATTGTACGCCACCAACGCCACCTACGGCTTGACCAAGATGAGCCAGTACATTGGAATGAGCGCCGCACAGGATATTTGGGCATGCATGGCCATCTGGCTTGTTGTGATTGCCGTGGCCGTCGTGGTGGCCATCCAGATTGGATTCTTCTGCCGCTGGGCTTTTCGGGCCATCAGGAACATCCAAGAAGAGGACCTCCGCCAGAAGAATGTGCCTTTCACGCTTGGGAACATCATCCGCTTGGTGTTCAACTACTTCATCCTCCCGATTGTCGCTCTCAGCCTTTTCCAGTTGGTGATATCGACGCACTCACCCGCTAGTGTCGTTGCGTGCGCCGTGGTATTGCTGCTGATCATGATTGTCTGGGCTGCGTTTATCTTACGCGTAATCTTCCGGACAAAACCGAGAGCAATGCTCTTTGACGACCTGACGACTGTATTGCTTTACGGACCCTTGTACAATACCTACAGCGACAGCGCTGCCCCGTTTGCGCTCATTCCCGTTTTCATTACCTTTATGAGAGGTGTTGCCATCGGAGCTGTGCAACCTAGCGGCATTGCGCAAATCATCATCCTGGCCATCTGCGAGGTCATTCTCGTGCTCACGCTGAACGGATTCCGGCCTTTCCAGGGACAGACCAGCATGAACCTGTATCACACGTTCTTTGCTTTGGCCCGTCTTGCCACAATACTTCTCATGATCGCCTTCGTGCCCACACTGGGCGTCACTGAAGCACCGAGAGGCTGGATTGGATACATCATCTTGCTCATTCACGCCTGCGTGCTCGTATTTGGCTTCTTCCTCAACTCGGCTCAAACGATCATTGAAGTCATCGCCCGTTCCCTCGGCGCTGGTCACGACGCTCAAAACGGCGCCATTAGGGGTAGCGTCCTGAATTGGCGTACGTTGAAGAAGCGACCCAACCGCACCGAAGCCGACCGTGCTAGTATGATGAGTTCGGCTGCGATGCTGCGCGACACGGAAGGCAACGCTGGGTATGGCACACGATCCAGGAGTATTTCTGCCAGTAGCCAGCAGCTGCTAAACCGAATGAGTGGCTTCGAGAATTTCTCCAGCGCAAACGAGAATCTGACTTCACCCGACCCGGATTCTTCCAACGGATTCAACACGATGACCAGCAGTGCCAACGGCAAGTCAGTAATCGCGACCAAGGCTGATGGTGAAAATTACTACCGACCTCCGCGACCCAGGAAAGCGACAGTCGATGCCATGTCCAACCCTGGCATCAAGACTCGGAGCGGCGCCGACTTCCCTTACCAAGACTCTCCCACTCCCGGACACGCGAGAGACGCCAGCTACGACAGCGGCGCATTTGGATCTCCCCAGCCTGCCTACTTCCGCGCGAGACACGATTCCGCCGAAGACGCAAACCGGAACACCGATTACGCAGTGCGCGAAGTCGATCAGTACTATAGAGGCCCCGCGCTGAACGATCAACCATCGAGGAAGCTCAAGACCGGCCCAGCGGATCCCGAGGGTCCGGCGTCTACCGCGCAGACCTGGTTTCAGCGCATGGTGTTTGGTGTCAAGGGCAAGAAGAAGGATCAGAGTAAGGGTTTCGAAGTGGTACGGTCGTCACGGATGCCGCCTGGGATGCAAAGAGAAGCGCCTCAGGGTGAAGGTATGGAGCTGCAGCAGAGTCCAGCAATGCGTGAGCCATATCGGGATTCGCCCCAGACGCCGGGCAAGGAGACTCAGGCTACTGCTGGCGCAGAACGCTCTTTTGGCAACTCCAGGGAGAGGTCTCTAAGCCCGACTGACGACATTGCGTCCCAACCACCGACCCAGAACTTCGATTTTGGCTTTGAGGACCCCAACAATTATCCCTCGAGCAGTGTCCGGCCTGACAGCGAGACTATTGGTGCTATAGAGCATCCTGTCTTGCAGCCGATCAGTACCGAGCACCGTGCTTCCATGGGTCCGAGTGGTCTTCAGCGTGGTCTGAGCCAGGTCACCATGCAGGACGACCACCGTGCGGACGACTCGGACGATGATGAAGAGCTCAGCACGGTCCGTCACTTCGACCAGCCTGTCCCGATGCTCAATCCAATAGACTCGGTAGGCGGCATCGATTTGCCCTCTCGCTTCAATTCTACCGCTGGCTCACATGGCCCTTCGCGCATGAATTCGAACGTCGGCCCAAGTCGCAACCAGGGTGGTCTCGGTGCTCCAGACCCATTGTCTCGGGGTGCTTCGCACAGAAGTGGAAATGCTGAGGTGATCGGCAATTCGCAAGGTGGACAAGACTGGCTTCGAGCAGTCGAAAACCTTGAGTGGAACCACGATCGCCAGCCTTCGACCCGCGGCAATCCACAGCCAAGAGGATCCATAACCCACGAGGACTTCCGACCTCCGCCACCATCTGTCCCGCGCCGTAACGCTCGCCGCACACATTCTCAGGAGCAGGCCGCCTTACGCTCGCCATACCAGCCCCCGAACAACGGCAATCTCTTCGAGGGATTCGATAGTGACGGACCCACGCCAGACGGTCTTGATGCACCGGCCGAGGAGCAGGCCGTCCCGGCACCTGCAGGACAAGGACACACCCACAACGTGTCTCACCATCGTGCAGCAGACAGCATCACCCGGAACAGCTTTGGGGCTAACGCGGCTTTGAATGCGAGCAGCGCAGCGGTGGAGTATCTCGGCGAGACGCCGCCGCAGCAGCACGGTGAGGGCTACCTGAAGTAATGTCGCAGCGTGTGTAGATGATGCCCATTGTCTTTTTGAATTAGCGTGGCGCTTGGGAGGACAAGACGATGCGATTACGACGGGGTGCGTTGGAGAAGAGTCGGCTTTTCTTTTCTGATTCGATGTACGTACTACACGTTTGGCTTCTGTGTGATTCTTTCTGACTACACCGGGGTAATGAGGCTGGGCGGAGACACAAAACGTGAGACGATGGATGGGATGCAATGGAATACGAACGACCAACAGTATAGAAACCGACGCGATTGCAAAGATAGGGAAAGGAAAAGCAGATGCTATTGAATAATTGTATTCAAACTATGACCTTGACGTACGACGACATCCCGTGGCGAAGCACATTTCTCCCTCAGACGCGCTTCCTGGAGATTTATTTCGTGAATTTCCTGCTCGGTTTCTGTGTGATAGTAAATGGCTCATTCGTGGTCGGTCTGGATGATGGCGAGCAGGCATGTCCAAAGCGCGGAGGCACGTCCGACGCCGGGGAAGATGAGCAGCGACATAATCATGCCTGCAAGTCAAGCGAACTAGTGAAGCGAAACACGTGACGAGGGAGAGTCGGGAGTATCCGAAAGATGTAGCTCTTCTCCTTTCGCTGTATCATCGGCGTACGCTCGTCATATCTCACACAGCAAGCTCTCGATGGGCAGGACGAAATGCAGGACCGCACCGAGCGAAGGATGTCCTGGCTTTCTCTAAGGCGTCGGCGCACCACGGGCAATCTGAAGAGTCTGCCGAACGGACACCAAGTCTCCCAGGAAGGCGTACCTGCAATAATAATGCCGACGACGAAAGATCGGCCACCACCCAGTCTCCGACCCTTCTCGCAGCCTGATGTCCCGCGAAGTAATGCTGAGAACGCGAATCTATTCTATGCGTATGCGCAGAAGGTAGGGAGCCATCGCAGCGTAGACGAGGACCTGCATCTGATCCGTGTCCCACAGGGCGACGACACGTCTTCTCGCTATAGCCTCACCTTCGCCTCTGCTTCTTTTGCCGACGACTGGTACAAGCTCGTGAAGCAGCACTTCCCGAATACCAATCGCCCGGCGCCACAGCTCTTCTCTTTCAGAACCGATGACTTCCTCTCCAGAGCTTGGCGACACCCGGCATTCGGACACCTCCAGACGAAATGGATGTACACTACTTTATCGGACACGAGCTCCGATAGTAGTCTTGGGGGAGAGGCGCAACGCAGTATGCCGGTTCAAGATGAGCAGGGAAATATTCTGGGGGGAGCCGCATCGCCGTCCACGAGTGCGGACAGCGGAAGGACGAGAAGAGAAGTCAAGGATATGAAAGATGGTGTTGGCAGGGTGGGCGAGCATTCCGAGAAGATGATGGAAACTGTCGAGAGGAATACGGAAGGCGCCAGGAAGTCGGCTGAAGCAAGGGAAGAGCATGGACATTATGGACAAGCGGATGGCCATTCCAGGGAACATTTCTACATGCGCGAGCTCTCTGGCCATTTCGGCCGGATGACGGACCTTCTCGAACGAAACACGGAGCATATGGAAAACCTATCGAAGCGGCAGTTTGACCATGAACAGAAATTGCAACAGGCATTGGAGAGTATGAGTGCGAGGCAGAGTCCGGACGCTCTGGATCTGTCGCGGTTTTCATCGCACCTAGATCGAATACAGCAGATGATGGAGCAGTCTTTGCAGGAACGTCAAGATTCTGCGCGGAGCGCGAGAGAGAAGCCTCCTTCGGTGAATCTTTCGCCCTTGGCGGAGGGATTGGGGAAGATGCAGGAAGCCGTGGAGCAGAACTCTACCTTGATGAAAGCCCTCTTGGAAGAAAGCTCGCAACAAGATCCGGAAGCTCCAAGAACCCCATTTGGGGCTCCGTTCCGACCACAGCAAGTCGATCTGTCTCCGCTTGACGAGCGTCTTCAGGGCATATTGGACGCTATCCAACAGCAAAACTCGCACATGCAGGCTCTCGTTGGGTTTGCCAGTGGTGGTCAAGCTGGCCAGAGCGGCGACTCACCGCCACCAGCAAATACCAGCCTTGCCCCCCTCAGCGAGCACTTGGAGCAAATCCACAACGCCATTGAGGAGGGTAACAAGCAGGCGAGGGAAGCAGCCGCGAAATTCCGGCGAGAGAAACTCGTCGATTTCAAACCGTTGACAAGTAGGCTAGACGCACTGCAGAACACCACAAAGACAAATGTCAACCATTTTGAGAAGTTGCTTGACGCACAGAAGGCTATACGGCAGGCCTTAGAACGGGATCGGCGCGAGCTCGACTTCTCCCCCCTGGCGGAAACTTTGGGTCATGCGATAGAAAACCAGCACGCGCCTCTTTTGGAACAGTTGCAGTCCATCAACAGCGGAATTACTCGCAATGAAGATGTTTTCACGACCGCCATCACTGATGTGCTCGGAGGCGTGGATCTTACCGAGCTGTACAGTCGATTAGATGCCCTTCAAGAGGCCGTCCAAAAGAACAGCACTGACACAACTCAAACGATAGATTGTGCGTCGCTGAAAGGCCACTTGGAAGCGATACGAGAGACAATCGCCTCCAATGCAGAGCAACTCACAGCCCTGATCGAAGCCCAGCGGGCTCATGCGACGCCCACGGACAAGACTGGACCCGATATCGATCTCACGCCACTCACAGACCACCTAAACCGCATCCACACCTCGCTGGAGAAAGCCACAAAACCAGACCCCCCTCCCGGCCGCTCGGGCTCGGGCTCCGGAGATCCCAAATTCGTCCTCAAAGCCCTCACCTCGCACCTCAGCCGGATCCAATCCGTCACCGAAAGCAACGCCCAAACCGTGCACACCCTCCTCCAACGCACCCCTTCCCCTTCCCCCTCCCCATCCACAAACGAAAAACTACACACCTACATCGCCGACGCCCTGGACTCGCTCCGGCGCACGAACGCGCGACAGAAACGACAAGAAGGCGATCTGGAAGGTTTGGAACGCAAGGTGGAAGCTACGAATTCCCAATTCAGGGAGTTGATGGGCGCGCAGAGGGATATGAATCGCGTTCTGAGGACTTTGGCGGAGGCGCTCGCGGCGCAGAATCCGGCGTCCTGTGGGCATGTTGTTATTCCGCCGCCTAGGAAGATTGGGAGGAAGGTTGTGGGGTTTGTTTATGATGCTGGTGGGAAGTGAGGGAGTACGACGAATCACTTCGGCGATCGCTTCGTCTCGTCGGTCGTCGAACGTGCAGGCGCTTTTCACGCGCAACTCTTATCAACGATTGCCAGTGCAGCAAAGTAATGGACGCAGGTCAATGGCGGGACACGTGGACCTTACGTTCCTGCGTCCCTGCGTCTCTCTCGGGTCTGAGAGTTTTCATTGCTTTCTGGGGAGAGAAGAGTCACACGTGGATGAGGAAGATCGCAAGCAGTGAAGCAACCTCCCATCAACCCTTGGAACTCGCAGATATGGCGGGCACGACACTCCTTTCCCAAGAGGAATTCCTCGGTCCCCTGGTCGCATCTACGGACATCGATGTGAGAGACATTCTCGACGACTGTCCAATATGCTCCGAAACGATTGCGAAAGCGTCTCGAATTGAATGTCAGCATGTTCTTTGGCTTGGAATGCGCGAAGAGGTGATTCCAAGCGAAAGCGGCATGTTGAAATGCTAGGCAGGTTTCTATATGATGCATCTGTGAAGGCGAGTAGGAGGCAGAAGAGGAGCAACGCCCGACCTGGGCACATGACATTGATGCTCGGCTACCTTGGACACATCGATACAACCTGCGTCAGATGGTCATGGCCGCTATGGACCGTTTTCTTGGCGCTGCGAACGATACGGATTCGACAAGTATGGACAACATCAAGTCACGGATGATCAAGATCGCCGGCTCTGTGGAAGACTTTGAGTGTGCGCTGTCCATGCCATCGAGTCGAGATCCGAGAATCCATTTGAATGCTGCAACTTCGAGCGGGAGAAGTCCTTCGAGTTGCTAGGCCGCGGGTGCATGGCGTGGGACGGACTGGCCGGCTAATGACAGCAGCTAGCTTCTGGGGCGATCTGATGAAGTGCTGGGAAGAAGGAAGTGATGGGAACTGGCCACTTTATGGAGGATTTGCGGGCCAGACTTGTTTTCGACAGTATGCGGTTCAAAGTGCTCGATTTTCTGACCGGATGGGCTGTCGAGCAAAAAAGCGAATATCTCACATGGAGTAGGTTGGGGGCAGTACCATTGATGTAAACGATGAAGCAACATGAGGAAGAGTCATGCTGAAGACAAATTGGTCCGTAAGCGTTTTCTCATCGTGCCCTCCGGATGATGTTGAATCTCAGTAACATAAGAGAAATGTACTGTAATGCTAAGGTACACAGGGATGTTCCTACTGAAGTTCGTCCGCACGAGGCAGTCCGTGAACAGAGGCTCTGGTTGGCTGGGGATGGCTCGGCGCTAGCGGAAGTACTCAGCACTGGCCAGGCGATGTGAAAGTGGCCCCGGCCTGGTTGGAATTGCCAACAACTCCATCCCAATCCGCGTCCTTGGCAAAGCCGAGATATGAGTGACATAGCAGGAACATATTCTTTCCCGTCTGTCCGACTTTGCCTGCGCATCAAGATCGTTCTAGAGTAAAAGGAAGCAGATCAGATAGATCACTCATCGCCACGACTTTTCCGCCTCCGACATCGCCTGCAGACTGCTGACCCACCCACCCATCCTACACGATCCCGTTCTATTCTGCGCGGCTATTCTATTTAAACCACCATCGACCACCATCCTCAGGTCAGGAAACAATTTCCATCGTCTGGCTAATTGAACCTCCATCCGCCATGTCCGTCAACACAGTGAAAGCACCAGAGTCGCAGCTGAAGTCGTCATCCGCGAAAAGTACGACGAATCCAACAGGATGATTCTCCTGGAGCGCCAGTCCAAGTTGACGATCGAGGTAGAGTCGAGTAAAATGAAGCATGAGCCGGTGCTCGACTTCTCCCGCAGTCTATCCTGCGTGGCGGTGCTCATCCGAGCGACGTCGCGGAGGTCTGACGCAGGCAGAGGTCTTGCTGAGAACATACGGCTTGAACTTGATCTGGACAATACTAGCGACAAAGAATCATGCTTTCTCCCGATTGCTTTCGAGATCTCAGGCTGATTTCTACAGGTGACGATGACAAGGTCCGTCCAGCCGAGGGCGAGGCCCCGAGAGGCATGGACAAGAATGGACAGGCCTATCCAGAACCTTCAACATCCGAGAACACACCGAAGCGATATCTGACGCGAATCGAGCGAACGCTGATGCTGTACAATGTCGAAGCTCGTGGTATCCAGCGAGTCTCGCCTGAAGATCGACACGACATGAGCAAGCTGGGCTTTATGCAAATCTTCCTCCTCTGGTTCAGCATCAACTTGGAAGCAGTCGTCCTCGCTTTGGGTTTCCTGGGCCCAATCGTGTACTATCTGCCATTCCGGGACAGTGCGCTCTTGGCCGTCTTCGGATCGATAGTCGGCATCTTGCCAGTCGCTTACATTGCGACGTTTGGACCGCGCTCCGGCAACAGGACCATGATTCTCACCAGATACATCACCGGCTGGTACCCTTCGAAGCTCATCGTAGTCCTCACCTTGATCATTTTCCTCGGATACCTCCTCATCGATGGCGTAGTGGGCGGCCAGATCCTCAGCGCCGTCAGCTCGAACGGGAGTCTGAGTGTGATTGTCGGCATCGTCATTGTGTGCGTGATCACCTGGGTCGTCTCGACCTTTGGATACAGCGTCTTCCATCTGTACGAGCGATATGCTTGGTTGCCACAGCTCATAGTCTTATCGCTACTGGCAGGTGTGGCAGGCCCCAAATTCGATCTCTATGGCAACCCATCGGCTGGTCTTTCGGCAAATGTCATCGCCGGCAACAGACTGAGCTTCTTCAGCCTATGTCTTGCAAGCCAGATCACCTATGCGCAAGGCGCGGCGGACTTCTTCGTCTACTATCCGGTCAACGTCTCTCGCACCAAGGTCTTCATCGCCACGTTCGCTGGTCTGACACTGTCTTCTGCCTACGCATTGGTCGTCGGAGTTGGTCTGGGCTCCGGAACAGCAACGAACCCGAGCTGGATGGAAGCCTACAACGTCTCCCAAGGAGCGCTCATCGTGGAGGCTTTCCGACCACTCGGGTCTTTTGGCTCCTTCTGCAGTGTCATCGTCTCACTCAGTCTCATCGGCAACATGGTCCCGCCGACTTACGCTTCCGGCATCGACTTCCAAGCTCTGGGTCGATATTGGGAGAAAGTCCCGCGGATCATCTGGAACACAGTTGCTATAGTCATTCCTATGGTCTGCGCCATAGCGGGACGCGGACACCTTGCGGAGATCTTTACCAACTTTCTGGCTTTGATGGGATACTGGGTCAGTATATGGATCGCCATCGTGCTGGAAGAACACTTCCTCTTCCGAAAGTGGCTCGGCCGCGGCTGGGATTGGGAGGCATGGAATGACCGGACAAAGCTGCCGATCGGTATTGCTGCGCTGGTCGCTTTCTTGGTGGGATGGGTCGGTGCCATTCTGTGCATGGCACAGGTCTGGTATGTTGGACCTCTCGCGGGACTCATCTCGCAGTACGGGGGCGATGTAAGTGTTCTTGATAGTATTCTTTCCGGGGAAGAATTGCTGACTGGTCACAGATGGGCAACTACGTTGGCTTTGCGTGGGCCGCAATTGTATTTCCGCCGCTGAGATATTGGGAGCTGCGGAAGTTTGGGCGGTAATGCGTGAGTGGAATCATCGTAATATATGCGAAGTACATGTCACTACAGAACGGTCATATCATCTTTGGATTGCTTTCTCCTCGAGTTACAAGGCGTGCGCTATAGCATTGGCACTCCTTGTTGTCCAATAATAGGCTGATCACTGCATGCTGCAGAGTGTGGGGCCTGGTATCTTCGAATGAGGGGAAGCAGAGATAAGCTACTGACATCTCACTCCCTCTCTTCTACCAGCGACCAACACCCACCAACCGAGTCACCATCCATGTGGACGCTCCTCATTGCAGCTGCGGTAATAGTAGCCACATACACCGCCATCATCCAGCCTCTCTATCTCGACCCTCTCAGCCGGATTCCCGGCCCCAAGCTCTACGCTCTCACGAAATGGCGTCTCGCATTCGAAGATTGGAAAGGCCAGAGAACACGCACAATCCACAGACTCCATCAGGAGTACGGCGCTGTCGTCCGGATCGGTCCGAACGAAGTCCACTTCAACTCCCTCTCCGCCCAGAAGACCATCTACGGCCCCGGAAGCGGCTTCGGCCGGACTGCCTTCTATCGCATGTTTGACGTCTATGGCGAACAGAATCTATTCACGTTCCATTCGTCCAGAGAGCATGGCGAGCGGAAGAAATTACTTGCGAGTGCGTATAGCAAATCGAAAATCTCTCGGGGCCCCGTGGCGGAGATGGTCGCCAGGAAGATTCGGGATTATCTGCGTCTCATTGAAGAGCGTAGAGGCGAGGCTGACGAGGTGTTTACGAGTTTGCATTCTTACTCGTTGGACTCCATTACGGATTTTTTGTATGGAAGCTGGGGTGCTACGCAGGCGATGAAGGGGAATGAAAAGCATCGGGCGCTCTTGGATGATATTCTGGATCCGGCTCGGAGACGGCTGAGTTGGTTTGCGGTGCATTTTTCGAACTACACGAAGTGGCTGTATTCACGGGACGGCTTCTTGGGCCGTCTGGTAGAGCCGCTACTGCCGATGAAGAAGCCATCGACGTACACCGGCATCCGCGCTCACGCACTCGAAGCGTCTCAGCGCTTCCAAGAAGCCACCCAAACCGTGAAGACCGACCCAGCGGCCAGCTCCACCATCATCGGTCGTCTTCACGACCACGTCTCCAAAGGGACCGCCCGTCTCAGTGACCTCGAAATCGCCTCCGAATGCGCAGACCACTTCCCCGCCGGCATCGACACCACAAGCGACACCCTCACGTTCCTCATCTGGTCCCTTTCCCTGCCCCGCAATTCCCACATCCAACAGAAACTCATCGAAGAAGTCAACGCCATCCCAGCAACCGACCTCGATGCCTACGGATCACCCACCGTCGAAGCGGCCGATCGATTACCCTATTTTGGAGCGGTCATCAAGGAGACGCTCCGTCTCTACGCCCCGTTACCTGCTTCCGAACCGCGGAGCTCGGATCTAGACAGCGTGATCGATGGGCACGAAATCCCCGCTGGGACAGTGGTCTGCATGTCCCCCTATAGCCTTCATCGCAATTCAGAAGTATTCCCCGAGCCGTCGAAATGGGATCCAGAGCGTTGGCTTTTGGGCGACGAATCGGAAATTCTAGCGCGGATGCAGAAATCTTGGTACTGGCCTTTCTCCAGCGGCGCGAGGATGTGTATCGGAATGCAGTGAGGATGACATCTCCTTTTTCCTTTTTAACCTTTGTATTCGGGAAATACTGATCGTTGCTTTGTTTTGGCAGTCTCGCTCTGGCGGAAATGGCTCTCATCCCGGCTCTTTACCGCAGATATCGCACCCGGTTCACGGGAGTAGCTGCTCTGGGGATTACGTCGCGCTTTGAAGTTTTCTTCGATGAGACGTTTGAGGTGATCAAGGTAGGCGGGTTCACAGTGATCTCTTGAATTAGGTGAGGATTTTTTTGGGCTGAGTTTTTGGTGTAGGAACATGAGTGTCTGGTTGAATTTGTTGGGCTGTGATGACTGTGGAGGGGGAGAAGGGATGCTGTGGTAGGGATCTGGGTCGGCAGATTGGGTAATAGCTTGGTAGGTTCTACTCGGAGATCTCGTTACTGCGCGGGATATTCTCCGTAACTATGTCCTGTTCGGGGAATTGAGAAGACATTGATGCATGGATATAGTCACAGTAGCGGGTCTTGCTTTGAGCTCATTGCTTCTGATGAAGGAGGGCTCTCGCTGCACTTGGAATACTCCATCAGGACTCCCTTTGATCGTCAGGCGACCTTCTATTCTCTTCGAGACATCCGTAACTCTCCAAGGGAGCGCACAGACATGAAAACAACTCTCCTTGCCTCCAGGGCGGCAACAGGTTACTGCTGCATCTACCATGAAGGCGAGCATGTCCCGAATCGCGCTCGCTCCGTCCTTTACGCGAAGCTGTTCGCGTGACATGTCTCTGCTGCTATTTTGAAGGCAATTCGACCACGGCGGTTTGACATTCCAGGAGGATGTGGACTCAGCACAGACGCGAAAGAAAAAAGTCCGAGATCGAGCAGACGTGTTGTATAGAGCCGATATGTATGTAAAGAGGGACTTACGCCGCACGCGTGCATGGTCTGGAGTGAGGTGAAGGAGAGGTTGTTGATAGCTTTGCGGAGTGAGTAGGCGGTGAGGCAGGCCTGTCCAGGAGACCGTGGACTCAGCACAAACGCGAAAGAAAGAAGTCGGAGATGGACCAAACGTGTTGTATAGAGCCAATTCGTGTGGAATGAAGGATTTACGCGATACATGGTCTGAAGTGAAGTGAAGAAGAGATTGTCGATAGCTTCGCGGAGTGAGTAGGCCGCAAGGCAGGCCTGTCCGGCGCCCAGCGAGCGCTGTGTCGCTCTCCAGAAAGCCCTGCTGGCTCGCGGAAGTGCTGGCGCGCCCGATTATGAGTGCTGTGTACGCAATAGCTGAACGTATAACGCTTGTAGGCAGCGCTTCTTTCTGCAGAGCTTGGCTGGAGACGCATAGTCACGTGCTCCTGTCAGCGATCTGGTGGCCACAGAGTACATAGCCAGCGGCCAGCCGAGCAGCCAGCGTATCTCTCGGCCTCCAATTCCATGCCAACAGTTCAAGTCTCGCGGCTCTTGTAGTGTCTGTTTCACCTCCTGGCGTCGGCGCCTGCTCAGTCGCACTGGATCTATGCTCTTTCAATCTCTGTTCCCAAGCTGAAGTGGCGGAGGGTGATGTGCTGGCGGTCTTCCCATTTCATTCTGGCGCGGTCGCTTGTAAAGTCTTCTCGAAAGTCTGGCGGCGGATAGCGGAGCTGCGATGGTGATGCTCTCGAGAGCTGTGCGGTCTGGTCGGAGAGGGCGCTCGTGAGGAGGGTAGGGGTTGGTGGCAGGCTGGCAGCTGCTGCGAGGCGTCGTGAGAGGGTATTGCTACCTCAGTAGCCCGCGAATAAGCAAGCGGAGACTTCACACACTGTGATCATCTGTGTGCAGGACCGCCGCAGAGGTAAGGCACGGCTCATCGCCGCGGTGGAGGTGTCGCTGCGTGGCAAGCACCCACACCTCCAGGCAGTCAACACGGGCGGAATTCATCACATAGCTCTACATTTTTACTCTCAACCATCTCTTACTATGCTACTTATCCTCCACATCCACTTTTCCAGCTACCGCCCGCACAATTCTCGCCTCCTACTACATTCGGCCGAGCTGGGCTTGGCGCCCAGACTTCACATGTGACGCCAAGCCAGGGTCTGCACGCGTTGCCCCCAGCCCTCCCGGCAAACATCTCATCACGACGCAAGGCCACAAGGCCACAAGACCTCATGACTCGCCGGTTTACATGACTCAAAAGTCACGTTTCTTGCTGCGGCTGGGCCCGGCGCATGGGCCAGCCCAGAAACATTGACCTTCGAGCTTCGCTCCTTGAAATCCTTCTTCCTTTCTTCTTCATACTTACCCCGCCTTCCCTCAGCAGCTCCTGAAGTGCTGAGTGGTGTCGAGCGCCCCGAGTGCTTTGCACTAGGGGGGGCTGGCAGGTGTGCTGCCACCGGGCACAATTTTTGATGGCGAACCTTCGTGGTTCAATTTTTTTTTCATCAATGTCACTGCCTTGTGCGGTGTCTTGGAGAAGAAGCTGATCATTCCAATCTACCTTACCCAACCATCCGAATGTGTACGGTGTTGTGTGTTGTTGTTGTTGTCACTTGTCGCGCTGAGCTGGTGTCACAATGTTTGCTGCTGGCGCCATTTAGATGCTGCCGTACCATTGTCGCCGTGCTGTTGTTCTCTATGTATTGCTTTCTGTTGTTGGTGCTCTTGTGGCCACTCTCGTGGATGTAACCATGATGTCCTCGCGATTGAGCCGTCACCGTCGCTGCCCTGAGTGCCCTCCCTCTCGCCCAGCCGACGTATGTTGGTGTGCTACACTGCCACCGCACCACTCTGTCTATCGTACCGTCGTATTGATTGGTATCTACACATGCAATCTGTATATATCGTAGCTGAAGTCGTCATTCCCTGCTCATAACGCGCCGGTCGATTGGTGGTCGCACGGCGGCAGTAGGAAGTCTTTCGAACGTGCGCCCGATGCGAGTGCCCGAAGAGTCCACTCGGCGGCTGCTGACCTTGTACCTATCCAGACATAATGGCGACTTGAAGCTGATACGACATCTCCTGCTGCACGCGGCGCGGCAGTGGCATCTTCAGTTTCTTCACCGTCGGCGAGGCTCTCACGAGTCACCGTCTCACACAGGCAGATTTTTTGCGACCAGCGTCTCTAGACTCTGACAAAGGACTACTCGTGGTGTCTCAGCTGGCATTTGACCACGCTCAATCAACGCGTACGCTGTACACTCCTTGCTCTGCTGGCGACGCGTTGACGCGTGCAAACGAACCGGCGGAAACCTGCTTGCAGTTTCCTCGCAGCATGCTGATACAATCGCGTCGCGTCTGCTACGGACGCGACTGGTACGTGCCATTACTACAGCTGACAGTCAACTACATGTCCAGGTGGCTCAGATATACATCTTCTCAGACTTTCCCGATTGCTGAATCGGCGACACCGGCGGCAGGAGCCCAGGTTATGTCCCCAGTCAACGGCACATGATGGATACCACGGAGCTACAACGCGATAGGGCCACACAAAGAGGAGGACATATGGAGTCACGGATACTACGGCAGCATCTAGCAAGAGAAATTTTGATTCAGCAGTAATGGCTCTCCGCCGTGGACGACAACCGCGCTTTGGCAACGGGATACAAGGACGCAGTGGCAAATGACCCAAGGCGAACACCAGAGCACATGTACAAAAGTGGCTGTAGGGAGGAGGAAGAAGTCGTGACCTGGTGAACGAAGATACTGATCACACGACTCAGGGTTGGCTGGCCACAGAGGGCCGTGAAGGTCGAGGAACTCAGGAAGCACGAAACTCGGACGCTGTGGCCTTCAGCTCAGTCACCAAGACGGCGGCGCATCGAGAAGGTTTCTGCCACTATTCACTGACAGATGCTAAGTTTGCTAACACGATCGGTCTTACAGTGGCTTCTCTTGCGTCCATCAGTCTCCAAAGTCCAGCAGTAGGAAGCACGATTGCGGCTCATCAATCTATCTTCAGGCCTATGCCCGCTTATCAAACACATCTTGACTTCTCCTAAGGAAGCGCGGACACAGCCAAGCTCCGAAAAGCTGACCAGCGTCCAAGCACTTTTTTCTCGAAGTTCGCACCATCGCAGACCGATGCTCACGCGTTGCGACGCGCCGCACGTTGAGCTTTACCCGACCTTGAGGTCACAGCGACTTCGCCGACGAGTTCATCGTGGGAAGGGCAAACATGGACGGCAGGGAAAGTTGGAAACAACGGAGCCGCCGCGGCGATGAATTTCTTCGGCGGCGATAGTCGCCTCTCCACAATCGTTACTTTCACCCGGCCGCCGCTAAGCTGTTGCCCTTCTTCTTCTACGCAGCGGTGCTGGTGTTGCTTTCTGCAAACCAGGTTGAGACTCGACTAAGACCTAGGAACAAAACGAGGAGGCTAGGAAAAATAGCCGAGCCAAGCTTGCAAACAGTGGCGGGCAGGGCACATTGGATTCCAATTGGAAAGACGCGACCTGTTCTAGAGGAGTCGAGACCAACTCGCAATCAACTCCACACGTAGACATGGCCTTTGAAGTTGATTCGGACACGGAACAATGCGGACAGAACGAATCCTTCGAACTCTAGCAAAACAGCAGGACTCAGCTGGTCCAGGAAGAAGGATACAAGCGGATTACGCATGCACCGTCATGGGTAATTGCTTGACACACAGCAGCAGGAGAAGACCGAGATGTGAGTTGAACAGAACGAGAGGATGGTATACCACGTCAATATTGGCACGAGCTTGCATGCCCATGCCAGATTCATATGATTGTCTGTTTGAGGTTAGCAGCATTCACGCTAATAGGGATAGTTCAAGCTGTGCTCCAGCCTCGAACAGCTCCACATTCGCCTGCAACATCCCGCCCGGGCCCATGGCTGTCGAAGGGTAAGATGGACGACTGAAGATGCCTTAGAACTGCACTCCGTTGGCCGTTGCTCAGTATCACTTCTTCTATCAAGCAACCTCTACTGACCTCTCAGAAAAGAGTTCTCCAGCTCCGCGCTCGCCCACTGGAGACGGCACATCGCGTCGAAGAGCAAGCCGCAGCCTTATGGCAAGAGAGAGCAGCCGACAGGCGATCCCGGATTCCGGCGTCAATACCAGATGAGTGCCAGCATCCAGAACTTGGGCGTTCTCCCACGGACGCATATTCAGGAATGAACGTTCCGGACATTCATCTTCCACAGAGAGAACTTGAAATTGTTGCTTTGGATGCGAGCTTCGTGGCTTCTGCCATCCACTCAAAAAATATCCACTTCCTTTGGGGCTCTGAACGCTTTCACTCATCGTGCCGCAATCGCTCACTGGCTTCTTCATTGCGGCGTAGCTTTGTAATATGCTCCAGCTCTACAGAGCGCCAGAGAACTAGTTGACACTCTTGAAGGGACAGGGAAGACAGTTTGCACGCTTCATGGAGTCCCGATCAGCGTCAAAGATCAATGCAGCCTGATTGGCACGAAGACCACTTGCAGTCTTGTTCCTCCTATGGACAATGCCGACTGTGATGACGCGGTGATTGTCAAGATCTGGAAGCAAGCTGGCGCAAACATCTTTGCAAAGACTAGCTTGAGCACTGGCTGTATTTGGCTGAGTTGGGGAGCAAGATCATAGATGCCAGCAGTTCTCATGATCTTCAGGACGAGGTATTCAACCGCATTCTTGGTCACACATCAAACCCGTTCAACCGTTCTTCCTCTTGTGGGCGTAGCTCTGGCGGCGAAGGGGCGTTGATTAGCGTCCAAGGAAATGCTCTCCCACTTGGCTCTGCTCCTGGTGGACCCGTTCATTATCTTTCAGCATATCGAGGGCTTTAGGCTTGCGGCCAAGCTCAGAAATAGTCTCATACTATTGCATACTTGACAGCATGGAAGATCGGTGGACCATTTTTGCCGTGGCTGGACCAATGACCAGAACACTTGAAGAGATGATACTATCACGAAGGTCATGCTCGACAGTGACCCGTGGAAGATGAATCCATATTGTGTTGCTCTGCCCTGGCCATCTCCATCGCTGCTTGACGCTCCTCGACATCGACTTTGCATTGGCTTTTTCGAGTGGGATAGTGTTTATCTTTCCCAGCCGCCGATTCAAAATGCCCTCAGACGCACAGCTGCTGTTTTGAAAGCCGCTGGTGGTGAAAATATTCCTGGAAAAATAGATCAACGATCTGTGGAGCTTGTGACCAAAGTCCTTCGCTCTGATGCCGCGTCCGACATTCGACGGCAATGTGCAAAGCCTGGCGAGACACCCATGGAAAGTGGCTGCGATACCGATAATCCGCCGCTTCGCACTACCGAGTTGTGGGACTCAGTGATGGAATGCCTTGGTCTTCGTGCACAGTTCTACAGTGACGGAATTGAACAAGTGATTCAAAGGAGGGGGCTTTACCGACAAATGCTTATACTGCTCCTGTTGTCCTGCTGTAGCTGCTGGACATCGTGACTAAAGTGAAGTCAGGTACTTCTCATACACGGCCACAGTCAATCTTCTGGACTATACAGTTTGCACTCTTCCTACAGACTTCGCCAATTCTTGGCTGGACTTGCCAGATGCTGAAAGCCTTTTCACAGACGCCGATGGAGGAGAAATTCCCCCACCAACATGCGAGAGGGATGAGACCGTTCAAAGGAAGTATGACCCAGAGGTGTCAAAAGGTCTACCGGTCTCTCTGCAGCTTGTTGGTAGGTAACTAGAGGAGGAGAAAGCTCATTCACGATCCAACAGCCTAGATCCAATGTACTGGTGCCTCTCTGATGCGTTTCAGATCAGTCCCGCTAACAAAAGCCAACTTTTACATGTCAAAACCTCGCCAAAAGAAAGCCGCCGCCGAATTCTCTTCCACTACAGATTTTCACCTGAACAACGAAGATATCGCCACGACATAAACCGCAAACCATGAATGGCAACGAGTTCCGAATCGTCGGCGAGATCCCGGGAACGAGGGAAGCACCCATTGTGGAGGAGAATTACACCGGAACGAGGATTGCAGTGCCAACATACGCCCTTTTGCTGAAGTAGTAGGTGTTTGTGGACCTTACGGTGGCAGCGGAACAGTAGATGGCGACATATGAGGAGCGAGAGCGCCCTGAGCGCAGACTGAGTCAAGTCATACAAAGAGTGCCGACCGCTGACATCTGAGAGGCTGCCCTTCACCGCTCGCGGTGAAAAGTAGACCTTTCCCAAGGACGGTCAGTATAGCGTGTGTCTAGTTTCTTTGTTTGCTTTGAGCAGCGAGCGAGTAGGACAGAGCGCACTGTCAACAATTCGAACGGTCGAATTATGACGGGCTTTCCTTTGTTCGAGAACAATATCAAGCACTGGCTTTCTTGAGTGGCATCCAACCCCGGCTGGAATACTTCTATTCGAACTTTACTGACTTTGAAAATACACAACACCGACTCGAAATCAACGCCGACACAATCCAAACAGCAAATTCAAGACGACGCACCATGAAGTACGCTCTGCTCTTCAACGCATTCACGGCCGTCTGCGTCGCAAAGGGACAGCCAAAGCTCTGCGGGTCCGACAAGCACAACAGTATCCAGCAAGCCATCGGCAAATTCTGTCAGAAGACCAATATCGTCGTGCCTTCGACCTACGCAACCAATGGCATGAGGGGCAATGATGGCAAAGGGTTTGTCTCTATTGAAGGTAAGATCTCTGTCCGAATCGTCAAATTGGATTGCGGCTGACTTAGATACTTCAGGCACTTGCCACCCTCCACAGTGGGTTCCACAAGAGTACTGCATGGAGCAGTTCAACAATATGTGCGCGAATGAGGAGGTGACGAAGAAGTTTGGACGGAATGGATGTCAGACTTGGATCACCTATGGGCCCGCGTAGGGTGGTGAAGGTACATCGGACTGAAGCTGAAGGAGAAGCAGACTGTGCCACGAGACAGTTAAACATGTCCTCTGAAGAGCTGAAGATGTGAAGAGAGGATTTGAGACAAGATATCTTGCAGTGGGAGGATACCTGTTCTTTTAGATACGCTTTTCCTTAATCTCAAGATGCATATTGCGGCCACACAGTTTGCGTGAGCCTTGTGGTCACAGTGTGATCGTTCCGTTGTGTTCTATTCGGACCAAGAATTCAGTAGCTGTTATCCAAATGCTTGCCAAGACTCTCCGTGCACTTACCCTCCGTCTCCAGGGTGCTATTGCAGTATGCTTCATGCTACGCATCTGCCCTAGCAGTAGCCCAATGCCCATCCTCGCCATTGTAGTCGCTCTGACGGTAGCCTGGAGCTCGATCGAGAGGTGGAGACAAGGGAGTGCGCGGGGCAGGAATTGGAGGATGTCCTGAATGAGGCCCACAAGCACAAGGTTTTGGGCCTTGTCGAGCGGCGGGCGTAGAAGTTGTGCTGGAAGCATCAATGGGCGCTGCAGGCTGGAGTTTGCTCGGCCTGCATCCACAAGAAGTGACTATGCTGCTGGAGTCGTCATGCTCATCTTGCCAGGGTTGGTGTGACTTCTTGGACTGCGTGCTCTCCAATTGTCCGTCTTCATGCCCGCCATTTCCTTTGACGGTCGTATCACTCGCGAGAGATGGAGTGCTCGCGAACCAGTTCTTCTTGGAAGTTCTCGAAGCCAAAATCTGTCGAGATGGCGAATCTTTCTACAGTGGGTGATTATGGTCAGCTTCTACTCTTGGTTATCGATGGACGATTCAGCGCGAGGAAATGGGAGGGGAGCGAGACTTACGCGGTCGCCGGTGAAGGAAGCAAGCTCTTGAAGACGTCGAGCCTGTGCATGGTTTCCTGCGGCCCTCGCAGTCGCGATCATGTCTTGGTAGTCGTCAGCGGCATAGGCGGCTGCGATCTTCTGATCAGTGATACCATCACCTATCTCGGCTGCAGTGGACCGAGTGACGACCATGCTGGGGGATGATATGCGATTCTTCTGCAGTAGCTGACGGACTGGTGTTCTGAAGCTTTCAGAAAGAGCTTTGACTGTACCGGTAGCGCTGGGTGACAGGATCAATACTGTTCTGTGCTGGTGAGAACTCCTGCGAATACTCAGTCCGTAAGAGGTAGATGGTTGTGTCCTTTTATACAATGCCTGAGACAGCGCGATCCCCTTTCTTGCCTTTCTAAAACATGAATCACTTGCGTGTCAACAGTTCCATTCACCACTATCGTGTATGAACGATCCCCTTTTTCCCTAGCGCGTTTTGGCTACCAGACTCCGCCCTCGAGTGGTAACTCCTCTATTCCAGCCTCCAGGGCATCTCTTCAGCCATGAGACCCCTCACTCCATATTCTATGTAGTTGTATAACTGAAGGCCCATGAAACATAGCTGCTTGGCTTGGGTTACGGCACGACGAACGGCACGACAAAGAGGAGCGTGGTCTATTGGGGGGGGAATGGTACAGCGATAGCTACGCTTGATGGAGGACGGATGAGCTGAGATCGATAATGGACTGATTGCTAAATTGGCTAAACAACATCAGCAGGTAAGTCGCTGGGTCTTGTAAAGGACGAACTTCAAACCCGCTTCTGGCCGCCTAACACCAGCCTCCAGCATCAGATGCTCCTGTCCCGGCTGAAGACATAGGACGGCGAAGGTAAGTGAAATGAGTAGTAGGAGGAATACCCTTAATGTAGCAGCCAGACCGGCGACTGATCTCTTCACTTAGCGCAGGAACCTGGAACGCTCTCACAGGTGAAGTCAGAGAGCACGTGCAGCTCAAACATAGCAAGCACAGACCCAGTGCTGCCTGCTGATCAGCAAAAGGCCGCTGCCTTCTTTCTCTTTCTCCTTCTTTCTCCGAAGAGCTCCAACCTTTCTCTCAGCACCACCAACCTTTCCCTCAACACCACCATCACAGACTGGTCGTCAAAGGCATCCAGCTTGATAATGGTATCCAGCTCCCAGCTTCACAAAGCTGCTCAGGTTACAACGTGAGTGTTCAGCCGTCGGACGCATTGGCAAGACTGTTTGCTGACATCTGCGGGCAGTCAACAGCAACGGAGTGAACTTTTCGGTCTATTCCCTTACCATTACGGTGGACATCACCAAGTCACGTCGCCGCCGCCGTCGTCTTCAGCGTGAGCTTGTTCCTAGGACGCAGCAAGAGCACGAACAGCATCAGAGGGCATCTACAATCAGGCTTGTCCATCAGCTTCCTTTGCGTTAGCAGAGCCTCGTCGAGCTGTTGGTCAAACAGCAGCTGCCCTTTTCTATTGCAGAACTGGAGCCTCTCCCAAGTTCAAGATGCAGACAATCGCGTCGGTGTCGTCTAGACGAAATTGGAAAGCTCATCAAGCGACCGAGCGCGACGTCCATCCTTTCTGCCTCCACAAACGGTTGCTATGGCGAGCCACGACAAGACTCACAGGCCTCGCTACATGCCCTTCGGAAGCTCGTCATGCGACTGAAAGGCACGCTCATGCTTTTCGCCTCTGCTACCGAACCCGATGACGAGCCACTGCATGACTCGCAATCCTCACTTCAGCCGGCGCCCTCCCATCTTCGGCGCGAGCACGAACAAGAGAAGGTCGAGAGTAAATTGACACGCCTTCAACGGCACGAACGGAGAGGCAGCACTGGCAGTCCAGCTCAAACGCACGACATACCACTTCCGTGCCCGCGTGTGGACACTAGCCCGCTGTCACCAAGTTCCATCTGTTCAGGAATAGGGATCGGCAACCAGTCAGTTCGGTCTTGCGGCTGCGGTCGCAGCTCTCGCATATCTCCCTCGCACAATGCCACTCTGGCCACTTCGGAGCCTTTACCCACCAGATCAGACGGCAACGAGATAGTGTTCGCCTCTTCGGATATGCCTGGCGAGCTCCGCGATCCAGAACAGGGCTTCGTAGCCACCGAACGGCCATCTCTGATGATCTCGCCATGCAGCACTGCCTGTAACAGCAGAGCTGCGGATTGTGGCAGGCCGCACACATTGCACGGTCGCGAAGTCGTCATCCGGAACTATGTCGCCAACGTCAAAATCCTCGTCGGCCAGCGCCTTTCGCACCTATGCGGTGAGCTCACGCTCATGCTGCCCCTTTATATAGGCAGCTGCCACCGAACGACTAGCACTGGAGTTTGGATCCAGTCTTTGCCCACTTGCACTTCTCAGCCAGCCGGACCATTCTACATGCGCGAGAACAAGATCATGCATTCCGTTCTGATCGCCTCAAATCCATTTCAAGGACAAGCGTCGCGGCGCCGCGAGAACGGACTCGTCTACATCCGCCTGGGGAGCCAAAGCCCACTGCAACGCCGCTCTGGTCTAGAGTAAGAGCAACGTCCATCTGACTCGGGCATCTACCATCAACCATCACCCTTCGACATCACCGTCGTTACGACCTGCCAAGGCCCGCTGCAACGCCAATCTGGTCTAGAGCATATCCGTCAATGAGCCTGTTCCTTGATCTTGCGAGGTCGAGTGGACATCGCAGTTATGATTTTCCTCTTCTCCCGTTCTTCCCGTTATCTACAACAATTTTGTCTGCCGCTGGGGAGGGCTCGATTGGTTCGTTGACTGGCTTACCAATGGTCGCATCAGGAGGTACACTCGCAAATTCGGGATCAGAAGCGTGACGCTGTGCGTCTATGATCTACTCCTTCTCGCTACTATTTCTTGGCGCACCAGTCGTCTGTCTCTCCGGCCGACTGTCGTCTGAGCGCCTGGATACCAATGGTCCGCCACAACCCATTGGCAATTCGTGTCCTAAGCGCGTCTTCCTTCCGACCCACCACAAATCGCACGTCCTAGAGCCGCAACCAAGATCGCAATTTCGCAAAGACGAGTATAACAACGACAGAAACGAAAAGGATGATCGTCACGGTCGTCGATCTCAGCCAGTCCGACAACAACGCCAGCTGCAGTCGCTCTCATCGACCGGAGCTGTCGCGAGCACTGCTCTTGCAAGCGCATGTCCGGTAGCGAATCCCGCAGTAGAGGTGAATGCCACTCATTGGGCCCCGACCGTGTCGACGATAGGTAATATATGTACCACTCTGGCTCTCATGGCCTGACCGCTGTGGATGACGCTGGACTGATATCGGTCCCGACGGCAAATGACGCTGGGTCCGGAAGGGGCGCCAGGACGTCCACCATCAGTGCCCCGAGCAATCTCGTTGCCAGAGCCGTGATGATGCAGGCCGTGATCGTGGCTGCAGATACGACAGCGACCGCCGTTCCCAATGTGCCAGCGGTCGTGATACGGGCGGCCGCCTCTCGTCACGAGGCGGCTACAAGAGCAAGATACCGAAGCCGGGTCCCGACTGGTGATGAGCGCGATAAGCGTGCGGTGCTATCGATCAAGCTACGGCGAGTGAGGAGTGATGAAGAAAGCATCGACTGCGAATCTGCGACACAGCAGAATCGAAATACATGTTTGGGTGGGCCTGCTTGAAGGAAGCCTCCTATCTACCACGCACAGTGTGACTTTGCACAACAGCACTCGTTACCCTCTGCGTTCTGCAACACAGCAGGATAAAAACACAAACTTGGGTTGGCGTGGTCGATTCCTGGTATCTCTTTGCCGGAACTACTCCAGTTCCATTCCACAGCTCGAGCTCTATTGGTGCTGGATATCTGCGATACAGCAGACTCGAAATACGGGTTGCGGTGGGCGCTTCTGCATCTGCAACACAGCAGAATCGAAATGCAGACTTGGGCGGGCTAGGCTGAAGGCTGGCATCCCTGTTCCTGGACGACTTCATTCTCCGCTCACGAAATCAGTTGCGTTGTCGCGAAAAATCCACATCCAGGACGTTGATGTGTTAGAACAGCGAGTCGCGAACGGAGACGGGCTTTGCGCACCTCCTGAGTACGCCGAAGCTTGAGGATCAAGTTTGCGCCATCAAGAGCGGTGGGCTTCGTGACAATGGCAGGCTCAGAGAAAGCGAGCCACGCCGCACGAGAGGCGAAGGGACATCTACTATCGAGTGCAGAGTCATCCGATCAAACACATCACAAGGAGGACATGGGGTTCGCCTCCATGCGAGCAATCGGTAATGGCAGTCACTATCTTGACGGCCACTTTACGTCGCGATATCACCACCGCCACCTCCAATCAACTGTCCTGCCATGGTGCAAGCTCTTTGCCACATGGGCTGGCTTTCGGAGCAGGAGTCCAGAAGCTGCGCTGGGCAAAGCTCTCTAGGCTGTCGAGGCGAACGCGAGTTGTTGATACGCCGCGCAAGGACTCCTGCGATCCAGTCGGCGGTGCGAACAGCAAGAAAGTCTCGCTGTCCCCTCAAGTAGGCAACGCGTCGCGTCAAGCACCAAACGTCGGTCCGAGCCACGAGACATTTGTCGCACCACTGCAGCTCAACGCCGTGGGCATGGACGAAGCTGGACCACTGCCGAAGCTGATGATCATGACGACGTTGAAGATGTAGAGGGGTTCGATGCCGCTGGTAGAGCTGAGGCGGATCATTGGTTCGATGCCGGCTTCTGTATGGGTGCCACCGGGTCCTGGATGGGCTCGCGTTATGCGTAGCACCTCGGCCATTGGGCCGCGGAGGGGGTTGGGGGCTCCGGCCACCTTTAAGGAGCCGTTTGAGGTGGGTTGGGGCTCCCGCCACCTTCAAGGAGCCGTTTGAAGCTGGTTGGGGGCTCCGACCACCTTCAAGGAGCCGTTTGATGTCGGTCGGAGCTGGATGACGAGCCCAAGAGGAGTCGGAGACCCCGGCCAGCTTCATGGAGCTGGATGACGACGAGAAGCCTAAGAGGAGAGGAGGAAGTGGGCTCAGAAGAGATAGACAGACGTGCATGGACTTGGATTAGAGCAGGAGGTCCTCTTGAGAGTAATCATGACAAAGATTGATCAGTCTGTCGAGGAACGTCTGGCCTTCACCGATGAGGAAACGGGTTTATCTTTCAAGTATTGAGTTGCTTCACTCTCAACAGCGCTGATACTCTATATCCTTCGTTCAACGGTGAAAGATTGATCCTGTGCCTCATGGCTGCGGTTGATTGACTGCAGCAAGCTCCCTCTATCATCCTGTCATTTTTGGTCACATGGTTTATTGCAACGGTCCAAACAGATACAAGTCGTGGCTCATGGCGTATTCACATTCACATGAAAAGGACAGGAGCTTCTACTTCCGCATCTCAGAATTATGCTCTCCGTGTAGATAGCTTTGTTTGGATGTACTTGACTCTGGATTAAGGTTGTTTGCATGTTTGCGTCCACCTTTGCACCGAAACACTCGACAATTTCTCGAATGGACGAGATAGCTGTTCTCCATTGGCCATGCTGAGTCTTTTGCACTGCTCAAAATCCTACCGCAAAAAGATAAAACGGCTAGCAAACAAGCCCGAACGCTATATCAGTCTAGATACTATAGTGACAGGACATTGTAAGCCAATTCCGATGTTTTTTGCAGCCCCGAGAGCTACTTCGCGGTGTCTGTGACTGTAATGCCAAGCCATTAGCCGCACAGAGCTGCCTATGCGCAAAGCCCGAAGATTTCTATTTCTCTACTGAAAGTGAAACTCACCCTCAGCTTCAATTTGAGCTTCCGCCAATACCACACCGTCACATCACCTCCACCCGCGCGCCCTATTGCTATCAAGCGGCGGCTCTTGTAATAACAAGGCCACACGAGCAGAAGCTACTACAGGAGCTCAGAGTCCACGAGTTACCAACAGCTGCACACGGCTTTCGCGCTCTCTTCTCTACCAGAACGGACTCCAACGGCAGAAGAACTGTTCTGTTTGTCTTCGCAGCCTTGGGCGGCAGTCTCTCTCGCTTGAATGACCGCTCTTCACCCTCCACCAATCGTAACATCGGGGGTCCATCCGGTATAGGAATTCGAAGGTTCAACACCGACCGTCGTCCAGTCAGAGGAGGACCCGATCTTTGACTGGACAATAGAGAAAAATAAGCTCGATGACGATATCGAGATGGAAGATTCGGCGCCGATGGACGAAGCCGAGGCGAAAGAAATCGGAGGAGCTGGAGCAGAAACTTGAGATGCAGGGCTTTCACCGCTTTACATGCCACTTCAGTCCCTGGGCCTCGATCGCGTCAACCACCAGGTACTTTCCAAGAAACAATACTTGCAGCGGCAATACCCCCGGGCGGTTTAAGGAGAGCTTGCTTGCCGTCGAAACCCCGGTCGACTGTCTCCAGTAGCTCTGGAGTGTCAAAGTCAAATGGTATCTACATCTGGGCGTGCGCTGTCGAGAAGCACCTTATGGCTCGCAATGCTCAGTGCAGCATGAGCGGTGCCATCAGAAATGCCTCACTGCCGCAGACAGACTTGGTCTCTGTCGTCTTGGTACGCAACAATCTCTCCCCCGTCATTGGTATAGCCTGTTCGTGGCTCACTTCAACACTTCCAGCTATTCTGCAAGATGTTACCTGCAGCGCCGTCAGTAGGTTTGAATGTCCGGCGTCCAATGTTCTACGAGAACGACAACTTCATCGTCCACGTCTACAACATTGATCGCCCACAACATTGCCTTTGCACATACGTGCAAGAGCATCCGCAGCATTGTTCGCCCCATGTTGTACGCAAACAACAACTTTATCATCCAAGTCCACGACGTCGATCACACATACTCCTGCACTCGCACATGCGCCCAGAGATCCGCAGCATTTCCTTTCAAACGCTCTACGCAAGCATCAGATGAGCCTTCCGATGACATGTCCTTCTGCTCTCTCCTATCTTCCCTTCCCACCCAACATCTTGAAACTCTCGCGTTGTATGGAGGGGCCCATCTCAAGGCTAGTGAGATCTGCCCAGTATCTACGCGATACATTGAAAAGCAGCTCCCAGTCCACGAGAAGCCCTTCACGGGGCGTAAGGGTCACTCGAACTTGTTCACTACGGTGAGATAAGTCGAGGGAAGTGAGCGAGCGATGTGCTCAAACCGAAACCCCACGCCTAGCCACGAAGGCAATGCAGGGATCTTGTGACGGTTTGGGGGGATCGCCACATACACACACTCTGCATTTTGATATTTTCTTGACCGAGTTTTCTTGAGATTGGTAAGAGCCAGTCACTAACGACTCCGCAGTTAGCTCGGCCTAGATTGGGAAAGTCACAATTCGCATCCAGTCCACCTAAAGCGATTACACCTCGGATCTGGCGAGCAAGAATACAAGAGCATGACAAGGTACCGAATGAAATAGAGAAAAGGTTCGATTAGTTTCCAATGGCCTTCATATAGTACTCCAAATCAAGACTGTCTCTGGCGACCTCACATGCTCTACCATTTTCACTCGCACTCGTCACCCAACGGGACCAATGCCGACCTTGCTGATGCACAGTCCATGACCACTGATCGATTTGAGCGACAAGACTGACTGAAGGCCGTTGATGGCTGGACTTGGACGTGAGAGAGAAGACACGGCAAGACGGAGTGAAGTTCACCAGCATTCCTTGGCATACCAGGATCTGCAGCGCCGGCTTTGGCGTAGCTGCAAGCGGGCACGATGACGAGATTGGGATGGTGAGCTTCCATGTCGGTGTGGGATCATCGCGATAGCTCAAGTAGTCAAGTATCTACACGTGCATCTGCACACAGCTTTGGCCGGGCTCCATCCTGTTCGGCCAAGGAGCATGTCGTCCTATCTCCACCGCGCAACAGGTATGTAATGTCAAACTCTCACTCGACTCCTCAGGTTCGATCCGCGGCTTCTGAGGAATGCGCGAGCTGACCATGGAAGAAAAGCGCGACGGCGTCGATGAGAAGATGAGCGAGCGGACCCCGCTGCTGCAGAATGTTCCTGTCGCGGAGCATCGAGAGAGATATCCGCATCAAAGAGTGAGGATGACAGTGCAGTGCCACGGGCTGAAGAAGTGTTGCTGATTGAAGGCGGCAGCTTCGACGATACTGCACCATCGCCCTCGCGACCTTCCCAGTTCTCCTCCTCATCGCCGCACTCATCTCCCTCGCCGTGACAGGCAGCGCAGGCCGGCTCGGCGACCACCAGACACGCCAGACCGTGACTCAGAGCATCTTCCAATCTCCAGACCTCGAACTCCCTCACGCGACTTGGCCGGAATCAGAAGGTATCCGCTACGAAGAGCTCAAAGAAACGCTCCTCAACACACCCGATGGAGAGAAAGCAAGAGAATGGAGTAAATACTACACGGCGGGACCGCATCTTGCGGGGAAGAACAAGACACAGGCAGATTGGACCAGAGATCTGTGGGAGGAATTTGGAGTGCATCATGCTGAGGTCGTTGCGTACGACGTGTACATCAATTATCCCCTGGACAACGGACTCGCGCTGCTTCAAGACGGCAAGGTGAAATTCAGAGCTTCGTTGGAGGAGGATATACGGCCTGAAGACCCCACCACAAGCCTCGAGGATAGGGTGCCGGTGTTTCATGGATACTCTGCGAGTGGGAATGTCACGGGACAGTACGTCTATGCGAACTACGGAACGTTCCAGGACTATGAAGATTTGATCAATGCCGGCATCAGTCTGGAAGGAAAGATTGCGCTTGTGAAGTATGGTGGCATCTTCCGAGGGTTGAAGGTGAAGCGTGCTTCTGAGCTTGGAGCGATTGGTGTCGTGATGTACAGTGATCCCGGGGACGACGGTGAGGTTACGGAGAAGAATGGCTTGGAGACATATCCGGATGGGCCTGCGAGGAACCCAAGTAGTGTCCAGAGAGGAAGTTGCCAATACCTCTGTGAGTGCAAAGTCCCGATCTCCATTGTGCAAGCTAACGTGGTGGAAGCATTCGCCCCGGGTGACCCAACCACGATAGGATATCCTTCGAAGCCGGGTGCTCCTCGCCAGTCACCCGAGGGCAAGATCCCCGATATCCCATCTCTTCCCATCTCTTACCAGGAAGCACTTCCCCTACTCAAAGCCTTGAATGGCCACGGTCCAAATGTGACATCTTTCCCGGATTCATGGCAGGCAAACAACGGTCTTGACTACAAGGGCGTTGACTACAACATCGGTCCTTCACCGAAGGGCGTCACTCTGAATTTGTACAACAAACAGGAGTACGTCACCACTCCGCTCTGGAATACCATCGGCGTGATCAACGGAACAGTCTCTGATGAAGTCGTTGTCATTGGCAACCACCGCGATGCATGGATTGCAGGAGGAGCAGGAGACCCCAACTCAGGCTCAGCCGCACTCAACGAAGTGATTCGCTCTTTTGGCAAAGCATTGAAAGCTGGCTGGAAGCCACACCGGACGATTGTCTTCGCAAGCTGGGACGGCGAGGAGTACGGCTTGATCGGCAGCACTGAATGGGTTGAAGACTATCTTCCATGGCTGTCTGGCTCTACAATCGCGTACATCAACGTCGACGTTGGCGCCCGCGGACCACACTTCATGACTGCAGCTGCACCACTCATCAACAAGGCCATCTATGAAGTCACAAGCCAAATTCCCTCGCCCAACCAGACCGTCAAGGGACAGACTGTCCGCGATTTATGGGATGGTCACATCGACACCATGGGCTCCGGCAGTGACTTCACGGCTTTCCAAGACTTCGCCGGCATCTCCTCTATCGACGTCGGCTTTGGTGCCGGTCCCAATGACCCCGTCTATCACTACCACAGCAACTACGATTCCTTCTATTGGATGGACAAATTTGGTGATCCCGGATTCCAATACCACATCACTATAGCCAAGATCATCTCCCTGCTCGCCGCCAAGCTCGTCGAAGAACCCATTGTCCAGTTCAACGCGAGCGACTACGCCGTCGGTCTGGCAAAATACCTTTCAAGCGTCAAAACCCTGGCATCGCAAGCCGAAGAACTCCACAGCGAGGCCTTCTGGAACCATTTCCGCAAGATCGAAAACGCAATCGCTTACTTCCAGGACGTCTGCGCGGAATTCGATTCGAAAGCCGCTCGGCTTGAACATCTCCTTCTCTTTTCTTCTTCTTCTTCTTCGGAGGGGGGGAAGATGACCACGCAGCGAAAAGCAGATCTGTACTCTGCCGTTCGCGCCACGAATACGAAGTATAAATTCCTGGAACGCCAGTTCTTGCACCCGGAAGGTCTGGATAGTCGGAGTTGGTTTAAGCATGTGGTCTTTGCTCCCGGTCGATGGACGGGGTATGCGGGTGCCACGTTTCCGGGGTTGGTGGAGGCGATTGAGGATCAGGACCCAAAGGGCGTGGAGAAGTGGGCGGGGATCATCACGGGGAGGGTTTATGCTGGGGCGAATCTGCTCTTGGGTTAGTTTGAGATTGTGTGTGGGAATGATTATTGAGAGTGTGTGAAGGGAAGATGGAAAGGATGAGGTGGTTTTGTGGAGTGGAGGACCATCAGAGTAGTGATGATGAGTGATGATCTAGCATGAAGGTATTTTGTGAAGACTTCCCCAGGCTCTGATCGGGACAATTTTTGAAAGTCGACTTGCGCTTGCGCTTGGTGTGTTTCCGTGCAGTCTTGCGCGGGAATCGGTTCGACGTGGCCCAAATCCCAGACCTGCCTGCTCCTGTGGGCTCGGCATTCGCAAGGTTCTCATATATCTGCTCTGCGTTCACCCAGGCCTGCTTATTCCGCTCTCGACTTCGAGTCGTTGCTGTGGATTGAAAATGTGGTCGGTCTCTGCCTGTAGAAGCGGGCAATCTTGGGAGATGTGTCCAATTTCGGAGCTGATGCTCCTGCCCTAGAAGATGGGACCTTGCTGATCGAAGCCGTGGCGTGTCTGCTAGCAAATGGTATAGAGCCGCCGGCAGTCTCCCACGCACAAGAGTGGGGACACAACTCCCCGGTGTCGTTTTCCTTAGAGTCAGAGATCAAAAGCCACTCCCAACCAGCATGCATGCATGTAGAGCTAGCTACGCGGCACGGTAGGTAGGTATCCTTCTCTCTTCGTCTTCGTCTTTTTCAAACGAACGAACAGACAGTCCCACCCAACCAGCATTCAGCTCTCTTCGGCATCAATCATCCGACTCAAATACGTCGTCGGATGCGCCATGCCTTTCCGGAAAATCGTCGGCTCACCACCACCGTCCCGATTGCCATAATTTCCGCCTTTCCTAGCTATAATCGTGCTCGCACACACCGCTTTCCAGAGCGCGGAGGCCCTACTATCCAAAATTCGAGCCGGATAGACGTACTTCTCTAGCAGAGCTTTACAACTCGTCCAGTCTTCTAGCTCTTGTTCTATCTGCATTCGTTTCAGGGAGCGCATGTGTTGGGGTCCGCAGTTGCCGGTGACGGTGCAGAGGGCGAAGAGGGACCAGAGGGCTACTTCTTCGTAGACTGTGTTGAGGAGAATTTCGCTGCGGAGTTGGGAGATTTCGTGGTGCAGGTATTCGGGGCCTTCGTGGGTGGTGGTGGTGGACCCAGCGGCCAGGAGCATGTATTCGCAGAGGGAAAGTCCGGCGAGCTGGATATGGGAGGCTGTCTGGCGTTGCATCTGATCTTCGAGGAAAGTGAGGTGGGGGCTGTATGTGACTTTTGTGGATGTCGACGCCTCCGAGTGGGTGAGGCTTTGTTTGATTGCCTGGAGACTTGACAGAGCATTACGGTCTTGCAATTCGACTGCGTTTAGGCGGTCGACGGTCTGCAAAAGAGAAGGGAGCACAAGATGCTGCGCTCGCAATGCTGCAAAGCCCGGTGATTGACCCATTTCTAGCCAAGACTCTGGTGTGGGTGAGTGAGGCTCTTCAAAGTGTGGACGCTTTCCTGACAGTAGGGCCATGACGTTTCCGGCTTGTAATACAATATTCACAATGGTGGGTGAAAGTGGTCGTGTGCATGTCTGGGTGGATTGAGAGCCGAATATGCCTCCGCGAAGGTTGATGATTGTCTCCAAGCCACGGATGTGGGTGTCGTAGGTGTTGGGATCGCCATAGGCCTATACTTCCAGTCAGCCGATGTGTCCATGTCCCAATGCAAGTCACGCAAGCTCAGCCTACCAGCTCCCAGCCGCCCAACAGTGCTATGGCTCCCACCACGGAGTCTTCGATGCTTCCTCTGGTCTCAGGACTCGTCACTGCCTCGTTAATGCTCTCCAGCGTGGAATGCTTCAGCTGGGCAAGTAGATACATGGGCACATTCAGTGCGCCTGATAATGATGCATGGCTGGCCACCGTGAGCAAGATGCCGTGAAACAGCGATGTATTCTCCAATGCCATAGGCCACAAGTGACTTCGAAACGCTTCACGACCGGATGCGTCAAATGAGATTTCTGGCGCAAAGTACCGGAGGAAGTAATCGACGAGCGACGGTATCTGCGGATGCCATCGTTTCGTTGGATATGACCTGGAGGGATCTGATCGTCCTGAGCTCGCGAATCTCAGGGAGCGATCAGGGCTAGGCGATGCTCCAATGTCGACAGGCCTCGCATCTGAAGAGGTCGTTGAGAGTTTTCCTCCGCGATCGGCGGCGCCTGCTGTTGCACTTGAGGGTCTAATTTCGTCCTGCGATGAGCTCTGCCTTTCTGCCAGGCGCCTTGCTATCGTCCTTTTCCGCGCTGCAGCACTGGCTTTCGCCGCCTGCACACGGACAGCTCGCCGAGTATCGTTGCCTACGCCCGATGCAGGACCAAGCTGAAAAGGCACAAAGGCAACAGCGGTAGATGGTCTGGAGAGAGGATCCTCACACTCGTCATTCGGAGATACCGGCGGACTCCTGGGTTTCGAGCTTGATAAGGGCTCTCGAGAAGCCCGTGGTTGGGGCATGGGGAGAGGGTACAGGGCCCTTCGAATTGGCCCTGTGTGCTGGATCCTCCTTGCAGCCAGCAGTTGTGTTCCAGGTCAAAAAGGTAACCGCACCAGCATGCGTAAGTATTCCGTACATGGCAGTTTGACAGGACGCAAGCCAAGCATAAGCGTCTTCGCAGTAGTCAACTTGTTCCTCCGTTAGTATTCCGCCGTGGGCCGGCGTAGGCGTCCCTTGCCCTGCTGAATGTCTCTTCTGTGCGTCGAGGCGCAGATCCGGGTGATGCTCGTGGTCCAATGCGATCGCGCCTCTTCTCCCCCCATAAACAGCCACGGGCCGCCGGTGAAGGTGGCATCGCTGGCGAGCATGCTTCCGAGCGAGATAATTACGCACCGAAAGCTCGCGGGAAGACCGCGAGCTTGGGACGGAGCTAGAGGCTGGTCGGCTGCTGCTGCGATGTTTAACGATTTTACCGAGTTACCGTTCTGCGCAAGCCACTCACTCGGAGTGCATGATCTGCTGTTTGGTTCGCCGAATTTGGCCATTGCAAATTCCCAGGCAGCTTGCTCGGCGCGGGGCTTTGGTGGTTGAATATGTGGCCGGACGAAGGGCACAGAAGGAGCCTGCAGACATTCGGTTAGAACGGACAGGTGTACTCTCGGATAGCCATGTTGAGAAGGTGATGTCTCGGTTGCTGTGCTGCACATTCCGAAGTCTACCTTGACTTCGTTAGGAATGTTTGTCAGCTGGGCTGGTACAGCAATTGATTGGTAAGATGGCTTTCTCCTACTCGGTAACACAGGTACGTGCCATTGTCTAGTGAAGATCGTCGCGGCAGATACCAATCGGCGGCGCATCCGCAGCAACGCCAGCCGCCGTCTAGTGAGACGGGAAGGTTTCGATAGCCTCGTCATGCCACGTGGACATGGTGACGGCGTCGTTGGGGCAGAAGTTATTCGGTCACACCGTCCCCGCGTCGTCGTTGTTGTACACGTGTTGCGAGATGAAAAGACCGTCGAACAGCTTCTGCTGCACGTCGAACACAGCGGAATGCTGCAGTGATAAGGCCTCTTGACAAAAGCCGTCACGGTTCGCCATCCGATCGGCGAGCAACAGTCATATGATGGCTTGTGCCAAGGTATGGCGGTAAGCAGACAGAACAACTCAGCGTTCCCACAAGACCGCCGCTATTGCCGGCCTTCTGGAAAGTCTGCTTCGCTGCAGGGCACCCGACGCGCTCAGCTGTCGTCTGCATGCTGCCGAGGTAAGGTATGCCGAAAATGGGCAGTATGGCGCTGTCACATAGATAGAGACAGCGTGATCAGGCACCAGTGGCTTCAGGTCTCTACCCACTACTCATCATTGGCGATTGGAATGACCAAGTCTGAGATATACGTAGAAGAAAAGCATTCGCTATGGCATATGAACGATGCAGACACTCAAATGCAACCCTCCAGTGATGGCCTGGTGCAACATTCATACCCAAGCAAGTAGCTCGGCGTGTCGTCTGCTGCGTCGGACGCTGCCAAAGACCAAGCCAGAGTAAATGTAGCTTGCATCGGTGGTCGCTCCTTACCCGGCAGTAGGAGTTGATGTGAAACGAAGTGAATCGTCATTCAACAGATCAATGGTACCTTGAAGGGCTGGGAGCGGCTCTGTCGTCGCTCGCTCCGTTGGATTGCCAGATAGAAAAAGGTCTCGTCTCTTAGATGCATCGACTCGTAGGAGGCAGAGGTCCTACCTGACACATACTGGTTGCCATCTGTCAGTCTCAAAATCGTGCAGTCGATACAGCTCACCAACTCCAACAGAACAACTGCGAGTTCCTCCTTGCGTGCTCTTGCTTTCTCATAATTTGACTCGCCGGTTGAGTTCACGCTCGAACTCTGCGAGTACTCGTAGTAGTCTGCATCTTGTTGCAGTGCTCTGACAGAGGCACCTCGCTTCCGGGTCTCGACCCTGCTTATTCGAGCGTTAAGTGTGGCCTGATATGGCGTATCTCCCGCGGGAAGAAGAAGAGACAGTGCCATGACATGGGTGGCGGTCTGTTAAACTGCCCTGTAAGAAGACCATGGCTCGCAGGCCTGTAGATTTCGCAAAGACTCCGGCTGGTACGATAAAGCTGCGCCCTGCGTCCTTCTCTGTCTCCGCTTTTGAACTGATCCATCTCGACGCCGAGCACAACAGGCCTCTCGAAGTGCAGGATCATCGCGATCCCCATCAGGACAGTATACTCTAATAACATGTCACTTTCCAAAGATCCGGCCTAGGATATCGATGCTCTCCGTCCAGATAAAAACGACATATAGAGCAAGGGCTAGAACGTATCAGGGCATGGTCGGATCATCTACATTCTTTCGTCTTGAAACCTGCTCCGCCTCGACGCCGAGGGCAATCTTTTTACAGGACGACAATGTGGACGTTTTTGTGATCGTGGATGTTATTGCGATGATGGGAGCTGATCCGAGGTCATTTGATTCTTGGCATCAGGGATCATAGCTGGGATCGACCTGAGAAGAATGCTGTGTCTGAAACGCAGGCGCCACCCACGGCCTGGGAAGTCGCATCTGAACACAGATCGTACAGCTCGGGCATCCCCCAGAAGACCGGCTCGATCCGAAAGTGGACCGGTCGCGTCGTATAGGTTCGAGCCACAGGATGTGGGTGAACGCGCTGAAGACCCAAAAAGGCTCGATGAAGGATGCGGCAAAGGAAGACGGGACAATGAGAGAACTGATGTGAAGCTTGGGAGCGTAGAGCCTCGCCTGGCAGTCCTCTCAGCCTGGTCCGACACTTTCCAAGCGTCCACACCGGCATCCTCGCGGGTTTCACGTCTTCGATATCGATAGTTTTATAGTCCACCTCTCTGCACGGACTGGTCGAATCGACTCCGTAGAGACAGATTTGCTGAAGCTAGTACCGCGGCTTGCGCGGTAGATGTGGACTTGCGATTCAAGCACTGCGATTCCTGGATCTGGATGTCTTTGAAAACACGACCTGGCGGGCCAGTGTTCGGCATCCGCATCGCCAACCACATCTTCCAGAGAATATCTGATAGGTGTAACGTGTGGGCTGTCCGGACATATGATCGGCCCGACTTCATCGACGGGTTGCGCCTGGGTTTTGGAGAAGGACCATCTTCTGCTTGATTTGCCGTTTTCACCCTCTCAGAGTCACGGCCTGCGTTCTTTGGTCATTTGAGCTGGAAGAACCGTACCTGCGACAACCTTGGCAGCGCCAGTGGCCACACACAGAGTACCGCAGTGGGTTGTACACAGAGTACCGTAGTAGGTTGTTCCTCGGGTTCAAGGTTTCTCAGCATCGATGGCAGATCCTTGGGGATAGATCAGCAAGATACCGCTTCACTGCGACTGTACACTCAGTTCCAACCGTTCATGATGCTATTTCCATGTTTCTCATCCCTTGAGCCTCGACTAGGGCCGCAAAAATCGAAACGGACCAGGATAGATTGTCAAAACGATCGACATCGCCATTCTCCGCATGGCCTGCAGGACGCGATCGACAGCCAGGCTCGTAAGGCAGGGAAGCCTGATTTCTTCAATGCCATGAGAAGGTACTTCGAAAACAATGCCGCCAACCAGAGTATGCCGATGGAGGACTGTTTCAAAAGACAGAATCGTCCAATCGAAAATACCAGCGCGAAGCTGTACGTTTAACACGGGTTGGAAACAGCAACCAACATCAAGTGGACAGATTTTCCGAGAGACATTAGATCCTTCCATATCCAGTCTTGCCACTATCCCGAGCCACACCAGCCACATGGAGATCTGTTCAGCGATTCCAAGTCCGACCAGTTCGACAGCTGAGGGTATCAGACCAATCAGCCCCAAGGTCGAAGAGTCGAGTCAGAGGGGGACCACACGTACGGAAGCCGTCTTCAGGATGGATCGAAAGCTGAGAATGTAAGCCGCGTACTCCAGTGAATCGAAAGTCGCAGGCTGATAGACCGGTGATTTGGCTCCAAAGCTTGTCGACAGAAAAGCTGCAAGCCAGAGCTCAAAGCAGCATATTCGGCAGTCTTCAATTATGCACCCCACCCCCGACATTCGCCGTCGCCCTCCCTAAGCCCCCCTTATACCTCTCCAAAGCCCTCTCCCTCGCCTGCTTATGATCAACCATAGCCCTCGGATACCCATTCTTCTCCGCCTCTTTCCCCTTCCCTCTCCCATACGGATCGTGAATAGCGATTCCCTCAATCCCTGCCAATTCGGGAACCCACTTCCTGATGTAATGTCCTTCCTTGTCAAATTTCTCACTCTGCAATAAAGGGTTGAAAATCCGGAAGTAAGGTTGTGGATCGACGCCCGTGGAAGCCGAGAAGCCCCAGCCTCCGTTATTCGAAGCGAAGTCCCCATCGATGAGATGTTCCATGAAGTAGCGTTCGCCCATGCGCCAATCGATTAGGAGGTCCTTGGCGAGGAACGAGGCTACGATCATGCGGCAGCGGTTATGCATGTAGCCCATATAGTTCGCCTGGCGCATTGCCGCGTCCACGATGGGGAAACCGGTATTTCCTTTGCACCATCGATCAAATTGCTCTTCGTTGTATTCCCATTCAATGGCCGAGTATTCGTACTTGAACGGCTTGAACATGCAGATGTAAGGCCAATTGGCAAGAACGTGCTTGTAGAAGTCTCGCCAAGCGACTTCGGAGATCCAACCTGTGATGCCTGCGTTGCCGCCGTCGAGCTTCTTGGTGCTATTGACGTCCCGGGCTGAGCGGACTGCAGTGCGAGCGGCCAGTGTACCAGCCGAGAAGTGGACAGAGAGCATGGCTGTGCTGTTCTCGGCGGGGAAATTGCGGGTATCTTTGTATTTGCCAACTTTGTCGTTGAGGAAGCGATCGAGACGCTCGCGAGCTTCGTGTTCGCCTGCTGGCCAGAAGTTGGCGAATCGTTTTTGTTCTTCTTCAGTCAAAGTCTTGTTCGGCGGAGCTGAGGGTATCTCGGCGTCGAACAGAGATCTGAACTTCGAACGGGCGGTGGATGGATTTTGCTGTGGTTCGTCGTGTGCGTTGAGCAGGTGCGGATGTTCATGGATATACTTGACCCAAGCACGAAACCAAGGCGAATAGACGGAATATTGCTTTCCCTGCCCACTCGCAAGATCTCCGGGTGCCACAACCACATCATCATGCACCACATCAAAAGCAATGCCCTTCTTTAGGGCCAGCTTCACCATCTTTGCTTCCCTCCTCAGCTCATCCACCTCATACTCGATATTGCAGTACACGTGCTTAGCTCCCCACTCCTCACACTTCTCCAGTATAAAAGCCGGAACTTCCTTCCTTTCCTCAACAGTCTTCACAAATAACGGTATATCCCTGTCCGCCAAATCTCCTCTCAGCACTTCCAGGCTCCTTAGCTCAAAATCCACTCTCGCCGAGCTCGTCAAATGCGCCTGGTAATCCTGCGGGCTCACAATAAACACACAAATCAAAGGCACGCCTTTGCTCTTCGCTTTTTCGCTCGCCATATGTAAGGCTTTGTTATCGAATATCCTCAGATCGCGTTTGAACCAATGCACGACGCTCTCTCCTGGTACGATCTTTTCTCGCGCAGCTTTTGTCTCTGCGAGAACAGTGTTCAAGCTTTCGATCGGCCGGGGTATTTCGTTGTTATTGTACATGGCGCATCGTTCGTTGCTCATTTCCGGTGGATAGAATTCGCGTTGCACGATGCCGAATTTCTCAGCGATGCGGGAGTGGTCGTAGCCATTTGGACTGGAGCTCTTCTTGGGTGACACGGTGTGCTGTTTCTTCGACGATGGAGGTCGCACTGGGGAGGTTGCCTTGCGCTTTGGCGCCATGGTGACTTTGTGATGGGAGCAGAGGTGTCGCTGGGGTTGGAATCGTGTGGGTCGCAGTTTCAACGATTGCCAGAGTAGCACCTGCGAGTGTTGCTTGAGCATCAATCAGGCCAGAATTCCTCAAAATTGATGGTTTCTGACAGCTGGAGAATGGAAGAGCACGCGTGCATGTTGTCGCGATATCGACGACGTCAGACAAAGGACGGGAGCTTTCTCCAGGCGCGTTCCTAGATTGCGGAGATCGATCGATGCTAGTGCCGATCCAGGCCAGTCACAGATTTGATTGCGCCCTCATCAAAATTTGAGCGGCGGTGATTCCTCCTTTCTTCCAACTACACCATCTCTTTTCTCGCCATATACCGGCTCCAAGGTTCATCTTCAGTATCTCGATACATACGAAGCGCGCGAGAGCCAACAAGGAGCACATCAGAATGTGTTTTTCTAGAGATCACTTGAAGAGATGCAATGGGCTATTCTGGGCCTTTGCTTTCGATGAGCGTCAACATTGTATCGATGTAATCCGCATGGGGCAGACGAAGATGAGGAGACGACGGGAGTAGCGCAAGTACTGCGCGATTGTGAGTAGCGAGCAGCAATCGAAGCATTCCGGAGAGTATCGCACGGAGATTTGCAAGGCCGATGGGTCCGGAATACCAAAATGCAGCTCCCGCGCGCAGCACCTTTGTTCTATCTTGGACTTAGCTTTTCCCATACTCTTTCACGATTATACTTTGCGGTGCAGAGCTACTAGACAGTGAGTGGGAGTTTGGTGCTTGACGCCGATGATGACTCTACTGAAGACATCGTTTCCTCGCGACGCAATTTGCCGCATAAGACGATGTCTCTGCCAAATGTTGTCGAACGGGTCTCCTGAAGCCATGCTGCGTTCTGTCGCCCTTGATCCGAGTATTTTGGCGCAGGCGCTACAGCAACGCCGCCGTGTCCGAGATAGGTGGGTGCGATGGTGATGATGACGGCGTCTATTAGATCTGGCCATGAAAGCAGAGCGTTGATCACGGCGGCACCTCCCTCAATCATGACGCTGTTTACGCCTTGCTGCTTCAACCCAGCCAAGATTGCCACCCACGAGAGAGTAGTCGATGGTTGCTTGGCGGGCTGGTAGCCGGACGGGTATTGACTGTGGTCTTCATACACCAGCAGGTGATCCTCGCGGAGCTGAGACCTGCGAGCGCCGAACTGACTCTCTGCGCCACTCACTATCCAGGGCCTCTTCCCTTGACCTTCCCTGGCGAGGCGACAGGCTTTCCTGTTGTGGCTATAGAAGCGACCTTTGGTGTCGACTATGACCGGCTGAGGCTGGTCGGCGAACGAGGCACCTGGATAGCGGCAGTTGAGGCTCGGATCGTCGACGACGGCCGTACCAGCGCCAACCAGAATGGCATCATGTCGGAGACGAAGGTAGTGTGTCATGCACTTGGACTCGGGGCCTGACAGCGTAGTTCGCACGCCTGGAGCCAGCGCAATCATACTGTCCAGGGAAGTTGCATACGTCAATGTTACGAAGGGCAAATCAGGCTTTTCTCCAGAAGGACTGCCAAGCGTCTCCAAGTCCAAGGTCCGGGTTTCATGTTGGAGGGAGGCGCAGGCATCCGGTGGCAAGTACGGCTCCAAGAAGTCCTTCTGCTCCTGCGTGAGCTCGCCAACGTCCGACATTCGGATCAGACCGATTGTCGGCCGTTGTGCAGTAAGTAGGCGCTGTCGAGGAGTGAGTGGAGATGAGATGAGAGTGATGAGTGAAGGTGGAAGACCGCAGAAGAAAAGTGGAAGGAAGAAGTTGGCATCGTGATTCGTGATGCCTGCAGCGTAGCGGGTCTTCCCTCGGCACCGAGACGCCAAGCCTTCCCAGGTTGTATCCCGACCACCCGACCTCTCCTTTCCTGGCCTTCACTCTTCACTGCGATGTCCACCAAAACACACCCACGCCTTACTTCTATCCTCTTATAGCCTCTGCAGACTGGATCGGGACGATACTGTGATCCCTAATTCGCCGTTACTGAATCGCTCGCCATTGGCTATTGGCCTCTACTGCTATCGACTTTGCTCCCTCGTCTGACACGCCACAAATTGGTGCCCGAATCCTCGTCCTGGACCCCATACTTGCCTCCTACAACCCGATTATCGACGGCTGCTCTCTCTGGCGAAGGATACGGCAGCTGTCAAGTTGACGTCTGCGTTGATGGTGAGGAGCTTCACCGATTTGGATGCTATTCGCCAGTACCTGCAGTCCCGTGCACCGGACTGATGACACGAAGCACACCACAACGCCTGGAGATCGGATACAACCTTGCCCGAACCCCAATCTACGGGGCAATCGGATCTCTCGGTCTCCCGGTCTCGTCAGCCATCGTGCTGCTCCTGCAGGGCGCCTGCTTTCGAGCCCTCTGCTGGAAGGGTATGTTTGGTCGTCAAACAGACCAGTGTGCCAGCAGCATCAACCAGGCGTCCATGGTCCACGTATGTCCAGACATCATTCGTCTCTCGCTCGCAGCCGAGATTGCGCAAATGCTCAAAATACTCGACACACTCGCGAAGTAGGGACCTTCCCATCACGCAGCTTGACCTGTTCGTGCGACAAGCATGCCATGCTTTCGAGTTCGTGAGCCGTCCTTGACGTATGCAGATCCTGTTTCTTCCAGTTTGTTCGGAGTCAGGGTGTGATTTCAGCCCGCCATGCCGAGACCCGTCTTGTCTGGGCAGGAGTGTCTTCGTCTCAAGACTCTGGGACCCCTTCTGTTATGTTCAACAAAGAGGCGGGACAATAAGTTGGACACAGTCCCCCGTAAGTACTCCCTGCTCCTCCTCCACGCTCGCTTGCTGTACGTACGTTCGCTACTGGATTCAAGATGGTGGTCTCTTCGGTCGTTATCCTCTCGACTTTAATATCGGTAATAGCAGCACAGTCTGCGCAACAACCCTCTACATTTACACCAGCTCGACCACCGGCCATCCCACTCGCTGTCAGATCGCCCTACCTCAGCACTTGGCAACCAGCCGGCCAGCATGGAGGCAATGGAGGACACCTCCCAGGAGAATGGCCCACCTTCTGGTCTGGAAGCGTCACCGGCTGGTGCGGTCTCATTCGTGTCGATGGCGAGACGTACAACTGGATGTAAGTACTGCCTCGCTGACAACCACTATCATTGCTTATGGATCTGGTAGGGGGAAGCCGGAACCGCTCCCAGCCCTCGCCCGGCAGACCGCTTTTGAGTATACCTCGACGAGAAGCACCTTCACACTGGACGTCGGTGGCAATGTCACGATGAACGTCACTTTCCTCTCTCCGGTCGATCCCAAAGACAAGCAACGACAGAGCATGCCAGTCTCGTACATGACTGTTGCGGTTCAGTCATCGGATGGGAACCCGCATGACGTGGCAATCTACACGGACATCAGCGCGGAGTGGGTGTCTGGAGATCGAAGCAAGACTGCTCAGTGGAATAGTGGAGTGGCTCAAGGAAGCAGCGATGCCTGTACTGGCTCACTGGCATACCACAAAGTCTGGCGACAGGAACAGGCGGAATTCGCCGAAGATGCCGACCAGGCGGCTTGGGGATACTGGTACTACGCGACCCAGCAAGCTGAAGGATTGACCCGCCAATCTGGTGCCGATGTCGATGTCCGCAAGCAATTCACTGACCGGGGAGAACTGGCCAACACCGAAGACACCGACTTCCGCGCCATCGACGACCGATTCCCCGTCTTCGGCTTCGCCAAACAGCTCGGCCACGTCTCGCAGCACGCGCACGAAACGCTCTTCACCATCAACCTCCTGCAGGAGCGCGCGGTGCAATTCGGCCGCGAAGGCGGCGTGCAGCAAGTGCCCAGCTACTGGACGAACACGTCCCCCGACGAGCTCAGCGCCCTCACGACCTTCTACTTCGACTACCGCAACGGCGCACGCGTGTCCGCCGCGCTGGACAGCGACGTCGCCACGGACGCCCGCGCGGCGGGCGGCGAGGACTACGTCGCCATCACTTCGCTCGCCGTGCGCCAGGCCTGGGGCGCCCTGCAGCTCGCCGGCACGGAGCAGGACAGCTACATCTTCTTCAAAGAAGTCAGCTCCGACGGCAACGTGCAGACCGTCGACGTCATCTTCCCCTTCACGCCCATCCTGCTGTACATGAACGCGCACTGGATGAAGATGGTGCTGGACCCCCTGTTCATCAGCATGGAAACGCCCGGGCTGTGGCCGGCGGATTTTGCGATTCACGATATCGGCCGCCACTATCCCAATGCCACGGGACACGCGGACGGCGACGCCCCGCTGCAGCCGCTGGAGGAGTGTGGGAATATGCTCATCATGACGCTGGCGTACGCGCGGAGGACGGGCGACACGGCGTATTTGGAGCAGCACTGGCCGAGTCTCGACAAGTGGGCGCAGTGGCTCATCAATAATAATTCCGTCATTCCATTTAACCAGATCTCCACCGGTAAGTACACCTCCACTTGAGAAAATTTTTTGAATTACATGTGATCAATCTAACACTCTGCACAGACGACTTCGCGGGCACGCTCGCCAACCAGACCAATCTTGCGCTCAAAGGCATCATCGGCCTCCAGGCCGCCAGCGTCATGGCCAAGATGACCGAGCGACACTCCGAAGCATCCGACTACGCCAACACCGCCTCGGACTGGATCAAGGAATGGGAGCAAGCAGCCGTCGACACCGCCGCCAACCCGCCACACACCGTCCTCAGCTACGGCGACGAAGACTCCTACTCCCTGCTCTACAACCTCTACGCCGACGCCCTGCTCGAGACCGAGCTCGTGCCCACTTCCATCTACCGCATGCAGTCCAATTATTACCCGACCATGAACAAGCGATTGGGCGTCCCCCTCGACACACGGAGCCCTCGCGTCAAGAGCGACTGGGAGATGTTCTGCGCCGCGATCGCAGGCCCGGAGACGCGGGAGATGTTCATGCGGGATCTGGTAACGATGATTAATGAGACGCCCACGAGCGGGCCTCTGACGGATCTGTTCGATGCGAATACCGGGGAGTATGCCCTGGGGTTACTGGGGCCGTTCAAGGCACGGCCTGTGGTCGGGGGGTTCTTCAGTCTGTTGGCGCTGAATCGGATTGGGATTCCGAACTACTGATTTGTTTTTCATGGTGAAAGGGTAGGGTAGGGTAGGGTAGGAGCTGGCTTTTGGTGGTGGTGGTGTTGGGGCCGGGAGAAGCTTTCCATTTTCTTTGCTTGCCGGGATGCCTGTCGCAGGACGGCAGAGCCGCGGAGATGTGGAACTTCGTCTCGAGCGAGCGAGGACTTCTTTTCGGAGACGTTAAGAAGAACCGACGGATCCATTTGACTGATGCATGGGCAGGCAGGGCAGATGATAATGCGGACCTCACTGGACGGTGTCTGCTTTCTTTGTCGTTGGACGAGGGCGACCATGTCGAATAGGTCGATTTGACTAGACATTCGAATACAAAGCATGAATATGTCGTAGCTGCCTCTTTGGGTCAGTAGTTCCAGTCATGGCGGACCCACCTTCGCCTCGTTCTGGCGATGGAGGGTGTGGCGGCGGCGGCGCGTTTGAGCGGTCGAGCCATGCGTTCAACACGCACTTCCGAAGTTGGGTGCGGTGTGGTTGTCTGCATGCGAGATGTTCGCTTGGAGAGCGTCGCATCTGCTCAGCGATGGCTTGATGGTCCTCGGAGCTTTCGCCAGATGTCCAGAAGAGGCAAGACGCTTGATGTGGAGGCTGGAGATGATTGTGCTTCGTGATCTCGACCACATTGCCTGTGGAGAGCGTGGCACCCGGGTGGTCTGCACGGTCGACTGTCCATGTGCTCGCCACACGCGCTTGACCATTAGCCGAGCGTGGTCATGGAGGCGGTCTTGGATGTTCCTCTGCCTGTACATTTCTGGAATCTCGTCGCCGCCGGGATCTCTCGCGAACATGTCTGAGCTCTCCGGTATCGCTTGCCGCTGTCGTCGTCTATCTGAAGGCGTTTGGCGAGGGGTTGAACCACGCAAGAGCCATTCCGGACTTCGAATCGCATCGACCGATGTGGTCGGCTGTACGTATTCTCGTGAAGGATTGAAGACTGGGCTCCTGCGACTTCGCCTGGGGGATGGAGAGACGGCAGAGCAGCCTGCCAGGTGCCGGGCGGATGCAGATGCAGTTGGCAGAGTCGCTCGCTACCAGCAGGACGGACCGCAGGGCGATGTGAGCGCCACGCAGATGGCAGGCTCACACGGCGAGCCCGTCCGTGTGTTTCGCCATGGCAATCGCTGATGAGGAGGAGGGTGAGATTGACGAAGACCCCACGCAGTTTGTCGCCGAGGAGAAAGATGCGGTTGCCTTGCTTGCGCTGATCAACGATTTCTGAGTGGACCGTGGTGAAGATGGACTGGTGTTTGAGAGGGCCGATCGAGTGGTGCTTGCAGGGGGAGAAGAGGACGCCATCTCGCAGGGATGCATCGGCCGAAATACAACACACAACAACTGCGCGGGCGGGCGGGCGGTCGGCTCGCGGGAGGGTGCCAAGACGGCGTGGGATGTTTCTTCCCCCTTGCGCGCTTGCCGGCCTCGGGATCGGGATCGGGGAAGCACACATACGAGGGTGCGAGTGTACGGGAAAGAATGTGTGGAATGGCATACGAGAGAAGGAGAGAGAGAGAGAGAGAGAGAGAGAGATGCGAAATCGACGGGCGAGACCCGGAGCAATGGTTAGGGTTGCGATGTGCGATGCACCCCGGCGCCGGCGTCTGGGTGGAGATAATCTGGATGGAATCTCGCAAGGAATATCGCGACACCTCACTTCCGCACGCGCCCCCGACTGCACCGACACACCCTCTCGCCTCTGTCCCGTCGTTCACTCCATGTCACCGCATCCTCAATCCTGGCGCTGCGTCATGGAGAGGCATGGCTCGCCTTCGTACCTACCAACCAACACGTCTCCAACCCATCCGTGCGTGCTTCGACCAATCCGTACTCCAACCAACAATCTGTGAATCCGTACTTCCATTCATCAACATCGAAAGAATGTGGAAGGGGGCGCGGGACCGGGGTGTCGAGGCGCTATCCCGTTGCGGGCAAGTCGTGCTACATCATGGATGTGTTCTCGCTCGCTAGGGCGATGCGGTGAATGCACCTCACGCCTGGAGCAGAATGCGCTTTCCTGTTCCGGTTCCGACCACTGCGATCCACCGTCGTCTCCCCCAATGCTAGCTCCTTCCACTTCCACTTACGTTGAGCGGCGGCTGTGCTGCTCGGTGTCTGACGGGACAATGCTGTAGGTACGTTAATAAAGCAGGCGCAGGCGCAGGCGCAGGCGAGGGCATCAAGTGCACATGCCGCTCACATGGCGGGCCTGCGATTTGTCACGCCGCCGGCAACGAGCCTTGGGCTCCAGCTTCCCGTCGTCCCACCACCACCACCACACACTGCCATCCCGCCGCCGAGCTGTTCGTGAGGCTGCCCTCGCTGTAAGTTCTGTAACCGGCAGGAACGGGAAAGCCTTTGGGCAGCAAGCAACAACAACTATAGCAACACCGACATGACATCACCCTGGCCACCTTCCCCCCACGCAACCCATTGCAACTTCCCTCTTTGCCTCTCCTCTTTCCTCTTCATCGCCCACCTCAGCCGCAATCTCGACCAGACATCTCGCGCGCCTGCGACGTGCCGTCCACGTCCACGTCCACGCTGCCTCCTCGCTGCGGGCAGAGAGAACCATCCATGCTGAGCGCCCATGACGACCCTCACGCCGCCGCCTCCGCCGCCTCATGCTGCGCGCAATTCGCATGCGAGCGGCCGGCAGACAGACAGGACTGACTCCCACAGCGACCCAGAGATACGGGCCGCTAATTGCGCATGACAGATCGTCCGGAGGGCAATCACCGCAATCTGTGTGCAGTCAATCAGCATGGCCAAGCACACAACCAATCTGCGACCCGCGCCGCTGGGCCCGATCGAATCCAGGATAGGCCCAAATGAGGCGTTCGTGCTGATGGTGATACCGCAGCCATCCCAGACCCTTCCAATCTACACTCTACATCATCCCTGGGCTGTGGGCAGAGAGAGAGAGAGAGAGAGAGAGAGAGAGAGAGAGAGAGAGAGAGAGAGAGAGAGACGCCTCCCGCAGCCCACATGCTGGTAGCTGTGCAGCGTGAGCCCGCGAGCGAGCGAGCGAGCTTATCATGGGCATGGGCATTGCCAGGCACGTTCCATTCACTCGACAGAGCTAACAGAGAGCTGCCGCGCGGGCAGCAGCGCGATCCGAACTCTATGGGCAAGCAGATGCGGGATGGCTTATTGGCCCTGTCACACGCACACGGCCGCTTTTCTTAGCCCACCCTTGGAGCTGATCCACTCGCAGGCCCGGCTCGACTTCCGCGCTTCGCCTGTGGCGCCATGCCGCTAAATGCGATCAAGTGGCATACCTTACCGCGTTGCATGGGGGTCGACGCTTCGTGCAGACGATGTACGTGCCCTCACCTGCGACCAGGACTGGCGACGTAGACTCGCCGCCCAATCATCCGCCTACCCACATCGGATCGCGCTCGTCTCGTCTCATTCAAGGCGAATCTGATCGCCACACCACCCCGTTCGGCTGCCTCGCTGAGCACACTCCCTCCCCTCTGGTGAGCCTTCTTGCCCTCTCCCTCTGTCCTCAGGGCGCACACTACGCCCGCGCGGTACCTGGACGGTTGTCAGGCACACGCCTCACTCTCCTCCTGGCCCTTCCCTGGAGGGGTGGGTCTGGATGTGTCCCCTACGACGCTCCTGCAGCCTTCTGGATTCAGTCGGTGATGATGGCCTGTACATGGGTCCGGTGGATGATGCTACATGTTCGAACGCCTCGCGTCGCCTGTCCGTCTTGCAACCCGTCACGTTGGTTTAGACAGCATGTTGTGCTTCGATCGCTTATCTAGATCGTGGCCCTCCTCCGCTCTGCTCCTCCTTCGCAGTTGACAGCCCTGGGACCGACGTGGCATGCTTTCCACCTTCTCAACGCTGACCTGTTGAGCTGCGTGGACTGTATGTAGCATGGCTTCCTCCTCCTGGGCTGGCTATGGCCCCGCGGCTCCCACCCAGGGACCTTCTTCCGCCCACCTCCAACGCAGCGCCTCGGGTGACCGTCAGAAGAAGCCTCAGTCCCGACAACTCCTTTCGTGTACCAAATGTCGAGAGAGAAAGGTTAAGGTTCGGAGTCGACCGCCTCATCGTTGGCAGCTTACGCTAATCCATCACCGCAGTGCGACCGTACCAAGCCATGCTCTGCTTGCTGCGCCAGAGGTCATCCCAAGGAGTGCGAGTTCGTCGTGGGCGAAGGCAACGACTATAGTCCTATTCAACAGTCGTACGAGATTCGAAAGCTTCGTGCTGAGAACCAACGGCTCAAGGAGAGGCTTCAACAAGCTCGCTTGACCGGCTCCGGAGACGACGATGATGATGGCGACTCTTCTGACCGCAAAGGGTCGAGGACGACTTCGAGAGCAGCTGCCTCGCGCCAACGACGCTTCAAGACTGGAGAGCGGGTCGACAACCTGTACTTCGGCACGCCGGGTCTCGCCAACATCGTACACGACGTAAGTGCTTGCTCCATCGCATCACAGCTTTTCAAAGTCCGACTGACGACGCAGTTTGCCAATCTGCAAGTCGGCAGTCAATCACTAACGCATACCGTCCCACGAGGTCGAGACATGTACCTGCCGCCGGACGGTCCATCGGCATACCCTTTCCCCATCATGCAGGGTGGTAATTCCGCCGCGGAGCTCGCGAGAGGGCTCTTGAGATCACACGACCTTGTCTACGAGACGGTCGATATCTTCCAGCGCAGAGCTCAGTCATGTTACTTTCCACACACTCCGGATGAGGTGACGAAGAGGGAGGTCGAGCGGTTCCTGTCGGACGCCGAAGGCAATGCAGAGAAGTATCCGGACATGCTCGCTCTCATATTTGCGACCATGGCCACCGGGATGCAGATGGGCGTGTACGACAGACATGGCGGCTGGGTTGCCGGCGCAGTGGAAGATACAAGAAGAACAAGTGATGTCTACCGTGGGTCAACTGCAGACTTCGTCGCAATCTCATCCACTGACCACGATGTAGTGGCCGCGGCGAAGCAAGCACTACGACTCGCTTCCTATCTCAACTCGCCCACGTTACTCGGCATTCAAACACTAATCATGATGGGGCCATATTTGACAAATAGTGGACGCTTCCTGGACGCTTGGACGTTGTTTGGCACTACCATTCGCATGGCGCACTCGATCGGTCTTCATCGCGATCCGAAGTTCCTCGACCCAGCACCACCGTTACGTGAGTGCAGTATCAGACGAACACTATGGTGGTGGATGCTGCATATGGACCAACAGTACTCCGTAACCCTTGGACGGCCGCTTGGTATCTCTGGCTTTGGCGACTGCCCTGCTCCCGAGCCGCTCACGACGAACCCAACCATACTGCGACTCGGCGAGTTTGTCGACCACTTCACCATACTCGCGCGGCAAATACTCAGCAGCGACGGCATGATGAATGTGAGCAGGATCGACGAGTTCACGGACAAATTGGTTGGCCTGTGGGATACCATGCCGGAGGCTTTGCAGTTCAACGAGAGCTGGGTACAACCGGACAAGATTTTACCGGAATGGCCTCTTGAGGTCATGTCTGCAAGTAAGTGGACGACTGCGAGGTTGGCCGGAGCCAGGCGCTGACGGACGCAATAGTGCTGTTTTCCAAAGTTCAGTCCTTCCTCATACTACTCAACCGCCAACGAGTCGAGCGGACCCAGGCGACACCAGGCGATCATTCTCCGCCGGGACACATGATGCCACCTCCTCGACCACAACAGATGTCGAACTCGCTGCCGTATGGGGAGCACGCAGCACCTGTGCGCGGACGAAGGCTAGTCATCAACTCATGCGCTCAGCTCTTGCAAGCATTCATGTTCTTCTACCACCGCAATCCAGCAGTATTGATCTGCTGGACCATGGGACAGCAAGCCTTCAACGCTTGTATGATTCTCATCCTGCACGCCTGGGAGACGGAAGAGGAACACCACCAATGGCTCGTTGAGAACGCGTTTGTCGCCTTCTCCGAGCTACAGAATAATGGAGTCCACAGACTCGCAGAAGTCGCTGTTCGCAGGATATCAGACGGTCTGGCGATGCTCGGACAACGGAAACAGCAACGCGAGCAGCAAGCTGCCATGTCGCGACGGCAGCCTGGCTATCACCCACAACTCCAGATCGACACGGCTTCGATGACGGACTTTTCGAACGACGCTGTCATGGGAAACACGGGCATGTTCCTACTGGAAGACCCCGGACTACAATCATACACCGCGCCAGTCTTTCAACCGCTAGGATGGCACATGGCTGGTGGCAGCGCACACCCGTCAAACTCCTCCAACCCCACGACACCCAACATTCCCTCGCCGATCGTACCCGTCAGCCTAGTCACAGCGGCTCCTTTTCCGGTCATGTGCTCCCCTCCGTTCATGTCGCCCATCGTTTCCCGAGTCGACGTCTTACCTCCGTCCTACGGTACCGCGCCACCTATTGCCCAGGCAGCTTTTACGCCCATCAACACGGCGACCGGCGTCCCCTTGGCCCCGGCACCGCGAGGAGAGGAACCGCAGTCTTTTTCTCGGGTCCGCGGTCCCCCTCATGGCCACAGTCATCATCGGCAAGCCCCAGGGTCGGGACCGCGAGGCATCAATCAGCATTCGCATCAACACCAGCACCGGCCGGCGCGGAGTCAGCAGCGGAGGAAGTGAGCGCGGCCCGCGGAGATGATGGTGCCACACGTGAATGGCAGGCCAATGCCGGTCGACAGTGGGTTTGTCTGTGGCTGTGGTGACAGCGCACACCCGCCGCCCGCCGCAAAAAGAGGCAAGGCTAAGCGTGGTTCATCCCTCGAAGATGCATTCTGTCTGTGTGCTTGCTATATGGATGCAGCAATTCGAACCGAAGCGAGAATCTTATCACTCTGCGGAGCATCTTTACCGGTGCTGCTTCGTCTGTCTGTTGTTTGTTGTTGTGCATATAATCGACAGCCACAAGAGGAGCAGCCAGCCGGCCGAGAAACTGAAGGAAGGCAAACAGGGACCGATCAAATAAGAGGAAGAAGCCTGCAAAGGCAAAACGGGCGACTACTACTGATGAACGGGAACGGGGAAAGGGGGAATCCTATCCAGGTGGGATGTGTAATTTTTTTTTTTTTCCCCTCTCTTCCGGCGCTGTAGGCAATACCTTAGGGCGCGGGTGGAAGAAGCGGGAAGGAAGGGAGGAGGAAAGGGGGGCCCGATCCACTCTCCTCGCATCGAATCGCGGGTTTTTTTATCATTATCATTATCCTACATGTACCTATCTGCTGTCTTTGTGTAGACCGGCTTTGTAGACCGGAGCTATCTACCACGTGTGTGTGGTAATATTTCCATTGTAACAGAAGAGGGTCATCGGGTTATTAGCTGCGTTTTCCCGCGGGCCTGCCTCACAGTAACGAGATCGATAGATGCTACTGCTGCGATGCGAAAGCGAAAGCGACTTCTTTTGCATTCGCCGGCTACCAGTCTGGTATCTATCTACTATGCAGCAGCTAGCTAGTAGTAGTGACGGATGTAAGGTGGGCATGCGGGAGGATTCTGCCTTCCCCGTGCCGCCCGCGTGCTTGCTTGCTGTCAAGTCACACGGCACACGGGGGCTGGGCTGGGATAGCCTTGGCTGAGGGTACCTTAGTCTTGGTCTTTGGTTTTCGTTTCGTTTTCGCTCTCGCTCCTGCGCTGTTGGCTGTGCTGTCAATTTTCAGGTTCTGACTACTACTACTACTACTAGAGAGATACTGTGGACTGTGTGTGTGGACACACTTGGAAGGGCAAGGCAAGGCAAGGGTTTAGTGGTGGAGGGAAGGGGGAGGGGGAGGGGGAGGGGAAAAATTTCGTGGATGCTGCTGCTGCGTGTTGCGTGGCAGGCTCGTGGCGAATGGAATGCTGGCTTGCTGGTTTTTCCTTGGTTGCGTGTGCGTGTTTGAGATTCTGTACGTGTGATGAGCTAGGGAGATAGGGCGATGGTGTGGGCTCTGCGATGGTGATGATGATGATGATGATGATGATGATGATGATGATGACGACGACGACGAGGAGGAGGAGGAGGTCGGTGGGCCGCCGAGCTCGTTGGTCTGTGAAGGAGATTGGCGTCGCCATCATCATGCGGTTGGTGATGAGTGAGAAAGCTGTCACATTTGCGGCGCAGTCGTCAGTCGTCTGTGGGCATCGAAAGGCCGCATGCGGGCCCGGTTTCGTGAGGCGAAACGTCAAACTGGAAGGAAGGAAGGAAGACGGCGAAAATGCGGAGACTCTCATGTGGCGAAGGGACCGACCAGGACCGGGCACTCTGGCGAGGTCAGCTCCGTGACGGGATTTTTTTTTTTTATTTTTCTTCCTGCTGACTGCTACTGACGGTCACACGCGAGCAAAAATCGGTAGCTGGCGGTTGGCGGTTGGCGGTGTCCTTGTTGCGTGACTGACAGATCTGCGGGCGTTCGCTAGATTTCTGATCGTCGCGAAGGGTGGAGATGTGTGTTCCAAATGCATACCGAATACGCGAACATGTCGGTGGTCTACTTTCAGCTGAGAGCCTGTAGAGCGAGGAAAAGCAGTGCTTTCTTTTCTGACATGCTTTGCTGATGCTCACTGCCATTCATCATTCCGTCTTGGTCTCTTGCCTGTCCAGAATAATGTTCGGCACATTCATGCCCGGGTAGCGGCCAAGAATCGACTGATCGGGCACAGCCGTCGTAGCGATGTCGGGATGGCTGGTCTCCAGAGGACAGGCCAGTACAAAACGCTGAAAACGACGAGCAGCGCCGGCGCATCATGGGAGGACTCGATTTCAAGGCTACAGTTCTCTTTGATGCAGAGGAGCCGATCTGAAAGAGCTGGACTGATGTATTCTGTCGTGGACAGATATGACACCCTACGGAGCGGGGAAGAATCACTGAAGAATCGCTGAAGGGTTCAGTGTGGGCCGCATAAAGCGTGGTTGGGAGAATGAAGAAAGACGAGAGCGTTCTCTGTCACCTGCAGGGAAATGCACATGCTGCATAAGCTTTCATGTCTCTTGATATGGTGGCGGGCTCGCGATGGAGCTGCATCTGGTGGACCGTCAAGACTTGCGGTCAATGAAATCTCCAACCTTCCCGTGCTGAAGCAGACACGACGCGATGACGGCCTGTCTGCGTGACTGCAGAAGTTGACGAGAGGAAATGGAACCAGAGGTAAGCGATGCCACAACACCATTGCTCGCTGCGGATAGGGAGAGCTCTTCAAATCCTGTCGACCGTATAGGTGTATCCCACTTGAGGCGACCCTTTCGAGCCTCCAGCGGTGCGCAGCTTGGGCGTTTGAGGCGTAGAACGAGAGAAGATACGGTGCAAACACAGCTGAACCTGCGGTCTGCTCCCTGGGTCGACATGCAAGTTTGAGCCGTAAAACAGGTCCCAGTGGGATTCGGCCAGCTGACAAACTTGCCCGCTTTGGCAACCTCAGATGAGGTAAGTGTACGAAGTCGTGTGAAGAGCATGACTTCCAAACCCAGATATTGGGCTCAGATCCTGCGACACGAGACTGGTAGGAGAATCCCTGTTTCCGTTCGAGTTGGACCGAATCGTGCTCTAATGCAAGCACTGGGACTTGAATGCAGCGCCCAGTGGCTGCGGACCTCATCAGCACCGTCATTATGCTTCGTGGAGTGTTGTACGCTGTCTCAATCGTGTGTGCTGGTTGATGTCAATTGCTACGAGTGAGGCTTGTCGTCGAAATGATCCCTTGCCCAATGTCGATCTGGCATGGGCCTAACTAGATTTAGGGGCAATCTTCTGGCCGGCCCGCTCCTCGTCGGGACAACGTTTTTCCGCACATGAGGTTCCTAGGTTGGCTGGTGTCATTCGATGGCACATCTACGTACGACAAAACACCGCACGGCGTGTCTCTGCCAACTGATCAACTCAACGCAGAGGCACCCCGGCGGAGCTCACAAGACAGTCCGCCATTCACGCACATAATTCTTCTCCTTCATCGCCCCTGACCGCTGTAACGATCACAGGATACCCGGTGTTGCCCGATGCCCCTCGCCTGCGGCGGACTTTTGTGGAGAGCACGCGACACAACAGCTCAAGCTCACCTCGCACTCTGTCAACACTGAAGGCGATGACTAGCTCCAGTCCGCACCGCCGCGACGCACCATCAATTCCTTCAAATTCCAACACATCGCACAATGATCGTGAGCGCATGATTCACTGGCGAACAGCCGCCATCAGCACCACTGCACCGTGGCTCAACAGAACGAATTCCGCAGAGAGAAAGAGAAGACACACGGGATCGGAACCTGAGCGCAGAGACTATCCGTATCAACCATATCAGCCGAACGAGACTGTTGAGCATTCCCATACACCTGAATCTCGCTTGGACGATCCGGCGAGCACAGCAACTGCCAACCGAGAACAGTCAGGGAGTAGCCAACGAGATCCACCATACAACCCTTTTCGCCCAAGAATCGCACCTGATCTCACGCTCGACGACCGGTGTGGTCTTCGTCAACCTGTTCTAGACGGTCCAAGATATCCTCCTGATCCAGACGGCCTATTTGCCTTCGAGATTCCCAGCGAACTTGAACTTGGCGGAGGAGAAGTAGAGAGCGATCTGGATACAGCAGTAGATCCGGCGAGCTCAGCACGCTCTTTCCGGCCGAACGCAATGAGTCGTGGAAGTGTACTGAGCTCCGCCGGCAGCAGGCGTGAGAGCGACGTCGTTTTGCCGCCATGGCAGCCAGACTCGGAAGCCACCAAGTGTCCCGTGTGCAACACCGACTTTGGCATCTTCTTCAGAAAGCACCACTGCCGCAAGTGCGGACGTGTCATCTGCAGTAACTGCTCGACGCACCGCATCACGATTCCCAGAGAGTACATCGTCCACCCACCGTCGCATCTCCACGGGAATCCGGCATCGCCATCAAGACTGGGAGACAACCCGGCACTGGGTGGAGGAGCAGAGGTCAGAGTCTGCAATCCATGCGTGCCCGATCCGAATCCGTGGCCACCTGTTCATGCTCCCGCTCCAACTGCGGGCGAGGCGCGGCGGCAATCCAATGCGCCAGTGAATATCGACTTTGCGCCGCCGCAATCCCTGATCTCGAGATTAACGCGGCGGGAGAACGAGCGCCTCAATGAGCTCCGCCCATCAATGGCACAGCCGAACTCGATGAGGCAGCGATCGAACACTCATCAGCCACCGCCGCCCAGTGGTCGCATCCACATCCCGCCCCCATCATCTCGGATGCGGCGGGGACCATCGTACAGCATCGGCCCGCCGCACCCTTATCTCGGCACGGAGGCAGGAACGGCCTCACTATCGCAACTTCGGCCACCGTATCCTCGAGATTACACACCAGGCAGCCCCGATCGCCGAGGACAGTCGTTCAATCCGGCCAGTGGGCACCATGCCCGCATGCCAGGCAATTCGTCTGCTCCCGACTTTAGCTCTCCAAGCTTGGCTCGGCCTCCTCCGCAGCCGAGACGGCAAGTGAAGGAGGAGGATGAATGCCCGGTCTGTGGGGTGGAAATGCCGCCCGGCGAGAGCGTCCGCGAGACGCACATCCAAGAGTGCATCTCCTCTCGCTTTCTCACGCCTGCACAGCCATCGCGACCAGGACCACAATCGTTTGGTGCCTCTGACCCGGGCCCACAAGACGCTCGTGGCTCACAGATGTCGAGCAGTGTCAGCCCGCCTACCGTTCCAGAGGGATCTCGGCCACGGGCGACGAGCTACAGACCACGGGGCATGGCCGTCTATCGCGCCAGCGAGAAGGACTGCACGACGGAAGATGGAGAGCTGCAAGAGTGTGTGATCTGCTTCGAGGAGTTTGAGGAGGGCGACGAGATGGGACGTATGGAGTGCTTGTGCAAATTTCACCGCCACTGCATTCGACAGTGGTGGGAGACGAAGGGCATGGGCAGCTGCCCGACGCATCAATTGCATGACTAGGAGCATGAAGGCGATGCATCATGAGCAAGGCGTTTCGTGAATTGACGAGGGAGCTGGCTTGAGATGGGCGTTTCAATGAACGGCGGGAATGGGACTAGAGGCTGAGCATGGTTTCTTCGCTCACTTGATTTGGTCGTTGTAGGTGGGCTAGAGCTTTCCTGTACCTGTGATACCCGGCAATGCGACCTTGCTGCAATGAAACGTCTTCAGATTTTCTGTCATCGGAGGTCTCCCGAGCTCACTTCTCGCCTGTCATCGCATGAGAGAGCGTCGATTACGTAAGCGCGCATTGCGGCTATTATGTAAGCGCGCATCGCAGCTACCTCGAAATCCGCAACACTCTCGAACTTGCCATTCTTCCCACCCACATCCGATGCGACTTCCTGCCCAGTCCCTTGGTCGCCGATTCGAAGGCTCGTGAGACAACATCGGCATGAATTAATTCAGTGCCACGGAAACATTCACGAGCGCAAAACCGAATTGCTCGCGCGCGCGCGTCAGTCGCGCCTTCCTTCTTTCACCCACTCACGCGCTCCAATCGCGGGCAGGCACCCCCGCCGTTTGTCTTTACGGCGCTTTCACAATGGCGAGCGATCCGCGACGACGTCCAATGCCACCTCCTCCTCCGCCTCCTCCGCCCGAAGAACAGCAGCAACCACCACAGACCGGAGAGAAGAAGCCCGAAATGGAGCAGCGAGAAGCACCGTCCGCCGAGCAAACGGAGGAGAAGAAGCAGCAAGATGGTGGATACAAGCTGAGGTTCTGCACTGTGTGTGCGAGTAATAATAATCGGTATAAGACATGGACATCCAAGCGCACCACCGCTCTCTGACGTGTTGCTACACAGATCCATGGAGGCACATCTCCGTCTCACGACCGCGCCGAACGGTCCATATCCTACCATTTCCTTCGGCACTGGCTCCCTCGTCCGCTTACCGGGACCTTCGATCTCCCAACCGAACGTCTACCACTTCAATACCACCTCCTATGCAGACATGTACAACGAGCTCTACAACAAAGACCAGAGACTCTACCGCGCCAATGGCATTCTACCCATGCTCGAGCGCAACAGAGGCGTCAAATGGGGGCCCGAACGCTGGCAAGATTGGAAAGTCGGGGTTCCCCGTGTCGGCAAGAGAGCAGCGGTTGTAGAGGGAACACAAGGCGGCACAGCATCGGAAGCGGAATTCAAAGACGACAAGGGATACGAAGGGACAGAAGCTGGTACTGTGGATGTGGTCTTCACCTGCGAGGAGAGATGCTGGGATGCGGTTGTGGATGATCTCCTGAGTCGAGGCGCACCGCTGAATCGGCCGGTGCATGTTTTCAATGTGGATATCAAGGATAATCACGAGGAGGCGCTCGTTGGCGGACGGGCGATTCTGGAATTGGCGGAAGAGTTGAATGCTGCGGCGAGGGAAGAGAGGGATCGATGGACTGGAGGCAAGGAGGCCTTTGATCAGGCGCAAGCGGGTTCGAGGATGGGTTTCGATGAGCGGGTGCCGGATATTTTGGCCAAGTGGCAGGAGCGGTGGCCGCAGTTGCCTGCGCTATGGACTCTGGCTTGGTTGTGAGAGTCGCAATCGATTATCAGGTTGTTCCTGGCAGACTGCCTACCTGTATTGGGAGGTTCTTGCATGCCAATGGCTCGCAATATCTTCTGGACCGGCTCCTTGGAGATGCCACCCGTCCGGCTCTCGAAGTGTACTGGAAAGAAAGCTTTTCGACACGTTCTGTCATTTCAGAGCCCGACACCACGCATCGGCAGTCCCCGCGATGGGTGGATATGTGACCGAACACCTTGATGGCCGCCAAGGATGGTCATTAATCCGAGCGGGCCCTGCATCCACTCCGACTTCACCTGCTTCGACGCTCTCATACACGATATCCTCTTCCCCTTCTCCTGGCCTCTGTCTTCTCCAGACCTGATGTGTCTGCTTTACATGCTTGAGCCCGGTGCTGGAAGGGCCTCTGGGGTCTCGCGTGGCCGCTTCGCTCCATCAGGATATCTCGCCCAGTATGCTTCTCATTGGCCTGCTTGCTGATGGTGCGGAGCAAGACTATCATGTCCACTTAATAAGAAGAAGAGACTTCACAGCGATGAGGTATGAGAACCAAATGAAATCCTGCAATCGAGCATATCTACCTTCCTCCGCCGACGCCAGCACCGATCTCACCGGAGCGCTTGACTGGAAGTCGTCTTTCAACTCTTCTCCGTTCGCCCGAGGATCCCCTGAAGTCTCCGGAGCTACTGATTCGCATTGGCTCCTCAGAGATGCGTCACTAGCTTGTCGTGAGCCCCTCAGCCAGGGACCGCTCCACCTTCCAGTGAAAGAATGTGCATTATCACCAAGTTCACACCCTCGTTAGCTGAAATGAGCGCTGCAAACAAGCTGTGTCTTGCAACAACTGCACTTCGGTCAGCCCGTCAGGATGATTTGAGTACGGAGAAGCCTTTCCAAAGACTTGCTGGGCCGGCCAGATCTGCATCGCAAGATTGCACAACAGCTGTGAAAAAAAAGACCACCATGCACTGATACACGGGAACCACACTCGTAATGCTGCACGATGCGCCGAACGTTGATGACCATCATTGGCTCTCATCGCCGCGCAAGCTGCCAGAATTGATGCACTTGATGACAAATTCGGGTATCATTGGCATCGCGCAGTCGCCCCGCCATCACTATCAGGCGGGCAAGCGGGGCATTGCGTCCAGGCAACGGGCTCAATGACAGTTTTTGAATTCAATCCGATATTGTGGAGGCGACCGACGGCATAGATATAATCAATCCAGCCCGGGTCAGCGATTTCTTATCTTTGGACACAACATCACGTATCTCAGCACAGCACATCACAACACAACACCAGCAACCATGTCTTACCAAGGAAAATGCCACTGCGGCCACCACCAATGGACCGTCGACCTGAAGCAGGACCAGCAGAACCACATCCTCTGCCACTGCGACACCTGCAAAATTCTCGGAGGCGGAGCCTTCACCATGAACCAAATCATCCCCAAATCCGCCCTCAACATCACCTCCGGCGGTGAGCCTGCCGCGTACACCTACCACGGCGATTCCGGTACGTATATCCCCACTGTCATCACATCCAGCAAAACCCCTCTCGACTAACATTCCCCTCCCTTCCCTCGCTCGCAGGCAAAGCAGTCAACTGCTACTACTGCCCAAAATGCACCACGCACATCTACCACCACCAGGAAGTCATGGGCCCGGACACGATCATCGCGCGCACGGCGCTACTGAAGGAAGGCCGGGACAAGTTTGACGTCGGCGCGGAGATTTACGGCAAGGCCAAGATGAGCTGGGAGAAGGAGATTGCTACGACTTTTGAGACGCTGCCTCCTTCGTAAGAAGTGTGTATATACTTGGTACAGTATTGGTATGTAGCTTGAATGGAGAGAGTGGCCAGTATCTTTCATCTTTGGATGTGACTTTGATGTTGTCCATGGATGTTATGTGGAGATGGGTTCTTGCTCCAGCAGGGAGGTTTTGTTTGACTTGCAGATGCAATTATCAGCTGTCGAATTCTATTCCGCAAATGCCGAAGGCTCGGTATAGAACAACAGGGCCTGCCGTACACGGCTACCTTATGAACGACATGTGGTGTGGAAACATGTAGCAGTAAATGCAGGGAGATCTCCATGATTCGAAGGGTGGAGCAGCAGCCCACGTCAATTCTCTCTTTGCGAACCGCTCTTTGAGGGGATAGCATGAGCATGGAGAGCAGTACTCACAAGCTGGTATCAATGTAGGATGAACCAGACGTAAAAGAACAACCCATCCTTCCTTCCGATTCTCTCTCAACTATCCACAGTCCAATACCTAGCAAACGTCATGCCCGACTGACTCGGTGTAGGATTCAATTTGATCCCCTTGCCCCCACTGCCCTTGGTCCCACCATTACCACCACCACCACGACCACCGCCACGTTCTTCCCGACAACCACCCGCTCCGGCAGTCGAAGGCCGTTTGACATGGCTCCAATCCCTCCCCTCCAAAATCCGAATGACCTCGTCGCAATAGGACAGACTGCCGCCGCGGGGTTCTTCGACATCTTTATCTTCCGCTTCTTCGTCGTTGTTATTCCTGCGCATGAGGCGGCGGACGAGGACTTCGCGGCGCCCGCGTGCGAGGCTGAGCGCGCTGCCTTCGGGGCCGTGGGAGTCGACTCTGGCGCCGCGGGAGACGAGGAGGCGGATGACGTCGGCGTGGCCGGCGTGGCCGGCTTCACTGGCTGCTGCGCAGAGCGCGTTGCCGAATTTGCCGCCGGAATTGTGCACGTCGGCGCCGTGGTCTAGGAGTTGCTTGACGATGTCGACTTTGCCCAGCCAGGCGGCTGTTGCGAGCGGGAAACCTCGTAAGCCGCCGGATTGGTTCGCATCGGCACCGTGCCGTAGGAGAGCGCGGATTTTGCTGGAGCCTTTGTCGAAGGCATCCGTGGCCGTGTGGCAGACTGAACAGCCGCCCATGATGTCTTCGTCGAGACGATGTTCCGCCAGGAGGCCGGAGACTTGTCCGTAGCCCCAGAGGGCCTTGGCGATGAATGGGCCTTCTGTTCCGTGGACGATGGCAGGATCGCCGCCCATATCCAGGAGCTTTTCGACCTTGTGGACGTCGTTGTGCTTGACTGCCTTTTGCAATGACCGGTCGACGGTTTTGGAGCGCAGATCCTCCCTCGAGCCCGAGAGGACTAATCGCTTTACACGAGCGCCAGCGCCCTTACCCAGGGACATCTGCTGGAGGCGCTTCTGCAGGCCCCCAATGTCAGTCTTGCCCTCGGCAGAGACGTCGCACGGCGCAGTGGCGTAGGAATTGACAGAAATAGCAAAGCTGGCGAATGAGTTCCGTCTCGAGCTGCCCCGAAGAACGTCGGACCAGCGCGTGAAATTCTTGTTCGACCGAGAAGTTGTTAGATCGCTGACTTCTGCAATGTAGGCTTGCAACTGAGCTTGTTCCCAATTTTGCAAGCGCACGCACAGTCTGGCCCTATCGTAGTCCGAGAATACCTCTACATTGTCGGCCGGTGTAGGCGGATGGTGGCCAGTACATGAGTGAGGAAAGTTGAATCCGCAGTGGCCTTCCGTCGTAGCGCTCAGAACATGTTTCGCCAGGTCTTCTTCGTGCACAAAATCGATCTCGCAGTCCTTGCAGCGGTATTGGCCCTTGAAGCGGTCCAGATGGCGCTTGAGATGCCTGAGCAGTTCATCGGAGTCATCTTCGAATGCATCGCCGCAAATGATACATAGCATTGGATGCCATGAGCTTTCGACGCTCCGCGAGGGATGGTGAGTAGGGCGCTGCAGATCGGGTAGCGATACCTGTGTTCGTAAGCCTGATGAAGGCTGGCCAGAAGATGGCACGCCGGATGGAGAAAGACCAGCGGATCGCATTCCGGATGGCGATGGACCTGATGATGATGGTCCACTTGGTGGCGACTTCGCCTTCTTATCGAGGTCACTTCTGAGGGGAGATTCTGAAGTTTCAGTGTCCTCGGTATACTCACGGAACATCTCGTCATCGGGCACCGCAAGAAATCGCTGTCTCTCTTTGGATGGTGGCTGTTCTGAAGGCAGTGATCCCGACATGATAACATCTTCGTCGAAGCGGTGGTCGTCGCCAGTGGCGACGAATGGGTATGCCGATTCCAGAAGCGTGGCGTCTTCAGGCGATAAGATGAGGCCTTCACTGAGAGGGGCGAGCGTTGGACTCGCGGGACCAGACAAGCCCCGTGCAGGACGTGGAAAGGATGGCGGTTCTTCCGAGGTGGCGTGTTCTGTGCTGGTATCCGAACTTCCTGACGACAGTTCCATGCCACCGCTGGACGACGCAGCGTCTTTGTGCTGCTCGGTCTGGTGTCGCTTCAAATCGTGACCACGAGTGAAGCATTTCCCGCAGAGGTGGCAAGCATGCTTCCGGTCGGGCGGCAGCCCGAGCTGCTTCCGATGGTGGTCTGTCTTCTTGTGCCTCGCAAGCGCTCTCTTCTCCGTGAAGGACATGTTGCACGCCTGGCATGCGAAGCCCGTCCGTTGCCGCTTGGGCGACGGCAGCTGCACGCCTTCGACATCGCTATCGTCCTGGTACCACGTCGGGTCGTATTGCTGCACAGCACCACCCTCCTCTTTCACCGTGGTCAGTCTTCGATTCGCTTTCGAACATGCGTCTTGCGGCACGGTATCGTAGGTATCTGGCGGCATGGATCCGATATGGCCTCTTTGAACCGCCGTGAGGCGTCGGCGGCGTTCTGGCTGGGGCCAAAGCTCAGGGTTATAGGTTGGCGTATCGAAGGAAGAGGTCGTACGAAGGTTTGCGTGTGCTGTGCTGCGCAATGCGCAATGCGCGACTGCTATGCAGGTGGGATGGAGTATCTTGACAGGCCGCGGACGGGTGTGATGTCGGTCATCGGACAGGGGAGAGGGCGGTTCGTCCGAGATTATTGAGATGCAGGCAGCGATACCAGTAACGCCTCCTCCGCCTCCGCGGGCTGTTGGGCGTGGCTGTTTGGTACTGCTTCGAGCCGCGCCCGCTCTCGAACCCAAGGCCGAGGAGACACTGTACTGTGGACCAGCGCCTGCAGTGTGGACCGGCGCCTGCAGTGCCTGGCGGGCCGCTTGCTCTACCACAGCTACTACTGCTCGAAGGCAGAGGCGTGATGGGGGGCGGTCGCGTCGATGTCGGCGTGGGATCGTCCGAACTGCGTTACGAGCACGATCAGCAGCACCATCACCCTCCTGGGAGATTGATGGTCAGGGCGATCGAGAAGCTTCCCTCTGGCGGCACGACATCCGACCGGACGCCTGCCAGCCAAGCCAGCCACAAGCGAGGGCAGCTGGAGACAGGACCGTGGTACGTCAGCAGTACGGACCCTGCGTTTCGGCCAGCGGCAGATCTGCAGAACATGAGCTGCAATGGGAAGGCATCTGGAATAATGTGTTTCAGGCGCTTCTAGATCTCGAGGGCATTGGTTTCAGAGCTGGTGGGTTGGTTTGAGAGCATGTCACTCAGGTGCAGCATCTGTACAGTCTGGACGTGGCAGCAAGTTGCTTCTCGGATGACAGATGACTGAGGAGATGGACAGGACACCTTCCCTCGTGCAGAGCAGAGCAGGTGAAGCGTCCAGCTGCATGTCTCGGAGACCCATCCTCGTGATGATGCGGCTGGAGCATCAGACCCCAGCGGGAATCATAAGACACTCCCCTCGCCTCGTCCTGCCAGGGCGGACGTGGTTGTGCGCCTTTACCGAGGAGAAGCGGCTGAATGGCGACAACGACTCTTTCCACGATGCATGGGCCTTGGCAGGGCGATGCGAGATGACGGCGAGACCGCAAATCCAACCACGATGCTTCACATGCATGCTTGCGTTATGAACTCATGGAGAGATGCGGCTCTCCTGCAGCAGTGCAGAGACGAAGGCACCCTTACTGAATCGCGTTACTGCAGGTGACGATATTGCAGAAGGGAAAGTGTTATGTGCCGCGCGAGTCGTTCCGGCACATCAACACGCACAGCTCTCTGCCCAAGAGCAACAAGCAGGTTTCCTCGCATTGTACGGGCATGCGCGGCATGCCTCGTTGGGCCGTGCATGTCGGGCAACAGGTCGACCGCCATGACAAAGACGGCGAGTCTTGAGTAGTAAGCGGATGAAGCGAGTTCGAGATCCAGGTTCTCGGTCTGGCTGTGTCTCTCCCACTAATTATACTGCTCGGGGTTGCGACATATTCTCCAGGACGTCTCTGTTAACGCTGCTGTCTGACATGGTGTTGGAAATGAGGTGATGTTGTGCCGAACACCCTTGCCCATGTCAACGTCCTCGGGCCGTCTTCTGCAGACCAGACCGCACCTCACCTTCACGGAGCTCAGAGTTTGAGTTCAGTGCGAATCAGTCAGATCCGATTTTTCCAAGTCTGAGTTGACGTCGATTTCCAAGTCTCCGGGTTGAATGTTCCATTCGAAATTAGCCGGGTTGGGCAGCGAGGTCGAAGATGCCCAAGTCTTGCGGGGACGCTTTTGTAGGAGTAATGCTGCTCTTCGTATAGCGCGGGTACGAGCAAAGAATTTCGCTGCGAAGGCCGGTGAAGACGTTACCTTGCCTACTATATCGTGCCAAGCCTTCCGGCACCTGTGCAGCAGGGGTATGACTGGGCTTTTGAACAACCTGACCAACTAACTAATTGCTGATATGACTTTAACTTCAACCGAATCAAATCGAATATTTAGACTCCAAACCCTATACTTGCCCTTCTTGCCGCTCGTTTGGTTCCGGTCGCCAGTATGGCCTTCTAAACAGGAATATCAGCCTGGTATCTTCGCAGTATCGTTTTGTCCTCGACATGCCTGCAGGGAGTGTCCTGAGTACTCGTCTCCTGCACAACACCAGCGTTGACAGGTCGTTGATCCCAAGTACGCAATTAGCAGTTAGCAGGGAACGAAACCCACAAAAAACTTCTTTGAAGCAATTATCGGCTAGGGTTCGATATTGACAGACTCATCGGAGAAAGAGCTGCGGCTGAAGGCGAGATATGATGATATTGTACCTTATTTCATACCTGACCTGTTGGCAGCTATCCGTTCGATGCTGGCTCACAGCTTGATGGTCGAAGGACCTGTGCGAGCACGTCCTGAGTCTTGTTTCCTCTTTCGTTGTCTTCTTGTGTGGAGTCACGTCTGACATGACTTCAGAGCATCTAACAAGAAGCGTGTGAGGTTGTGTAGCTTCGTCACTGAGTTGGAGATTTGGACTTAAGGTTGCGGTTACTCGTGTTGTCTGCAACGCAGCCGAGCATGATGGATTTTTCTCTCCAGACGCGGAGCTGGGGTATACAAGCTTCGCAGACTTGTCTGAGCGAAAAAGTGTCTGCTCAGGCCCAACATCGCCTCGCAGGCTGGAGGAAACAGAAGAGAGTGGCGACAGACCAGCGTCAACTGTTCTTCGAACCGAGAGATTCCAATGCTTCGTACCGTTGCTCTGCCGTGGTCTTGATCTTCAGTTGCCTGGAACCGACTCTGTACACTGAGATGGACGTGTCGTTCTTCCGTGAATGACAGCGAAGCTCCCGTAGTAATCGGCGCAGCTCCTTGCGTGTGGTATGGTACTGTGTCAAGGAGATACTCTCTCCTGCTGTGCCTCGATTCCAATACTCCGAATCCAGGTCCTGCAAGTGTAAGTCTTCCAAGCTGTAGAACTGTGAATGCTTTGAATACGATGCGGCTTCTACTTATCCGCTAGATCAACGTCCTACTGGGTTCATCTCTGGCAAGTATGTACCTGAACATCCCTTGACTGACACAGCAGCTGACATCATTTTTGAGAAGCAGAAGCCTTTTTCTTTTTGGCAAACCGACGCCCTCCACCGGCCCTCAACGCAGCAAAGGACTTGACGAGGGATGGGCGACGATGGTCTGCTTGCCCACCGAGCTTGCGGCCGTCTAATGATACCATCTCACTCGTTTGGTGGACTCCCGAAGTCTCCGGGATCTTTCGCCGCTATTGTCGTGTCCGTTTCTTGGTAGGATAAAGTAGCTAAAATCTTCTGCAATTCACCACCAATCCGCTCTGTGAGGCATGCGAGAGGCGTTCGGACGAGTTCTGCGCCTCATGTGCACCTCGCAGTCGGATGTCTGCCAGCCTCCAAGCAGTAATGGAGCCAACAGAGAATGCGATGTTGTCATTGTATGGAGAGAGAGAAGAGGAGCAGAGACGTTGGACTGTCCCTCTCGGATGGCTCGGATTCGGGAAGGCGGGACCGGGACGCTGCTGTGCCGAAGGTCCGGTTCACGATGCGCCCCTCCTGGGAAAGCAGAGCGCAGAAAGCAGGAAAGCTTGGCTTACGCAGGCATTCACTCGCATCCCACCCTCCACGCACGTGCAACACCCTCGCGTTGGCCGTCTGCTGCTGCTTGACCGACTGATCTGCTGTCCACGCGAAACTCTTTCCTCTCCTCTCCCTCTACCTCCCTTCCGCGCCGCGGTCAACACCCTCCACTCCTGTCCTCCGCCGACCACATCGATACGACACCTCTTTCCACGCAGACATCATGGTTCTGGGTCACCGGAAGAGCTCGCTGTCCCAAAGTAACCGGGCGTCCGGTGAGGAGACGCGCAGCGATGTCGAGGAGGACGAGACCGTCGTGTCCTCGGAGCAGGGCTCAGTCCTGTCCCATATCATCTCACAACTGCGTCCCGGCGCCGACCTGTCCCGCGTGACTCTGCCTACCTTCATCCTCGAGCCGCGATCAATGCTGGAGCGCATCACCAACTTCATGGCGCATCCAGAGACCCTACTGCCCATGCCGGAGATCGAAGATCCCATCCAACGTTTTGTGGCCGTGACGAAGTTTTACCTCTCTGGCTGGCACATCAAGCCACCAGGAGTCAAGAAGCCACTCAACCCGATCCTGGGCGAGACCTTCTCCGGCTACTGGGACTACCCAGACGGCACGCGAGGATACTACATCAGCGAACAGACCTCACACCACCCGCCCAAGAGCTCCTACTTCTTCATGGCACCCGAGCACCACATCCGCATCGACGGCACACTCAAACCACGCAGCAAGTTCTTGGGAAACAGCGTTGGATCGTTTATGGAGGGCATTGCAGTAATGCGATTCTTGAACAGAGAGGAGAGATAGTGAGGCATTCCGGCGGTCCCGCTCGTGTTGCTACGAGACTGACTTTTCTGCAGCTTCATCACGCAGCCAAACATGTATGCGCGCGGCATCCTCTTCGGCAAGATGAAGTACGAGCTGGGAGACCATGCGACAGTGAAGTGTCCGGAGACGGGCTTGGAAGTTGACATTGAATTCAAAGTAAAAGGCTGGGTCGGAGGCGGATACAATGCCATTGCGGGCTTCATCAAGGACGGCAAGAGCGGCAAGAATCTATACGAATTGAGCGGACACTGGCACGGCGAGATGTTGATCAAGGACCTCGCAACGGGCAAGAAAGAGGTGCTCTTCGACGCCACACACGCCAAACCCTCGATACCGAAGAGCAGACCACTGGACGAGCAAGCTCCTCGCGAAAGCCAGAAGCTCTGGTACAGCACCACTCAGGCCATCAAGAAGGCCGATCAGAAGACGGCCACGGACGAGAAATCCAGGATCGAAGACGAGCAGAGGAGAGAAGCTGCTGAGAGAGGCGAGACTGTATGGAGGCCGAAGCTTTTCAAGCCGGCACCACCGGGCGATGAGCAACAATTGGACTGGATCATTGATGCACACGTGGACGACAAGGGACCACCAGAGAAGCAGATTGAACAGATCCTTGCCATTGCGCCCATAATACCTGGACAAAGCGCGTCCGAGGGGTTCCAACAAGAACATGCACTCCCTTCGCAGCAAGGCAAAGCCCCGTCACAGGTGCAACCACAAGACCAGAAACCAGGTCCATCACAAGGCGATCTGATTGACTTTGGTCAAAACGAAGCTCCTTCGCAACCAAACGCACCGGCGGCGGCAGGATCGAGTGGCCTTCAACAGCCACTTCGACCCACGAAGTCACAGCGGGGAGGTCCGATCAAGCGGTCGGATAGCATGGGCGGCGAGGAGGTTTTCATGGATGCGGAGTCATGATGACAGAAGCATGATAGCGAGCATTCCCAAAAGGCGTTAGGCGGAGGGTGAGTTTGTTTCCCGATGGAGGCGTGCGAGATACCAGGAGCAGCACGGCAGGAGAAGCATCTTATACAGCGGGTATCCTACAACTACGTGCCATGTCCCCCAACCTCTCCCGTATATATCTTTACCCCTCCAGTATCTTCATGCCAGCGAGATTGTCGTGTGCGACTGATCGAGCGTTGGCGAAGGACATGCTCCCGAGACGCAAGAGATGGTCGGTTCGATTCATGTTGGCGTTGGAGTGCAAGCTCGTCGTGTGCTTGATGCCGGAAACGATGAGTTGAACCGAAGCCACGCTCCGAGTTACAGATGTAGGAACGGGGCTATTCTGGAGAGAGCATCAGTGCCTCGGCACGCACACTGTTTACATTTCAGAGCGTAATGCGTTGAAGGGGCTTGTTCTGGGTATGTCATCGCAATGCAATGCAGAGCAGAGAGCTGGGAGCTCCAGCTACTAGGTATGCTTGAACCGTCCCGTCGGCGACTCGTCCGTCGGGACAGGACGGAATGAGGTCAGGGCTCCACCAGCACGTGTTCCGCCCGCGATGCTCTTCTCAGCAGACGGCAACAAACAAGATCGCGGGAATGCTTCCTGTTGTGCCGGGAGCGATGTCGCCAAGCCGAAGGAGAGTCTGAGAGGAGGCAGAAGCTGGAATGGCTGATGATGCTGATCTGGATGTCTACAGATAGATGTCTCGACACACGTAAATATGCACCCACGAGCTCGCTCACTACCTTACTCCCCACTCCTCACCCACTCACCAGGGTTGACCTCACCACAGTCACTAAGCTTTATCTCACTAGCACACTAGGGTCTACCTCACCAGCTTGCAGCACGGTGATGTGTGAGGCCAGCCCCACGTTGACGCATGAGGGGCGAGTTACCAGCACCCTAGTCCTCCCAATCCACCACTCAACCCACTCACCCAATCGAAGACTTTTCGCCCGGCCCAGCGACGACGGCGTCAGGCGTCAGGTTGGCTTGCTTTGCTTCTGTCGCTTTAAAGCCCGCCGACTCCCTCCCTCCACCCCGTTGCTCCCACACTTTCTCACCCGCCCGCAACCCTCACACCCGACCACCACGAGAACTCCAGACGAAGAGTCGCCCTTGCTTCTTCCCAACACCCATACCACCGAACCAAGAACACCATGCCTCAGAGAATCCCCGAGGCCGAGAGGCTGCTGGACCTCCTGTCCATGAAGGGCAAGGTCGCTGTCGTCACCGGTGCCTCCGGCCCCAAGGGAATGGGCATTGAAGCCGCCCGCGGCCTCGCGGAGATGGGCGCCGACCTCGCCATCACCTACGCGTCTCGTGCCGAGGGTGGCATCAAGAACGCAGAAGAGCTGTCCAAGGAGTACGGCATCAAGTGCAAGGCCTACAAGTGCCAGGTCGACAAGTACGAGAGCGTCGAGAAGCTCGTCAAGGACGTCATCGCGGACTTTGGCAAGATCGATGCCTTCATCGCCAACGCCGGTGCTACCGCCGATTCCGGTGTCCTGGACGGTTCCGTCGAGGCATGGAACCACGTCGTCCAGGTCGACTTGAACGGCACCTTCCACTGCGCAAAGGCCGTCGGCCACCACTTCAAGGAGCGCGGCACGGGCTCGCTCGTCCTCACCTCCTCCATGTCCGGCCACATTGCCAACTTCCCCCAGGAGCAGACGTCCTACAACGTCGCCAAGGCCGGCTGCATCCACATGGCCAAGTCGCTCGCCAACGAGTGGCGCGACTTCGCCCGTGTCAACAGCATCTCGCCTGGCTACATCGACACCGGTCTCTCCGACTTCGTCGCCAAGGACATCCAGCAGCTGTGGCACAGCATGATCCCCATGGGCCGTGACGGTCTCGCCAAGGAGCTCAAGGCCGCCTACGTCTACTTCGCCTCCGACGCTTCGACCTACACCACCGGCGCCGACCTCCTCATCGACGGCGGCTACTGCGTCCGATAAGCGACACGACTCCTCACGACTTGCACGGAAAATGACCGCCCTCGAGGTCTGAGAGGCACAGAACCTTCGCCTTCGACGAGGATGAACACGATGGAGGACGAATTGGACGTAAGAGGGCAGGATGAGAAGCGTAGTTTTCCCTTCGAAGATGTATGCTATGCTACGCCTTTGATACACTGCGGCGAATTTCAGCAAAAAAACAAAGACTTGCTTGTGCAACATCTTCTCCGTCCTCGTGCGCTGTTCCTGCGTGAAGCCGTGCACTACTGCTGTTCTCCACTCTGTTGTGTATCTCTCGTGACGCTCGCCCCATCGCATCACTAGGTTCCATTTCTGTTGCCCCCGCCCCGCCATTGAGCAGTGAGATACCCCCACTTTCCCTCTTGCCGTCTGAAGTTTTTCTCGATCATGTCCCCACGTCTAGATGCCGTCTTTCACAATAACAACAACATTAATAAGAAGAATAAACCCCGACACACAGACAGATGAACAGATCATAATCCAGAAATCCACCTCACCTCCTCACCGGCTGTATGTATTCAATACGTCGACATTCGCAGTAACTTCGCATAGTCCACGGCACGAACAAATACCACCTGATCGCTCCAATTGTTCCACAACACGGGACTCGGTCTTTGAGAGGTCTTCGAAAGGATGGGATATCAATTGTGATGAGTGATGAGTGATGCTTCGCGTTTGCGTTCCTCTTTCCTCTTAACGGTGTGCGGCGTGCGTCGGTGCTTTGTTTGTTTTTATGATACAGAGAAGGAGGAGAAGAAGAAGAAGAAGAAGCAGCAGGAGTCGGATATAGGAGGGCAGGAGTGTAGAAGTGTAGAAGTGTATGATATTTGGTTCCGCTTGCTTACTTGCTCACTTGCTTGCTCAGTCACTCTCATTTTGAAGAAAGAGGAAAAGAGAAGGAAATGAGATGAAATGAAAGGTTCTTGGAAGGAGAAAATGTATGTACTTCTTTCATGCTGTGCTGTGCTGTCCAGAGACAAGCCACAACAAAGCAAAGTGGAAGGAAAGCCCCAGAAATGTCTCGTGTCTCAAACAATCCATGCCTCCCTCCCTAAAACGAAAAAAAAACAACCCAATGTCAGAATTTCTCGTCTGCTATCTTCCTTCCTTTTTTTCCTGTAAACTAAACCTAGACCGCGGAATTGCCCGCCCCTCCCTCCCATTTGGCTGAGATGTAGAAACTTCGGTTGGTTTGGTAGGTAGGGCGTAGGTTGGTTTGGTAGGGAGGTAGGTGGGTACGTAGGCATGTGTGTATGTATGTGTAGCCCTTTTCCGATCGAGGCTTTGGCTTGGCTTCCTGAGTGCCTGACGCAGAGAAAGTCTCTGTTGGGGCAAATACGTCGGTGAGGGAGGAGATTTCGAATCTGAAAGAAGAAAGGTATCGGATCAAAGTGTGAGATCTCTTTTTCTGGGGTCGGTAGTCGATTCTCACTCACTCAATCCCCTCCTCTTGACTTCCTGTCCTGAAAGCGCACGAATGAATGAAGAGGAGGAAAGTTGGCATCGCTCTTTGGTCTGGATTGTTGTTCGTCTTTTTCGGGCTCTAGGAAAGAGTGAGTGGGAAGGTAGACAGACGGAGAGAGGGCAAATGGTGATTTGCTATCTGTTCCGGCTGTCTACGAGGGTGGGCTGAGCTGGGCTGCGGGTGAAGATTGGGATTCGGGTGTTGAGAGATTGCAGTCTGTGTTGTTGGGAATGGAGGAGTTGGAGGTCTTCTTTGGGAGCTCGTTCGTCGATGCGAGTTGGATGGAAGGCTGTTTTGGGTTTCAGAAGCTGCATTGCATTGAGGCTTGCGGTGGCTCGAGTAGAACGGCTTGCCTGCGGCGGTCTGGAGTGAGAGCGAGTGACTCTGAAGAAGGACATGTCAGCGAGCAGGCGAATGGCAGATATCAAGAAAGTCAGCGGAAGAGTTTGCAGAAAGGCATATTCCATTCCATGCCTACAGCAGCGTGTTCCTTTGCCAAGCCGGCGGAAGTATCACGTGTCATGAAGTCAGTTCCCGTAACCTCTCGTATCTCATTCCTGTCCCATTCATCGCACGATCCAGACAATCAAATCAAGCCTTCTTGTTCGTCTTGAAGATGCCGCGCAAGCCCATCACCACATTCTCGATACCCTCGACGACTTTCATGACTGCGCAGCGAATCTTCCATCCGAGAGAGGCATTTCTCCGTGCAACAATGGCTTCTTGCTCGGCACGATGAGCAGCCACCGCAGCCTCCACAATCTTCGCAGCCTCCGCAGCCTTGCGCATTGCCACGTACGTCACATGGTGAGACTTCTCGCCTGGTCCCTAACCAGTGCCAGGAGCCGCCGTGATACGAAAATAGGCACACTCGGCGCAAGCCTCTCGGTGGCGTTCGACGTGCGGTCCGTGAGATGGATCTTCAGGGAAGATGGCGCCTTTCCAGCCTACGCCCATGCGCGTGCACAGTGCCGGTTTGATGCTCTCGACGATGTCGCACAGATTGCGGATGTTCTTGACGGTGAGTGGCTCGTCGCCGACCTCTTCGGTCATCTCCATGACGGCGTATTCAATGCGAGCGCGGGCGCGCTGGATGGCCAGTTCGAACGAGTAGGATGTTGGAGCCTCTTCTGCAAGGTCGACGTAGGCGGTGTTGGTCCGCGTCTGGCGGAACTTGGCGCTGATGCGCGGCTCCTGGTGGCTGATGGTGAAGTGGACGGCGAAGTTGTGGACGTAGAAGGAGACATTGCGCAGGCGTGCGGCGTTGACATCGCCAATGGCCGCGATCCAGTGCTCGAAGATGTGGTTGGGAGTCCAAGTGGCTGGATATGCCAAGTTTTTCCAGCCGCGCATGTCGAGCATGAATCTGCAGAAAAGATAGAGTTAGCACGAAACGCCTTGCCTGAGCTGTATTTTGTTGTATTGTATGGTGTTGGACTCACCGATTCTTGCCGTAGAAGACATCCAGACACTCTTTGCGCACCTTGCGCGAGACCTTGGCGATGCTGGGCTGATGGATTCGATCGGGCATCTGCGTGATGTCGATCCAGGAGTAGCCGCGGAAGTAGAGATAGACCATATCTCTCACCTCGCGCGGCAGGTCGAGGAATTCGACATTCGCCATGCTGACACGCGCTCTCCGTGCAGACGTCGAGGTCGGTGTCAATGGAGGCGATGTTGGTATATCAGAAGCAGACGAGAGTCGTGAGATGGTTGCTGACTACAGGATTTGAAACGCCGGCAAATCCTCGGGTGTGAAGGTGGCGGGACGCGCGGATGAGTTAAAGTTAGTTCAGCTGAAGTAACAATTCACGATATATATATATATATATATATATATATACTTCACATATCTATTGTATTGGACATTATCATACATCGTCCGACGGCCATGGATCCACTGTTTCGAGACGTGCAGGAGACGTGCAATGCCCAAGACCAACGCTCTTCGCACAGTTCCTCAGCTGAGACGACTCCTCAGACCGCACCAACGCCTCAGTCACAAGACAGCACCCAAGACAGTACCCAAGCCCAACGGCCAGGAGAGAGCACTGGCGCATACCTCGAGCGACTATCGGCATCCATGATGGAAGCTCTCAACGAGCGCACGTTCGAAAACCATCCCATCCTGAGCTATCTCTCACCAAACTTTCGAGCTTCTCTGGACAGCCCCAGCAGCACAGCAGAGGAGATCCTGGTCCATTTCCACAAGCTGGTAGAGGTATACCCAGAGACACATGTCCGCGCTGTCGAGACGAAAGCGTACGTCTATCCAAATCTGGGCAAGGCAGATGTGTATATGAATCTGGAAGGCACCGGCAATCCGCCTGGCTTGGTGAGACAGGGATTCTGTCAGCTGGATTGGGAGCTGGTCGACGGTAAGTGGACATGTGTGCGGCACAAAGGTCTTGGTGGGACTGTGCCGCAGGATCCCGACAGACTGTAAGACCGCCCTTCAGAGCGTGAGCTTCAGCATCTCGAAGCAGCCTGCTTCCTATGCCGCTTCTGATCCCAGCGATTCGTCCCCAATTCTCCACCGGCGGCAAGGCCTCGTGACGAAGTGCTTCGATTCATTCGACCAGACTCAGGAAGCGGCAATCGTCCCATGACCCGACAGCAGATACCGACAACTCGCATATAGATCGACGTATCCATCACTTCGTTGTAAGCTGGCTCCATACCCTTGTCTCCAGCTCTGGTCATCTGCTTCACTCCACGGATGTCACCACGGAATCTCTACCATCGGCCTTCATGCACGCTGTTTACTTCACGGGCCCTCATGGTCGCACTTGGCATCTTCAATGTCTTCAATCAAGATACGCAGACGGATACTTGGCGGACTGGAGATTCGAATCTCAGCTCCTGGACGTGCTAGGGTTCCGCCTTGTCCAGATACAGGGATGGAAGAGGGCAGACTTGTCAAGTGGTAAACCCGGTACGGTAACCCTGGTAGGGTTTTCAGCTCAGCAAGACGGAAGAACTCCCGAGAAGGATCGCAAAATACACCCGATATAGATCAACAGATGGAGCTGCTGCATGTAGCTAGGGTCGAAAGCAGCTTCAAGCTCAGCAAGCGCCCTCTTGCTGCCTACGACGCAATCGCACAATCCAGGTTTACGAATCGGCAGCCCATCAGCGCAAGAAGACAGCCTTCTCGACACAAGTCATGACCTCAGCACGTTGGATTGCCAGAAAGACCTTCACATGCTCCGGTTGGAATATGCTGTCACGTTCGTAAAGCTACGATGTTCCGACACCGCCCCTTCGCGACGGTGTGAGCAAAATGAAGAGCTGGGCAGCACAAATTCTTGGAAGCGAGATTTCCAGCCGACGCAATTGGGCACTTGAAAATGCGACTTGCACGAAATCCACCATGGCGCTGCATAATGAGTGCCGTTCTTGACGAAAAGCAGGCGCAGGTCGCGCAACTTGGTCAAGAAGATGTGAGAGACCCTAACACCCTCTTGCCACCCGGCTCTGATGACTGCTCTCCGCGAAGTGACCGGCGATTACCTCCACACTTCTCAGCATCGCCACGTCTGCCACTCAGGAAGGAGTCATGTTGGAGCATATTTGGTCCGACAACCTTTCCTTGTGACCTTGACTGGCTCAACGAATACGCATTGTCGTCAAAGCCGATCGTGGCCTCCACAAAATCAACGCAGAGCCTGAAACTTCCCTGGAACCCTCGAAGCAGACAAGTACCCCACCACTCAACGGAGAAGAGCCAGCCTCACATCGAAATCTCAAGCGCAAGCTACAACATCGCGAAGCGTAAGACATGTTCGGCTCTCAACAGAAGAATTCCAGATCTGATCTGATTGTAGTCAACGAAATGCCGAGACCGACGCGAGGATAAGGTCACAAGGCTGGCGGAGCAGTTGCGTGCGGATGCCGAGCAAAATGTGAGACTTCAATCAGAATGCAAGGTGCTCGAGTTAAAATGCGCTCGACTTGGTTCCAGTAAATGGCTTGTACCTGGACTGGTACTTTGCATGAGCTTGGCATGTCGTCGCTATGGCCGAACAACACTTATGGTTCAAAGAATTGAGAGCTAGTCTGGCTCTAAGGTCGTATTATCTGGATCGGGTCCTTGTATATTTCCTACTGGACATCTCGAACAATTTGAAGACAGAGCGATGACTGATGATCAGCCCGCTGCTGAGGTTTTTGAAAAGGTTCATGAACAGATTTGCAAAGACCTGACGCTATCTTTGAGAATCTATCATACATATACAGCGGCAAGATGCTACAAGGTCTTCCATATAGCCTCTTTGCGACAAAGGCAAAGAATGAAGTCCGCGTTTAACGTGTTACACATGACCGTTGTAGGTGACGTCAATACTCCCGTCCGCAGGATTCGTCTGCCGACCTCACCAATTCCTCCAACCTCCACTCCACTCTCCATCCCCTCCAATCAAACACGCACAAAACAAACAAAAGGCAGAGAAGAAATGTCCCAAAAGCAACACATCCTCATCTCCGGCGCCGGAATCGCAGGCCCTACAATAGCCCACTTCCTCTCCCAAACGCCTCACAGCAGTTTCCACATCACCATCATCGAACGAGCCCCGGCGCCACGACCAGGAGGTCAGAGCGTAGATGTCCGCGGCCACGGGCTAACCGTCGTCCAACGCATGGGCCTCGAAGACACCATCCGTTCCCGGGCTACCAACGAGAAAGGGCTGAGATTTGTAGATTCGAACGACACCGTCAAGGCGGAATTCCCCGTCGGTGAGGGGGAGGGGTTCACGGGGGATATTGAAATTCTGAGGGGCGATTTGGCGGGTGTTCTCTACGATCGAACGAGAGGGATAGGTGAGATTGAGTATGTTTTCGGGGAGAGGGTGAGCCATCTCGTGGAGGGGAATGACGGAATCCATGTGGAATTTGAAAATGGTTTACCGGGCATGAGAGTCGACGCGGTGATTGCGGCGGATGGATGGGCGAGTCGAACGAGGAAACTTGCTTTCGGGGCGAACGTCTCGAAAGACGCGGTGAAGGATCTGGGGCAGTGGGCTGCGTGGTTTACGATTCCTCGGAGTGAGACGGATTCCCGTTGGGCGAGATGGTATAATGCGCCGGGCAAGCGGATGATGCTCCTCCGACCGGACAACGAGAGTGTTTCCCGGACGTCGTTGTGGATCATGCCTCCCCAAGACGACAAGACCATGGATCATATGGCCAAAGCTAGTACTCCAGACCAAAAGGCTCACTGGAGTCAGCTCTTCAAAGACGCAGGTTGGGAAGCGCAGAGGGTCTTACGGGGATTGCAAGCAGCGGACGATTTCTACATGCAAAAGATCGCCCAGGTGAAAATGCCCCGCTGGTCTTCGGGGCGAGTCGCTCTAGCTGGCGACGCAGGCTACTGTCCCTCTCCCATCTCCGGCATGGGCACCACCGTCGCGCTCGTAGGTGCGTACGTCCTCGCGGGAGAAATCGCTAATCATCCAAACGACTTGGCGAGGGCGTTCGAGGCATACGAAACTCGTATGAGAGCTTTTGTTGCCACGGCACAGAAATTGGCACCCGGTGCACCGAGCATGGCGAATCCGCAGACGCAATGGGGGATCTGGATTCTGTATCTGTTCTTGGGGCTTGTGGCTTGGACGGGTATTATGGAGAAGATGGGTGCTTCTTTTAGTCCGCCTGCGAAGGCGATGGAGTTGCCGGAGTATGAGTTTGGGAAGAAGAGATGAGGGTTGCTGCCACTTGTCAACTCCTGAGGGCGGCATCTTCAGCAGCAGCAGCAGCAGTACTACTTCTGTCTTCAATCATGAGTGCTACTGGAAGAGTAGGCGATACTTGACAGATCGCCGACAGCATCACAGGCGCAGAGAAAGAGCTTGATGATAGATGATCGGCTAGGCCCGGATGGCAGCAATCGAGATTCTGGGCCGCAGTGATAGAGGCTGAAAGCAAGCGACATGGCAGAGATGCGCGCGCCAAGGCACACGAGGCACACTTTTGCAGGTCACCTTTGAGTCATGCAGGAGCAATCTCTTCCGCGGATGGGGACGCCTCTCGGATAACTGACTGTACATGGTGGAGCGGATGGTTTGGAACTTCTCAGGAGGCACGTTGTAGTCGATCAGGTTTGCCACCACGCATACATATATATATAAAGGTCCATGTTGAGCAGAATCCTTGTCTTCATCCGATGAACTACAACACACAACCACATATTGTCTCCACTCCATTGTCTGACCATGCAATTCCTCTTGCTTTCGCATCATCTCCGACCTGAACTTCTGCGCCGCCAAACCAATCCCCTCCCTCCCCAACTTTGTCCAGCTTTCGAGTCGCACGGCGGCGGTTGAGGTCACCAAGGCAAGACCTGGAAGCATGTTCGTGAAGTTGAGGTAGAAGAATAGGCAATGGGAATTCACCTGAACAGCTCGGCCAGGCCTGAACGGGTCGCATCCTCCAAATTCCTGCTTGCAGTGCCCAAGTGCAGCAGCGGGCACTTCGGTGGCGAGAAGGTGTTCGATGCTGTCCGGATAACATCTTTGCTTGGTACTCATGGCCACACTCTCGAACATGAGCATTGTAACCGCCTGTTCACTCGCCGCAGTTCCAAATTGCAAAGTTGTCCTTTTCTGGGTTCGCATGCAAGAAGTCGCTCTTCTGGACCGCGTCGACAACGGCGCTGTACGGCTGGAAGTGCCGCATCCGCTTGAAATTGTGAATTTGTTTTAGCGGCACCGGCTTGTTCGCGCTGCCGCCCGTCTCGTCGAGAAGGTAGCGGTCGATCGGCAGGTTTGAGTCTGAGAATTAGAACTCCACCTGGCGGCGGATTTCCGCGGCGTCGCTGCTCTCGTCCTGTCGCTCAAAGCGAGCGTGGTCATTGCGACCACGTCCACGACCACGCCGAGGATGCCAGCGAGGGTGCCGGCGCGAGAGCGCGAGGTGCTAAGCATAACGCGAGGCCGACCCGGACCCCGGTGGCACCTGTACAAAGAGAGAACAAGGGCTTCTCCTCTTCTTTCCACCGACAGAAGAACCGGTACCATCGGAAGAGCTTCCCTTCCTCGACCGGTCGCTTCCCCAACCGCTGAGCCATCAAGAACAAGAGCCGTTGAGAATGGCCTCCACCGTCCTGACGCTCTATTGTGAAATGACAACCACGACGGTGACCCTCGCTCTGGCGGTCATGTTGCTCATGCTCGCCCCACTCATTCGACACCAAGTCTCTGGCCTTCTGCACGTCGCGTTGATGCTGGATCTCGTTTTGGGCCTTCCAGAATGTAGGCAATGAGTCCTTCAGTCAATTGCCCCGTAGCTGAGGGGCGACGCCTCGGTGTGTCTGCGGACGCTTTGCGATTGTGGGAAAATCGTCGTACTCCATGCCGTCATCGCTGGTGTCGGCGTAGCTTTCGGAACTGATTGGTCTCGCTCGTCCAGCAGATACGGAGGGTGCTAAGCATACCGCGAGGTCAACCCGGACCCCGGTGGCACCCATACACGCTGTCGTCGCCGATACAACACGCAAAGCGGCTGTCCTTCGGTGCAGCGCAGGTGGACCTGAAAACATCGTTCTTTGACTCGCTGGTATGAGCTTGCGGTAGAGGCGCTCAAGGGCGGAGCTGATTGAGTACGAATTCGAGTCGCTCAGTCTGGCTCTCGATCCAATGGCGGCGTGATGTCGTGCAGTCAGGTATGACATTCTGGGATGATCAGTCGGATTGGAGCCTCTTACATGCTCCCGGCTTCGCGATCGACGCCGGTAGCCGCGATCCTCACGGCGCTCGTCGTGTCTCCTACTCGGTGGTGAGCGGGTCATCTTCCAACGGCCGTGGTTGCGTTGACCATACAAGCTCGCGCGTGTGTTGACGTGGATGATGAATTCATTGTTCCCATAGAACATGGGACGCACGATGCTGCGAATGGCCTTGCAGGTTTCTGCAAGGCCGTTCGCAGCATCGGCCAACTCTGCGTCTCGTTCGCCATTAAGGCGGGGTGCTTAGCGTAACACGAGCCCTTCCAGGACCCGGCGGCACCTATACAACGTCCAGCCTTCCTTCCTCACCGGCAGCAGACAGTGAAGTAGACTGTTGCTTGAAATCCAGCCTCCCATCGACCGTCAGATCGTAACGGGTTGTGAAAAGCCGTCAGTCGCCGCAAGGGCGAGGTGCTAAGCATTACGCGAGTCCATCCAAGACCCGGTGGCACCTATACAAAAGACCGAAAACCAAGCGGTATAAGACAAATCTGGGAGACTGGGAGCCAGGAAAAAGTCTTGGTGACTCATTTACCAGCGTGCTCGTTCCGCATGAGTTGGTCGACGAGGTTGTGGAGTGCATGGGAAACTTGACCGCACAGAGGCCCTGGATGGGAACAAGCGGATGGTCAAAGTTTTGCTCCGAGGTTTGCTGGGCTTGTCTTGATGCCGAGAAAGGCAGTGCCAGTGCGGAGAGTCTTGGTGATTGCGGCAGGGTCTGAGATAGAGTGAAGGATTGCACAGTGGCGATGATGAGCTGAGCCGTGCATGCATGGCATGGTGTTTCGTAGCTCTTGAATGCACAAGCCTCAAGGGTGCCGATATTCGCTCCTGGTGTAAGAACGACAACACGTGTCATGCTCCACGCCAAGTGCTGAACCATGGTTTTGCGGCGGTGATGTGGATCTTGTTTCAGAAGCCTCACGCTGCCTTCTTGTTGCTGATTTGTCTCGTGATCCGCTGATGGTGGGCACATGTGACTCGCAGAGTGTGCGGCACAAAGCTGAAGCTGCGCCGGTGGTCTGACGAAGATCTTGCCCAAGCGGGGTCTTGCAAATGGAAAGTGAGGAGCCAGGTGGTTGCTTGGTCCTTGGAGGAATGTCTGGCTTGCTCAGGGGTAGGCTTGCAGGTCGACGAGCAGTGAACCATCAAGAGCGGGTCTGTATGAGCCATGTCCGTGCTGCGAGCTTCGACGAGTTTGCACATTGACGCGACGGTGCCAAGGTGAGGGGAAAGTGACCGCTAGGGCAACCTGATTAGCTGGTGATCCTCGTATGGTGGTGAAGGCCAGGATGAGGCTACTTACATCTTTCAACTCATGGTGTGGTGATGCAAAAGGACTGCAACGGCGATGCCGCCGCGAATCCTAGGCTTGAACGTGCGACGGACCATGGACAAGGCCACACGTGCGTACCCTGTGAAGGCTGCCGTCCGTCAGGCTGATGTCTTGGTATGTGACAAGCTGCTTGCGGATGTACTGAAGGTCTGAGTCTTCTTCTTCTTCTTATCACCGCCCAGGGGTGCAGAGGTCGTCGGCAATGCCGCTGTTGTTCTCGGCGGTGAAGCGACGGCGGTCGATGAAGTGGCCATGACTACCGTGGAGTGCAAGGGATGAACGGGTGAGAAGGTTGTGTTGTGCTTGACTCTTTGTCATCAGCAGCATCGTAGGCATCTTCACTGTAATTCACATAGTCAGCAGCTTGCTCGAGATGAATAAGCAGGTCCTCTGCTTACTGTTGATGTTGCAGGGCATATACGTGATGGACACAAGCTGGTTATTCTCACCATCAAGCCCGGTGTGATTCCGGGACGAGGCGCTCCTCTTCGTGTGTAGCTCCACAGCTCCTGACCGACGATGCAGATGCGGAGGCTGTCGTGCGAGCGACAGGGCTGGGATGAGAGTGGTGATGTGTGGTTGGGCTGCGAAGGAATCGGTGTTCTGTAGACCAGCCTAGAGCTTTGTTTGCAGATCGAAGCCAAAACCAATTAACGCCGACGTAGCCTGAGGCAGCCGGTTGGTGGATGACTGGCGGGCGGGCGGTCTTGGTCAGCAAGAGCTCGGTGGTGATGGATAGAGGGTGCGTACCTTGATGGAACACCTCTGCAAGGCCCTTGAGAGCGCTTGTAGATGGGGCGGCGGTGATAGAGCCCACTGTAGGCTCTTCGCTGCGCGTCGTAAAAGATGCTGCGGCGCCAGCAGGAGCACCACGGTATGACTGAGGCTGCGGTGACCTTGCCGTCGTGCGTGAAGAGAGAGTCATATGCAGCTGCAGCTGCGGCGGTGCTGTCGATGTTGTCGACGCCCGCAGTGATGGTAGCGATGGTGCAGGTGTTTTTGGTGTTGTTGGTGTTGCGGCGGTGTGTGTTGATGAAAGGTGGAAGGACGTGGAAGCGGAGCGAGCAAAGGGCAAACCACTGCCGGCAGCAACTCGGCAAAACTTGGCCGCTGCCTGACAGTGCCTGCCCTGCCCTCGCTGTTAGACATGTGACAAGCTCACGGAATCTTTCTTCACTTACTGAGAATCTACCTCCAAGCAGTGTCTCCGTCTGGCAGCCATTTTTTGCCAGGAAACGGAGAAGGTCATCTAGAATTCCAGTCAAGTCCCGAACAGAAGTGAGTTCAGACTGCCTCTCCACCGAGAACTGCAGTCCGCATCTCCGTTGAGCGTCTCTACTCACCAAGTAATCTAACCGCAAAAGACAGAGAAAACAAAGTGAAATCACAGCCAAGTTCCAGGAGTCTTACCCATTCGACTCCATCAAGCTGGCTCTACATACTCCAGCATCCATCTGTCGTCGTCACATCCATCTAAGCAAACGTAGTCTGCTCCGGCACATTGTTCCCTTCCTGCAGTCGTACCTGCATCTCAACATCCGTCGGCGCAATACACGCGCCACCAACATAGGTGTCCGCCGGTCTTCCTCGCTCAATCTTGATTTCATAGTTCAAAACAACGTGCGCAATCATCAATTCCGTCTCTTGGCTCGCGAAGCATGTTCCAGGGCAAGCATCGCAGCCATATCCGAATGACAAGAGATACTGTCCCGTAGCGATGGGTCCCTGATTCTTCTGATTCAGCACGTGTTTTAGACGTCTGGGTCTCCAGCAGCTTGATCGGCTTGAGCGAGATACGAACCTCGTGGTCGAAGGAAGCGGAAGCCGTCCCATACGGCTGCATTGTCCTCGTAGTAGACTGGCTTCATCCGGATTGCAGTGGCGACACATGTTCTTCAGGGAATGTGGATGCAGCCACTGAGATCAACGCTCCCTTTGACACTTACTTCTCTACGCGTACCAACGTCCCTGGGCTGAGGAAGCACACAGTCTCGCAAATGGTGCTGTCTATCCGAATCATGCTGTTGATTGTGTTCTTGATGAACTCGCCGCTACTCTCCCGCGTAACCCTTTTCACTTCCAACTTCCTCCCGTAAGCCCTCGACGTATCCGTCTTGTGTGGGTAGCTGAGCAATGTTGGTGGTGACCGTGCTCGTAGTGTAGATCGTGCCCAAGTTCAGTAAGAGTAATCTGCGGACAATATGGTCTTCGTTGAGCTCGCTTGGGTCTTTCTTGGCCAGCTCGTTGCAGTCTTCCAGCGTCCACTGCAGAGTATCGACCCACCGAAGGGCGTTAGGAGGAGTGACTATAGTCGATAGCAATCGTCGACTTGACGGTGGCTTGGAATCTGGTGGTATGTTTTGAATGTCCTGGAGACGCTTATGAATTACGGGCCAAGCAAGTTTTGCAGCCTCAGCCTTGCGGTGCTTCATGCCGCGAGTGGAAGATAGAGCAATCACTGAGTGCGTCCACTTCGGTCACAGTGGCATCAAATGACCGCACTTGAACACAGCGACCGCAAGCTCTCTCAGATTCGATAGATCCTGCGTTCGGTATAGCTCTCGTCCAGCAAAGACACGATTTGTAGCTCGGCTAACAGTCTTCACGAAACTTGGATAGGCTTCGACAGTTGTGCATTCTGCCTCGCTGCCATTCTACTTGTTCTTTCTCGCCAGAAAGGGCTCCTTGTAGATGTCGGTCGTAAGGAGTGGTAGACGGCGACTGGGTTGACAATGAATAACGTCGATATGAGACACATTTGCGAAACAGTATCCGGTCGTATACTGAGCTGCAGTAGTCATCGCGTCTGGTCCAAAAGCGTCGAATTTGTCATCTCGAAGGCCGAGTAGCTCGTTGATCTTGTTTGCCGGGAGAAAACCCTTCCGCGGAGGATTGGGGCAACATGAAGATTTTGTCTCGGGAAATTTGGCAGGACGTCATTGTTATTGCCTCTTGATAATAAGCGCGAATACACACCTTGTCGTAACCTGCCTGGACCATTCCTCCAGTGCTCTTCAACATACAAAGACTCGCCCGGGGTTTCGAGAAAGAGTGCTTCTTCAGGCCGCCCCAGGGCTGCGATGCTCGATACCTTCCTTGCTCCGGAGCTAGTGGTTGAAAAAATAAAGTGAAGACTGTCCACGAGCTACGAGCAGTGCACCTGTCGTCAAGGCAAGATGGAGAGTCGTAAGAGACGTCTCGAGCTGCATGCTGGTACAACAATAGAAAAAGATCTCAACGAATCCTTGAGTGGAGATAATTCTTGCGCTGCGAGAAGAAGTTCAGTGATGTGGTGATTAAGTGGTGTTCGCTATCTTTGGTGGGAACTAAAGCTTCGTAGATCTCGTAAAGTCGATCGGTGAGATGACGTGGAGTTAGGTTATCAGTGAGTGGTTTGCACGGACGAGAGAGTATTCAGAAGCATGACATCGAAGCCAGTACGCCGCCGTGGGTCTCTCCGCGTTGTCACCTGCTACTTAGCCATCCTGTTGCTCGGACCGATATACGAGACGCCCGCGATACGCACAATCCGTCTGTTTTCGCGAAGGAAGTTCGAAAAATGGTCTAGCTGCTTGTGCCCGGCTGGAAGGACTGCTATAGAGCAAGAGCTTGTGCAGATGATCTTCCGCACAGAAGAGTGCGAACGCTCCGCTATTGCAAAGATCACTTGGCCGGCCGCGGCACTTTCGTAGCCTCACCAGGCCGCCCACATCGCAGGCATACGGCACAGATGAGCGTGCCAAGAGGAGACCATATCAGCGCTAATTTTGCTTTGACCTCATGTGCACTATCAAACTGTGCTTGAAGGTTGTCCTCGCGGATTCCTCGAGATGGTCTTTGCGCGTACTCCCGGTGATGTTGAAATAGTCACACTCCAATCCGAGCAAAGCAGCGAAGTGGTATTGGCTCCCAAAGACATGGTGAGGGAGCTGGTTGCCTACCGAATGGGCGAATAGACAGTCGTTCAGAGTGTGTTGCGGGAGATGCTGTCGACTCCGTCGTGACAATCCTATCATTTCCATCCGGCGCATCCCACACGGCACTTGGCACACGATAATCGAAATCGGTATCATTAATAGATGGCCCATATCTCCCTTTCTCGTCTTCCTGTCCAGATTCAAGGAAGAAGATGGAGCATGTCATAGGCTGAAACGATGAGGGATGTGGTTCGAAAGGCCAACGAAGTGGTACCAGGTGGCGTAAGATGTCGCAGGGGGTGATCCATAATCCTGGGCACGGCAAGGTTCCGTCGCCTCCAACTCAATCCCGACCTCACTTCTCTTCCTCTCTGTTGACATGCATTTCTAATGATTGATTCATCAACCATCGAACTCAGTTTTATTGACTCTCACAGTCGTCCATTGGGTTGGGGCAAAGCGTGCCAAATCGCGTTGGAAGACTTCCGGAATCCTTGGAAATCGACGTAACTTCCATCAAAATTTGAATGGCTCGGCTCCAAAACTGGGGCAAGATTGTGAATGATGTCCACATGCCTTGTGTCCGGGAATCTCGAAGCTAACTGTACTGTCCGATGTGCTAGAGGGTTGCCAAGCTCCGGGACTGTCGTTCCTTCTCCGCGTTCTGCCGGCGGTTGGTCTGCAGTGGACTGTAACAGTAGACAGCGTATCCCCAAGACCGCACAGGGCAACCGAAGAATCGCAGCATCTCACAGAAGAGCGCAAGCGTTTTCAACGCGCGGCTAGTCGTCCAGAAGTTGCTCATCAGTGTGCTCAGCTAGGTGGCATGGCCTGATAGATCATAGTCCAGAAATCTGAAGGACTCACGAAACCAGGCGCCTGTCTGGGATACATGTCAAAGTATGCCGAACAGAGGCATTGTCGCACGAATACGGCCCGTGCAAAACCAATCGCGAAGTGTGATGGGCGCAGCACCTTATCAAATGGGACGGTTCGTCGCCACAGAGATTGTTGCAACAGCCCTGGGTCCCAAAAGCCTGCACTGTTCCGTGGTCTCTCTGGAGAGCGCGCTCTAAGTGTCTTCGATCTTGCCGGCGTCGGAGGATGTGATGGTGACATAGATCTTGCATCTGGCGATACATTCGGGGGAAAAGAGAAGTCAGACATGATTACGTCCGTCACCATAGCTGGGAGACCTCTTTCTGCCAGGGGAAAAGAGCCAGCAAACTGTATCTGTTCTCTAGCTATGATTCGATTTCCAGAGTCCAGTGCAAAACATCCCCCAGGGAGCGGTGGTGCGGAAGGCGACATCCACTTACATGGGCAGTTCGAATCGTTCATGGGCGGTTCTGTACTCTCTGTCACTCGTTCCACCTATGTTACCACGGCCTGCCCTGTCATAGAACGGTCTAAGCGAGTTGGATCTGGCCTCTGCTCCCTTGCGCTACCTTCCGTGGTTACACTTTTCCAACAAGCTGCAGTGTCCAGTAGAGCTTGTTGCGGGCGCTGCTCTTTTTCTTGAGGTCTCTACTGACTGAGGGGTGACAGGTCAAGACTGACAAGGTTGCCTGGTCGCCAAGATTGTCTTTCTCTCAACGCTCGAGAGAAAGCAAGTACGCGGAAGACTCGCAGACCAGAAGACCTAGGGGTAGACCGTAGCCGAGGAGGGATTTGCAGTGTCGCCGTTCTGAACAATTTCGCCATCTCGTCGACCGCTGAAGAGTGGAGAGTGAAAGTTCTTCGAGACTGCAGTACATGTTTGCGCCACCTCTTTGCCCGCGCGCAGCGTTGCGCCCCTTCATCTTGTCGTATCGGGCTGTGAAAGAGGTGCCTGTTGTTGTGGTGGGCAGAGTCGCATATCCTGTATCGCGTAAGGGATGATCGAGGAGAACTTGTGATTCGAGAAGTGGAGGTCGAGCGCCGGTCTCTGGTCCTCTGGATTGCTTTCGAAGCTGCAGCGAGTATATTTAATGTGCTTCCACCTTGACAGAGCGCGACAAACTACAACAGGGGGTCGCGTGCCTCATTGTTGTCTGGAAGGTTATGGTGGTGGTGACTACATAGCCCTGAAAGGTGGTGCCGGGGCTGGAAACGTCCAGCGCAGATATTCAGTACCTTTCCGATTTGGGCGGCGGCAAGACTGGAGCCAGCATCTGCTCCACTTCGTAATGCTCTTGAGACCGGTATGAGATATATCAGCGTATGAGCTGCGTTCAGAGAAGTCAAAGATAAGAGAAGCGTTGCAGCTGTCGTACCAGTGTCCAAGATCACCCTGCCTGGAGTGACGTTTTCCGGGGCGATCATGTTTGAGCTGTGGAGGTCAATTTGCACAGCAGTGTGCTACGTCATGATCATAGTGAAGGTATATTTACGCGTATAACAGCTATCCTTTCACCAATGAACGGTAGCTGCACCGCACTCATTGGTCGAATCTGCGAAAGCGTGCCCGGCGTGGTCGATTCAGAGGATTCACTGAGGTTCCAGATTTACTAACAGTTTCTAGGGCATCGAGAGTTCACTATTCTTCCATCGGAAGATAGAAATCAACACCGAGTTGATCATGAGATTTTTTTTTTATCAAATTCTTTCAAATGGTAGAGTAATGTATCGATGAGACATGAATTTTGCCTACTCCTTGGACTGCGCCATATTTTTTTGCAGTTCTTATGGAAGAGCTCAAAAAGTCTGGCCTTTGCCGTCGCCGGTTTCGGAAGGAGATCCTTGGCTGTTTCGTTGTGTGCCAAGGCTTCTCACTATTGTGGTGGCCGGAGATAGTCTGCCTCTTCCGCAGCCAGCGCGAGAAAACAGATTCAAGTTCTCTGTAACAAACCGGCCACAGCTACAAGACGCGTCGGGGCTACGTGCTTTTTTGTTTCTCTCTCCACGAGTCTCTTCAGTCACAGCCACGAACAGCCGCGCTCCAAGCAATTCGAAGCCATCCCACCGGGTCAAGCTCAGACTAATACCACGCGCAGAATCGTCTATCATCTCAGGGCACTTCACAAGTTTCACTCTGCAGCGGCGGCTCTCTCGCCGCACGGCGAAAACTATTCGAGTGAGCCGCGCTATGTCCGTAGAGTGACCGCCGAGCAGACGCGCTCGCCTTGTCTTGCACGATCCACACCACGACATCTCGTCTCCTTCGATACCTAAGGCTGGCGAGTATCAGACGAGCAAGCCAGTCCGTAGACTCCGTACAGCACTCTTCGCTCCATCCTCCAACGCCGTTCTTCCAGCTTCGAATCCAGCAAACTATAAGCGACTGCTCCGGAAAATTCGGGAAAGATTCTACACACGCCACGTTCCAGCCCGATAAGCACAGAAGTGTCTCCATTCGAAGTACTGCAAGTCGCCATACACAAACGCGTCTACAGCGACGCGTCGGATCGACAGCAACGCGATGGTGTCTCACGGCGGCGAAAGGTAATTGAAGGCCATCATACAGTTTGGGGACTCCAGTCGTGCACGGTAAGCTACATATCCCCAGTACTCTTCATGATTGACACGAATATCCAATAGCAAACAGTAGCTCCCAGCCTCCCTCGCGTCGCGTCTCTCTGCTCTCAGTTGCTGACTCTACAACTCCGCGCCAATCAGGCCGAAACGAAGCAGTGGGATATCTATGCAGATTCCCGAAATATATTGCGTAGCTCGCCCAACCCCGTACACTACGATCCCAGCAAACTTCGTGGACTTCTTCTTCAGCAGCGGAATCTCGAACCTTCTGTGCTTCACAAAGGCTCGAACCGTTTCGATTTCCCTTCAAATCAGTATTTCGATGGCGACGATCATCTCTGGAAAGAGCTTACTTCTCTCACCATTGCATTGGTCTATCCAAGTTGAAGAACAAGAGCAGGATAAATTCAAGGGCCGAGGGGCATGTCTGAAGGGATCTGGAGCGGAAGGTTGGTAGAGAAAAACGCCCCAAGGCGCAACAAGCCTGGACGAGGCTCACAGACATACGGATGGCTATTCTGACACCTCTATTGCCCCTCAACTCTGTCCTAGTCGGTCCGACGCGACTGCAGCGAAGTGTGATAGTAAGAATGCACCAAGTTGAAAGCCTGCTGCCTGGAAGATAATCTGACTCCATTTCAAGGACTCTACTTGGCAAATGAAGATCTCATTTGCGACAAGCTCAAACCGTGGGTCTACTGGCTCTCATTGCACTCAGCTCCGACGCTCCGTTAGAGGCTCAAATTATACTCAGCCGAGAGCTGAAAACTGCCACAGCAGCAAGTGAGCGCGAGGCTAATGTTGTGCAGCGCAGAAGCGACAAGGAAACGGGACCAATGCATCCGATCTTACAAGATATGAGCACCGCAGTCAAAACAGCGGCATGTAGGGACTTCTCCATCCGGCCAATACATTCTGCAACCAAGTCCAAGTCCAGTGTCTCCGAACTCAGCAACTCTTTTCGTGTTACCGCCGCTCGCAAGTTTCAACGTGACCTTCGTTGCTTTGTCAATAGTTCAAAATGTTTCACGGCTCCTGCAATTCCATCGCCAATACTGATTACCATCGAGAATCGCAGAACAACGTAACCCCCTGCCTGAGCTCACTTTTCCGATTCCTCAGCAGGGCAGCATTGACAGAGCTAAAGGACTAAGATACCCGTCTCGATGAGGTTCCTAGACCAGGAAGTGTTAATCCACGATCGCTTGGAATCCAGAAGAGCTATTGCAAGGAGCAAACTACCTGATGTACCTGTGCTCTACCTCCGTCGCCAGCGTCGAGATGCTCTCAACGTGGATCGAATATTGAGAGGCCCCGGGTAGACCTCTGTGTCTTATTGGAACGCAGAATATCTGGAGACAACGAGCAATAAAAGATTTTGTGGTGGTGGGGCTGCTTCTCGTCGACTGATCTCTGAGGACGGAAGTATGGCATGGCTTTGTCTAGAACCAGAGGATAGACATTGCTCCTGCAGTTCTCGAGGGCATCCAGGCGGTCGTCTTGGCTTCAACCCCGCTGAATGGCTTGGGAAGCTCATTCTCGAATGCTACCTCCTTCTGCGCCTTCCGGTGGAACCCCGAACATTCCCGTCGATCCCGGACCAGAACCGCATATGCGCGCCAGAAAATTCGCACCTCACCCCATCACCAGCAGAGATCCAGAACCAGACACCGTGAAGAAGGCCACGCCGGGGCCAAGCAAGCGCACCACCAAATCCACATCCAAGGATTGCGATAATCCGGATAAGCAAGATCTCCCTGCCAAAAGCAGCCGCGAAATCCCGGGCGACCACTACCTCATCCGCTGGCTTACGCCAGCTGAGGACGACTGATCAAAGCTGAACTGGCGAGAGTGGACTTGATTATCTAAGAGCAATGTGAGCGTCGCAAAGCACAGGGGCTGTTGCCGCCTGACGGAGGCGTCGGAAGGTCCAAAGACCGCTGTTCACGAGGTTAAGTAAGAGCGTGAGGATAAGATGCTGGAAGATCAACGGTAAGCCGGCGCTCGGCGGAGTGTCCGTCAGCGTCTGCAGCAGGCATCGAAGAAACTCGAATCTGCACACAACAACGGCGCTGCTGAGAAGGGTCCTCACTTGTTCGACATTGAGGGGGGCGGACAGCGAGGAGGATGACGGTTTCTGAGGCGCAACCTCGTGCCCCGGAGGAGGCTGGAATGCGGACACTACACAGGCGTAAGACGTTTGGATGACGGCGTTAATGATGCGGTGTTACGCAAAGCTCGGCAGCGTTCTTAGCATTGATAATGATACCCCGAGCCGCTCGCGATAATAGCAGCGAGTTGAAACACAGCGATTCGGAAGTACGGCGTCAACAGCAAGAAGTTGTCCATCCGGCTCTCCCAACGCGTAGTCTCGCAGCGTGTTCCAGCCTCGTCGCCGGTCATAAAAGCGGCTCAGCGCCCGCCAATGCCGCATCTACGCGGGTAGCTTTTCCAGCAGACGCATTGGCCTCCGACAGGCATCAATTGGTGCACGTGGTTGGTATTGCTGCCTTTACTAGGCTTAAAGCGGCAGTGTATGCTCCTTATCAAAGCAAATGACCAAGTGAAGTGAGTGAACAATAGGCTGGCAGGCGATTTATATGAGTAGCAGCCAAGTATCGCTTCACTGGCGCCACTCGGATCCCTAGCCGCCACCACCGCAGAACTGCGGGCTGGCCCACTAGTGTAGCACAGGCCAACACCGAAAAGTACTTAAGACGTTCAGTTTCCTCTCTCTTCCAAACTTTTCTCTCCATTCCATCCACCTCCAACGACAACCTCATTCAGCATTGGTATGTTTATCCATCCTCAGCCATCACCTCCCTTGCATGATGAGCATGGTACAGACCATGCGTCTGCTTCTCAGAAGCATGATGTTGCCCTTCGCCGGCCTGCCAACCCTCCCTGATCGCATCACCACGCGCCACTCCATCCTTCCATCACTTCCTCGTGAGCTCGCTGACTATAGTTATCACAGGTGGATGTCTCGACTCTCGACCCAACACAAGCAAGCTAAGTTTCCGGCAGAGAGAGCTTTTTCGTGATGACGACCTGCACGGCTGACCCCCTTCTTCTCCTCTAGCTGCTTGCTGCTGCTGCAGCTGCTCAGAAAGAGGAGGATTTTGTTTCTTTTCCTTTTCTTTTCCTTTTCTTTTCCTTTTCTTTTCCTTTTCTTTTCCTTTTCTTTTCCTTTTCTTTTCCTTTCTTTTTCTTTTTCTGTTTCTTTTCCTTTTCTTTTTTTTTGCTTTTCTTTTTCTTTTCTTTTTCTTTTGTTTTTCTTTTCCTGTTTCTTTTGTTTTTTTTTTCCTTTTTCTTTTGTTTTTCTTTTGTTTTTCTTTCCTTTTTCTTGTGTTTTTCTTTTGTTTTTCTTTTGTTTTTCTTTTGTTTTTTTTTTCTGTTTCTTTTGTTTTTCTTTTGTATTTCTTTTCTTTTTCTTTTCCTGTTTCATTTGTTTTTCTCGGGGCTCAGAGAGCTTTCACCAGAACTATTGATAATACTACACTCTGCTAACGTGTTCTTCTTCAGCTTTTTTTCAACACTGCGGCATGAAGGCCTGGTTGGGGCAAGGCTTGTCAGCAGTCGAGGCTTGAGCCTTCTGACAAGACAGCCGCAAGATGCACACACAACCGGCTGGTAGGAAAGGCCTGGTTGCAGGAAAGGCCTACCATGCCAACGGTTCAGAAAGAGGGGGGCATCAGTGTCAGGGCGCGTTTGCTGCCGTGGCCTGGAGCCTCATGCATTCCAGTAGATAGTCGTGTATTCAAGTCTTCCCATCAACATTCTGTCCTGTTCATCCGTGCCTCTTGACTGTTTCTCCCGATACCGTGGTTGTAGTCCCAGAGCCGTGTGCTGCGCGCGTCGTATGCGTCGCCCCATGCGAAGCATTTGGTGGGTTTCTGAAGCCCAGCTACCAGCCGCGGTCTATGACTTCTACGCTGTCGCGCTCCACCACTTTCTGGTAATTCCATGCAAGTAGCTCAAGTTCGATAGAGTAGGTCTCAAAGCATCGTTACATTCCATGGGCAAGCTCGCCGCCGCCTTGTGGTGGAGTAATTGAGGGAAGCACACTTGTGGCTGCAGTCTGGAAGCCGAGAAGACCGTCGACGAGCCAGCCCATACCACTTCAACCGCGTCGCGTTTCGTCACCACATCAGGACTACGTGCAAGATACTCAAGAGCTAGCTCTCGGAAAACGACCGCGTCGCGCTGAATCGCCGCACAGGACACAGATACAGAACTGGAAAGATCTACTGGAACGGGCTTGAAGAGTCGTTACATTTCTTGGACAGGCTCGGCGACGATTGAGTACAATGCAAGAGGAGGCACTCTAAAGGACACGCTAAGCTGCGCTTGGGAGGCTCGGGAGGTTGGCCACCTAGCTCACGGAAGACGAGCTCCACTACAACGCGATGCACCGGCAGAGCAACCGTAAGATCACTCCAAATAGTGCTAGAGAAGGATCACGTCTCGTGGGCAAGCTCGCCCGAATGTCCACGAAGAGAGAAAAGATGAATCTTTGAATTGATTTCGATGCCGCCTCGAATTCAATTAGCCAGCTGGGCTGCCACAACAAGCACGTGTCGCGCTCCAAACTACCGTCAGAATTTGGTGCAGTTCCTTAAGCTGCTCTCTACCAACGTCAAGGAGCTTTTACATCCTGTGCGCCGGCTCACCGACGCGTGTGGCGAGTGCGGTAGGTTGGTTCCTGTACCAGCAAGCTGCGGCTGTCGAGATTGCTGAAGCTGACACAGAAACAGACCGCGAGATCCACAGTACTCCGCCTGACCGACGACATCTTGGACGCGACAGGACGCCGACAGCGTTCCGAGACTTCACAACCGATCCATCCGTCAAATAAGCTCGAAGAAGACGTTGCCTCGCGTGCGCCAACAATCGGCCGCAGCCCTCGTACACCAGCGCCAACAGCGGAACTTGGCAGCCAGCAGGAGCAGAAGGAATAGCAGAGAATACTGTTCACGACAGGATGCGTTTTACAGGCACAAAAGACGCGAAACATAAGAGTAAAAGGCCTTCTGAAGATGCAAGCGAAAGATCCCATGGCTAGACGCACCACTACTCGCGACGCGACGCGACGCGTCTTTGATGGATGGCAAGGTTTGGCTCTGTGCCGCAAGCAGAATTGGCAAACATCGAAAAGAGCATGGAAGGCAGGAGATAAGCGTCCAACACAGACTCCAGCTGGGTCGAGCAGAATTCTCGGTTCTGCACCCTCAACGGCACAAGAGCAACGTAGAGGATTCAGGAGAAGCTTGCTCTCGATATCTCGAGAACCTCTCTCAACCTACAACAAACTCTGATGGCGGATATTGTGTCAGAGATGCCTCATCCTGCTCCCGTCGACGCGTCGTTGTGCTTGCTTTCCCGTCAGGGCTGACTGTATGTTTCCAGAAGCGCCCCATGTCCTACCGGGACCGTACCTTTTGGCCCTATTCAACAGCGTAGCATGCCAATCCATCACTGACCTTGACTGCAGACTCTGTCGCTTGTCTTGCCTCGCCAATACCTCCGCGGCCGTCAAGCTGCGCCGATGCGAATGCCCTGCCACTCCTCCCACACCCGCCGTACCGATACATACGGCTTGCGAGATAGCATCTCCTTTACGCGTTGGCTCGCCGTCTACTTCACGTCTCTAATCGCTCTTTGATCTTCAGCTTCAGCATCCATGAAGGGCACCGAACGAGGGTCTAATAACACATCCGCACGCCTCCTGAAACACGCGCCAAGGCCCGCAGGATCTGTCAGAAAGCCACAGATTGACGCGTCAACCGCTACGCAAAGATCGAGAGACCTGCAAGCCAGGAGTTACGCTGGAGAGAAAAAGGTGGAACAGAAGCAGATGGAAGCAGTCGTTGGAGCTACATTCAGACCTGGATACCCTGCACAAGTAGCTCGCCTGATGTTGGAATTTTGGACGGAGTTGGATCAGCAAAAGCAGTTTTGAGCGGCCAAGTGCATAAGTTACATCGCTAGCGAATACATAATTTGCGATCGAAGAGCCCGACTTCCTCAGGGCCAACAGTTCCTTCGAATCCTTTCTCGGAATGGAGTATCGCAATGTGTTGGCTGCTTCAAGCAACGCTCCTAGCATTCCATAATCTTCTCCTTGCTTGCAAACTTATATGAAGAATCAGTATCCATCTCTGCTCGCATATCGTGAAAGTCGCTGTCGCTGTCGCTGTTGTCGTCGTCTCCGCCGTCTTTCGCTTCGCAATCGCTGTCAGATGCAAGCCCGCTCCCTGAATGTCGCCAAGACCAAAAAGAAGCACAGATCAATAGCGATCATCATTTCAAGATCGATACATGACTCCAAAAATCCAGCAAAAAAAATTGTAGTGTTTGCAAGACACCTAAAGATAGAAGAAAATCGTTAGCTGCAGAGTTCGTCAGTGAGCAAAATCCTCCGGCGGCGCGGCAGTGGCAGTGGCAGTGGTAATCGAAGCGGCTGAGCTATCTGTGACATCTGTTAGTGGAGGACGGTACTTGCTGCGAAGTATATAAAAGTCAAAAGTCAAATTTTCCAGCTCGGACCTTCGGAGTTTCGGAGCGTTTGGCTAGGGAGAGAAGCTGTGAAAAGGACATCAGGAAGCGTTTTTGAACGGTCTTACGATTTGATTTGGGCAGTTTCTGGGTATGAGGAGCAGTTGCGAATGGTTCACGTGAATGCGCAGGAATTGATTCGCTGGAGAGGGACGAAAATGATGTGAGAGATTGTGACATCGCGTCTGGACTGTTTGTTTTGATGAGAAGAAAGGACCCGCCGATGGCATTCTGTCCAACGAATATGTGGAGATAATTGTAGTTTGCGAGTCACATTCTCCATCTCGAAGGTCAATCCGTCACGCCACAATACTACGCTGCTACGCAGGACGACAGACCCTTCGCAGGGTAACGTCACTGAGCCAGCTTTGTAATTTTGCTAAATGGACGCGAGAAGCGTTTCAATTGGGAGGAGCTAATACACACGGGAAACCCTCAGCGGCTTGTGCTGGGCATCATGCTGTACCAAAAGCAACAAAGCCCGATGTAAAGCGATTTGGAGCCACCGATTTGTCCATTCCTCCTTTTCCTTCCCTACAAGGGTGGCGCGTTGCCGAGGAATTGCTCTGTGCGGGTATCAATGTAGATGTTCTCTTCCTTCATGTCCTCTCTTTCCCAGCATGTCCGCCTCTTAGAATAAGAAGCTGCTGATACTAATCGCGAGCTCACATTGGAAATCCAGGAGCCTCAACCTCCACGCCAACGCTGTTCCGCTTGGGATACAAAGCGAGGCAACCGCTCTCGTCGACGTACTGGTGGGAAGATGGGAAATCATCGTCAACTCCGATACGACGGAAGCTAGTCTTCCTACCGTGAAGCGCGGAAACCCCACCCTTCATCCAGCACGGAACGGGAGCATTGACATCCATTCTGAACACGACGTAATGATCTTGAAGAATAACGCCCTCGGAGAAGGTGAAAGCCCCATGGCGACTCATTTCATCGGAGATAGATTGCGCCACTGCGAAGTGCTGGTAGAGCTTTGCGTAGTCGTCGAGGGATAAAGAGGGAGCCACCGCCATTAGCTTGGCCCGCAAATCGTTGGCGAGATTGGGCGGCTTAGGGATCGTGTTGTAAGGAGTGAAGAGCTCGCTGTGTTCCTTGACGAGACGCATCCAGACAGCCCACAGCTGCAACGTCCCCGGCTCGAGTGCCTGTACGTAAGTCTGGTGATAGGCGGCAACAAACGCAGTGTTTCGATCGTGTTCGATGTAGTGGGAGACATTTGGAGCGGCCGCGTAGGAGAAATAAGTTGCAAGTGTCATCTGATTGGTCTGAAGAAATTCCAGAGTGTTCGGAGAATGGGAAATTGCCACTGAGAGATTAGCTTTGATCTTATAGCAACTAGGCTCAAGGTTAGAATGCACTCACCACCTTGTTGATGGACTTCCTGGAGAACCCACCGCTTGCAGAGGATTCGCAAGTAGGATCCATCCTGCACCATCTGCTTAAGTCCCTTGACGATTTGTCGCAAATCTGCGAGAGACGCGGAATGCGTAGTTGCAGAGGCAATGGCTTGCAACTGACAGAGGGGACCGCTTTGTTCTGCAAGACAGAGCAAACGATCGCGTAGCTGGTGTGGAGACATCAGAGCAAGTCCGAAGATGTCCAGCATACTACCGTGCTTGTAGTATTCGGTAACTTCCTGACGGATGAGGCCCACTCCAGCAACGATGATAGCCGCGATCTCCTCCCTGATATAAGCAGCGGCATAGTCTGCAGTTCTTGCCAGCGTGCCGACAGTGGAAGAAGGGACGAGTCCATACTTTAGCTCTGACACGATGACGCCGGGATAGACGTGCGACAGGATGTCTTGAGCTGAAGCGGCATGGACGTATTCTGGCAGCGTTACAATCGCGAATGGGTTGTTCAACCTAGCACTCGGATCCACATCCACCAAGATATCGAGTCCAACCATACGCAAGGTTAAAAGCGCTAGACATGTCAGAAGACTACTTTCGAAATCAAAATATGTATAAATACGTACAGATGAAGTCGTCGGATGCCTGCAGAAAACGACGTGCGCATGTCTGACAGTGCTGCCGACCATCATGCTGAAGCGCGTTGCCTCGAGGAGCCCCATAGCAGGAGGCACAGACATTGCGGAACGGAGGGTTGTGAAAGCCGTCGTAAAAGATAGCCTCCAGGAACTTCTCGGATGCGGCCTTGGAGAATGGCATTCCCCGCAAGGTAGCCTGCCAAACAGGATGATACTGTGGTGCTCGATGAAGTCCAGCAGAGGCTTGGGAAAGACGCAGGCGGACGCCAACATGGGGGAAGTGTCGGTCGAGGCGCGTCAGCAGATTCGGGTTCTTGTGGAGCTTCGAGGATGGCAAACGCGTGAGAAGGGCACGGTATCCCCTGCTAGCCCCAACCTGCTTGAGCCATAGGTACAGCGACAGCGCCGGCAGGTCGTACTCGAGAAGGTAATCCTGAATCTCGTTGAAGATGTCGAGATCTTGGGCCCGGAATATCTGGTTTCGCAGGTAGGCGACACGCTGTTGGATTTGTTGTGGAGTTCGCGTATCCGGCTGGCCTCTTGGAGGTAGTCCTGGAGGAGGAGGGAGAGGAGGAGCAATCGAGGCAGCCATTACGCTGGCGGCTGTGGTGTATCTGTCGCGCACGTCAGTATTTTGGTCTTTTTGGCTGTTGAAAGAAGATTGAAGTTCTCCACGGGTTGTTTAGTGCTGTGGGAATGGCATCTAGCACGCGGCTCATGCCGGCACACTAGCGTACTTTGCCCTCCTGTTCACTTTCCTCCGGCAACATATTCACCTTCTGCAACAGTGCGCAGACCGGAACCTTCTCGGTGCATGAAAAGCTCACATATTCGCTGCACCCTCTCCAAACCGACACCAACTCCTCGAAGAAACACTTACATACCACACTCGAAAGCGCCGAAAGCCCCCTCTCAGCAGATAACCTGGTCTCATGTCCACCGCTGATAGAATCTATACATCTTCTTCGCTGCACGCATGTTGATTTGATTGAATAGTTCGATTCCACATTGCCGCTTCTAGTCGCTTAGAGCTGACCGGGAATCTCGCCCGCCCGTTGCACGCTACCTCCGCCTAACTTCAGGCTTCCAAGGCATCCAACACAAGCCCGTTGCTACAGTAGTGGGGTCACGGGGACGGACAACGCGAGTCATTAATCACGTGTTTTGGACGGGCTAGGCCGCCAGCACAGGCCAGGAGCTCAACATCAAAACTCGGGCTGAGCTCCAACTTTTTCTGCTTCTCTTCTCTTCTCTCCTCAGCCACTCCTCCGACCCGGAGTTTGTTGCATGGGCAGGTCTGAAGCCGGGGACCTTGCCACGCCCCTTGGCTCATGATGGCTCTTTTTTGGAACCGACACCGCTGGTATTGCACTGCCTCCAGTGGTGTCACATCTTTTTCATCAAGTCCTTCGCTGTCAGCGAAGTCTTGGAGAAGAAGCTCCTTTTTGATACCGACATGTTCCTTCTGTGCTTGTGATGTTTGCTGCAGTAGTTGCGTGGCCCAGCAGCATGGCTGCATGGTGTGCTCCTTCGTCGTGTTTGCTGCTGTCGACTAGGGCAACGCAATCGGGAAAGGTGTTGCGCGTCGCACGGCGTTGGGGTTGGAGAGCTCGAGGCACCGCTGGCGTGTGTCTGCTACTCTAGTTGTACTGCGGCGAGGAAATCAATCTAGGTCAACAGGATATCAAAGAATCCTATGACTTTTTTCATCTTATGCTCTTTGTTTGTACCGCCTTTCTGGAGGTGCTTCTGTTCGTCACCAACGCCACCAGCGACAGGAGAGTGAGCGACGCGTCGTCGTGAGGAGCGCGCCCGCGCGCGATCGTGAGGGTGATCTGCCAACACCGTCCACATGACCGTACAAGCAGGCCGGTGCAGAGAGAAAGACTTCGCAGCCTCATGAACATACTGCCAGCGACGCCAGAGGCAAGTCGGACGCACTGAAGCTGTGTGGTCGCGACAGACCAGTGACACTGTGGACGTAAACAGCCTGCTAACTACAAGCTCTTCCAGTGCGAATGCCTCAGTCCATCCCTCAAAATGCTGGCCACCGAGAGCGCAAGGCGGGTACCAACACCTCCCCTTTGCCGCGACACGCTACGCCTCCTTTTCTCAGCCGCACCAGCCCGGCGATGTCTCCTCAATCAGCCCAACATACACAAGGCCACTCGCTGCGGTTGAAACTACCACGCAAGATTTCAGCTCCATCGCACAAGCCCAATGTAGAGCATTCGACCACAACATGTCCGACGCATGACGCGTCTCGAAACGCTAGGAGTATACGGTACGGAAGAGGTGGAACAAGGCCGCCGGCTGGAATCTACACTGGACTACACTGAACACACGCAGGGTGTGCCGGATAAGCTTTGATACAAGAAGCCTTAATGAAAGCACCTTCACTCTCGCCATTGCCACCTTCGTTGCCCTCTCCTCCTTTCCGATGCGAATTGGCGCCAATACCCCTCTCGCACCCAGTCACAACACATAGGCCACTTGATTCCGACTTGCATCCTCGCGTCTACAGCAAGTAAGATTGAGTGAAGTGTTGCGGCTCGAATATCTCTCACGTATGGCTGGATTAATTGGAAGAGCAGGTTCTAAATATTTGGAGTGACAAATGGGCATACTAAGGGCATTACTGCTGCGATTGCAGTATTTATTGGAGAAGAGCATGCTGGAAAGGACATCGGACCGTCCTCTCAGACAGCATGGTAAGCATAGGAGATAATTACGCGTCAATTCAGGCCAGCGACTGCCGATTTGGTCTACAATCTTTGCCTACTGTGCCCATTTTTGCGTCAAGGTAGTCGAGGCTGATTGCAGCTTGCTATTAGTAGACATGCTACGCGCATCCTGCCTCCGTCTTTCCCTTTTTTGCTCATTGCGAGTTCAGCTCCTCTTTCGACGTCCATCCGACCATGTCCTGGCACGCTATGGAATCTAAGCTGCAGGAGAACAACACGGTGACCGGTTCATGTGAAGTCGATCAATCTTTTGCCAACCTCCGCTCATTGAGCGCTGCGAGGCGAGACTGTAGTCTGTATTGTTGAGATTGTGGGTCAACTCCGTGCCTGGGTCCGTGTGACGCTTTGAAATACCTCGATACGTGTGAGCAGAATATCTGGCGCATCTCCTTCACTGTGATAGTCAAACATTGCCACAGATTATATCTCGGACCTTGGCACGTGGGTGTCACACAGGGCGGACGCTTGTTCTTGACGATTCACCAACCTATATCAGTTGGCAATGAGATACGCTGCGTAACTTATGCTTGAGACGTGGAAATTCTTGTGTCCGCTTGAGGTCAGTCTGACCGTGATATCTCTCGAGAATTTGACCGTTTGGAGCTGCCTTGCTCCTGTTATGCAAGCTTTCCAACCCAACCCTACCGCCATCCAGCCCGCCCGATCCAACGAAGACAGATCCAAGGAAGACGAGGCACTCGTCCACATTGACGACGATTTCGACCCCGACGCCGAAATCACCTCTGCGCAGATGGGCGGCCCACTCCAGTCTCCTGCTTCCGTCACTAAGCCAAAGAGAAAGAAGCCCAAGGTTCTTAATGCTCCTAATCCTCCCACCGCCCATAGCAGCTCCCCAGCCGCCACCTCTCCGCTCACTATAGCCGGTCTAGCCGACAGTCCATTCCGCGCGTCGAGCAGCCGCCTAACTGCAGCACCTAAGAAGCGCAAGCAAACCGCGATAAGAACCCTCCCTAGCAAGAGGGCCAAGCGGGTCGAGTCGGAGGAAGAGTTGTCCGACGCCGTCTGAGGACTACGCTCCGCGACAAGGGATGCAACCACGACAATATAGATACTCGCACGACAGTGATTTGATTGCAAGCTCTTAAGGGCAAGAGGCATTTTTGTCCCCGAGAGGGGGAGATATTACGGGAGGCGCAGCCTCGGTGCACTGGCCTACCTCGGCGCGGCATAGATACTTCCTTCGGGGCAGCACTAGATAGCAATTAATCAACAAGTTCACACACATCTCTCAGTTGGCCCCTTCGGTGCGCAACAATCATTGTTCCCTTCGAGAGTCGAGACTACAGTGAACCCAAGAGCGACAGGCTCATACTGGCCGAGATGGGTGGCTTGCTGCTCTGTAATGTTTCTCGCCAGTTTGCCTTTGAAATGGAAAGTCATCCCTGCAATACACTTGTGATCCACGCCGCCCATACTCCATTTTGCTTTCAATGCTCCTACCCTGGGCCTTGCCATTCGCATCAACTCCTCTTTCAAGCCCAGTAGGCGCGTTCTTGCGTGTTTCTTGCCCCTCTGGCTTTCTTGTTCTGTAACTGTGGAATCATCGAGCGCGGTGTATGGGAAAACATCGAGGGTCTGAGAGCGGGTTCAGCGGATCGTGCTGGAGTCCAGGGCGCCGATAGGGTCGCGAATGCGTCGGTTCTTATTCAAGATCGGCGCGTGTGCCATTTTCCTTCCTTTCGAGCGGTTCCGCAGGTGGTCGTACAATCTTTTCTCAGGCTCGCGCAGAATGGAGGCGCTGTCTGTCGGTATGGGCTGTGTAGAACGTTCGACGATTCGACCGCAAAGAGAGCACACGCGCTTGCAGGCAGCACTGAGCGACACTGCTGGGGAGTGAAGCCATTAGTCTTCGAACAGAATGGATGCATTGACGACAAGGAAACTGGCTGTGAAAGGCTTGTGGCAAAGCTCCGTATCCAGCGACTTAGACCTATGTTATTGCCCTCAGGGGTTCAGCACCTCCATCTCTTGTACATGTATCTCGGCGCCGTCCATCATCAGGCGCGTTTCGTAGCAGCATCCCACCCACTTCAGCGAGACCACTGGGGCTGCACCCGCTCAGCAAGCTGTTGATACAGGCTCTTGTGGCAAAGCAGATGCTCGTGTTTGCTTGTTCTTTTGTGTGAGGTGTGGTTCTCTTTTGCGGGTCGAGTTCTCCATGGCCAAACAGAATTGGCGCGCTCATTCGGATCGTTGACACGTAAAACGGATGGGAGGACGCGTTCGGCTACAGGTGGAGAGCGCCTCCAGCGTGTGGGAGAGGGTTTGACGAATTTTATTCACCAGCAGCTGACATTCTGGAGTGCGCTATTGCGCCATAGAGAGAGCAACAGTTGCTATACCTGGAGTCTGTTAGCATGTAGCTTTGATGGAGAGCGACCTCGCGGCTTCGCGTGATGTTCACTGCGTCCGGCGGCGGCGGCGGCCTGCACTCAACCGCGCAGGATCCAGCAGCGTCTCCGACGAGTACCTCACTCTGGAGCTCTCCACGGCGTGGTTTGCCTCTGGGCCTGGAACTTGTAGTACGAATTGGCTATCCACACGAACGCGTTCGCCTCGCTGTATGCCGCTGGCGCCGGGCCGCTGGCCGTGGACGTGACGGTGAACCGTGACGCGACGGGCGGAGTCTCATGGTGGCGAGCGCTACTGAGTGACCGCGAAGCTACACATGAATCAAAAGGAACCGTGTCTGGGCTTCTTCGTTGGTCTCCTCCGCGATCATCACTCAGGCAAGTCACAACACGCTCAGCGCACACCAGTCACCAACCACCCGCAGCGCAGCTGAGGGCAGCACGTCTTGGCCACGGGGCTGCCTCGAAACAAACATCTACGCCAACAGCTCAACGGCGGGAGACGAGGACACACTGTACAGACGCGAAGGACTACAAAACAGCTCACAGGTGACAGGATCAACAGGAAGTCAGCTTCTTCTCCAAGACCATGCCGACAACGACAAGAGCATTGATGAAAAAGAGTGAGACGTAACGTCCGTTGAGTTCCAAAAATTGTAGGCCAAGCGCGGTATGACCGAAGCCATCCTCGGGGCGCGGTCAAGTTCCTCGGTACCCTCACTGGAACAGGCGCAGACACCCGGCTCCTGTAAAGGATTGCCCTGTAAAAGTCACATTAATTAGCGACTTCACAAGACAATGAAGGAAGAAAGAAAGAGAGAAGAAATCTCAGAGCTGTGGCTCGACTTTTAAAGATTGTAGGGGGCCTGTGCAGCTAGCGCGGCGGCCCAGGCCGCCCAAACACGTGATTCCTGACTCGCGCAAGGGATATGCCAGGGACGAAGCTACGACGGCAGTGGACGTGGAGAGGTTGAAGAGGTCAGTCTCTAGACATGGACGGCTTTGGAACTTTTCTTATAGAGGCGCCTGAACAAAACACTCTTCCTTCCTGAATCCTGATGCTCACATTTCAATTCTATAGTATATTGTCGCATTGGAATGTTATCTAGACGCACACGACAGCTGTTTCGTTACTTTTGGACTGGCCGTTGCCCCCATGCGCGGGATGAAAGTAGGCTTCTGACGCGAGAAAACGCTGCACACTGCCCATGGCCGGTTTTAACTTCAATTAAGTGCCGGCCGTCGCATTGTATCTCATCCCCATTGAAGTGTAGTAATCTGACAGCACATCGTCCACTAATTTCTCCGCATGAGCATATGTAACACCCTGCGTGTGTCCCGGCGGCGTGAATGGGAAACTGCTCGAATCGATGACTCTCAACTTCTGCACACCCAAAACTCTGGCCTTCGAATCCACAACGGCCATCGGATCACTGTTCTTGCCCATGGCACAAGACGAGCTGGCGTGGTGAATAGGTGTGAGATTCTTCTTTATTGCTTCCAGCAACTGAGCGTCGGTAGTTACGTTCTCGCCTGGGAACGCCTCGTCTCCGACCTTGATGCCGTCGGGGATCGCTGCCCATACTTCTCGAGCACGGCGGTAGGCAGCGACGGCGACCTCCTGGTCTTCTTTGTTCATGAGCCAGTTGGGATTGATAATTGGTCGATCCATGTTGCTCGCAGATTGAATCGTCATGTTTCCGCGGCTGGTAGCTGCAATGAGAAGGCAGCCGACAGCGCCGTATTGTGTCTGTCCGCTGGTTGCGGTCAAGATGGAGCCAGAGCTGGACAGGGAGTTTTCAATGATCGGCCAGTCGGATGGGAAGAACTTGAGTGCTTCGCGGGTGCTGTTGCTGAGATTTGCACCGGGAAGAAAGTCCCAGTTGCCAATGTCTAAGCCGATATTGGTAAGTGGCCCACTTCCATTAGACACCAGTTGGCTGATTGCTTCATCCATGAACCCTTCTTGCTGCCATGTAGAGTACCCAGCAACGGAAATCTCATAGACTGGGCCTCCGGGGTTCGTTGTATCCCACATGTTCTGTCCTACACCAGGTGCATCTTTCACCACGGGGATGCTGAAGTTTTGCAGAGTCGCCTTCGGGCCAATTCCAGAGACCATTAGTAGCTGTGGTGAGTGCCACGCACCAGCAGACACGATAACTTCCCTCGTTGCAGTCAATGTGAACGGTCGCTCGCCTCCAAGCCCAGTAACATTGACAGCCTTCGCAGTGCCGTTCTGGAAGAGGATGTTGCGGCCCATAGTGTTGACGTAGGTGGTCAAGCCTCTACGACCGAAAGACTGCTCCAAAAATGAACTCTCCGCAGAGCTACGGAGTCCGGTCGTCGGATCGATCGTGAACTGCCACCAGCCATAGCCATCTAGATCACCACTTGCGAAACCAGGGAGTTGCTTTTGTCCGGTGGCAGCAAAAGCCTGCTGGCCATATCGACTCAGAGGGTTGACATATTTCGGGTAGCTGACATGGAGTGGTCCTCCAGTGGGAGAGTATGCGTCCGTGGCATAGACCATATCTCCCTTGTACGCAGTTCGATTCGTTGCATCCGGAGTGAAACGCATACTCCGTTCCAGATACTTCGTCATGTTCTCCCAGGTGTAGGCCTGGTCGCCCACAGTGTCTGCCCAGAGCTGATAAGCACCCTTCGTAGGCCGGTGGTACATCATCTGATTTCTGCCACTGCTGCCACCCAGATTCTTTCCTTGAGCATAATGGATACTCTTGCCGTTGACCTGTGGCTCGGTGAAAAGGCCCCAGTCAATGTTCGGCTGCCAATCGTCTTCCTCAGCTCCGACCCATTGCTCCGACCAGTATGGGATCTGACTCCAGTTGCCATTGCTCAACTCGTAGAAATTTCCAGCTTCCACCAACGCTACGGATGCGTTACTGTACTGTGTGAGTCGTGAAGCTACGACGGAGCCTGCCAGTCCACCTCCAACAATAACATAATCGTACGTTGCATTCTTTCCCACGATTCCAAAGTTAGAGCCAGTCAACCTTCCAGGGCCGGAGAGCTGTGAGATCACAGAAGCCTCGCTACCCAAAGCCAGCAGGGCATATGCAAGTATTCCTTTCCCCATGGTCGCGAAGTCTGTCCAGAGATCGCGAAAAGGTTTCAAAGCGTTGGAAAAGTTCGCACGAGCAGACTTTGTACTTCTGGATCTTCGCTGGCACGTTGGGACAGAGCTGTAATGGTCCCACCCATGTGCATGCACCATCAGTGATTGGGACGCTGAACTTTCCCCAAGCGGAGATTTCGAATGGACGGATAGACATCCGCTCTCTAGGGTCCTGTTGATCCTGAGCGAGTGAAAGTCAAATCTCTCGTGACGTCAACTGTACCCGGCGGCCCTTTCGCCACGATGCACTGCCATCGAGAAGGTTTGGGCGACTCTTAGTTGATAGTTGCCGCATGTAGAAAATACAGATCTAGAGTCTGTGTTGCCGCGTGTGCCGGAAATGTTCGTGGCGATAGTTGCTTGGACGCCTTCGTTCTTGGCATGAAGCATGACAGCATTATCATAACAATTGTAAATGTGGAGAGTCTTCCGTCGAGCAGTTGATGGTGCCTAATCCGAACTCTCAAGGCCGGTGGCTTTCAGAGTAGCCATGGGTGGACTTGAGAAGGAACATTCATTGCCATGGGCACAGCTTTCCTGAACGACGTTTTCCTTCGCAGTCTGGTCCTAGGGCTCGCTTTCGATCCCGAGCATGATCTTTCAAGTGGCAGGCTGTGGGCGGCGGCGAAAAAGTGGTCGAGGATACACCGACTTCTGGTTGTGCTGGCCACACACTTGAATGCACAGCCTTTCATTCCATCTGAGCCAGTTCCTCTGGGATGCATAAAATGAGACAAGTCTCCAACTGTCGAACCCCTGCTGGCCGACTGATTCGACATCTCACTATGGGCAGAGTGTGTGGGACTTGTCCCGCTACAGTCGACGCTGCACATGACACCACTCTCTCTGTACTGGCTCATAGTGGCCCGATGAAGACGGCGAGGAGCCGAACAGTCGAGATGTCACACTCAATTGCATTAAGACCTGCGTTGCCACGGCGGAGCTGCCATTATCTGGCTGTTGGTCCAGGAGGGACAAGTGGTACATTGCCACGCTTCCTTCGCGCCAAATGCTCTCCAAAACGGGTGCCAAAGTCGTCTGTGTCCAGATGTCGCTCCCAAATGCTCTTCTGAACAGCTCTCTGCTGCTTTCACGTTACGCGCGCTGGAAGATATCTGTACACTTGCGTCACGGCTCTGCTCTCGCTGCTCTCATCGGTTGTGTAGCTGGTAATCTTCCTCACGTGGGTGTCTTGCGAGTGTGTCTGCTGCGCTTTGCATGTGGCTTCTTTCCCAAGGTTCTCAACCTCGGTTCACATTGCATGTGTGCTCCTGTTACCTGCTGCTGCTTGGGAGGGGGAGGGGGGGCCGATATCTTGACGTGAAGTTCTTCGCTTACGAGTGAAGTGCTCCTGGACTCACATCCGGCCGACCTCCCTGTCACGTGCAGGCATCGGTATCGGCACGAGAACTCTCTAGAAACTCTTCCGTTCGCCTCAACAAACAACCACCACACCACACCCAAACAATCACCGGGTCCATCATACGAAACATTGCATCCAACTGTACCTCATGAACCTGAGCATCTCTTGTGTGATTTCTTCAGCGAATACATGTGCAAACAGAAGAGCTTTCTCACCCAAAACGCGGAACTCCAGCTGAAGCTCGCGGCAACGCAGCAGCAGGTGGACAAGATGCAGGTCCAAATCAATTAGCTCGAGACCGACAACGATTTTCTCAATCGACCGCTGAGCAAGGAGAGCGTCAAGCTCGAGTCTCGACTTCCAGACCAGCGGCCGCACCACCGAAGCCCGCGAAAACGAGCACTACTACCGCGACAAGCCCTTTCAGCAGCAAGCCGCCCCCGCCTCGAGTAGGAGACACTGGATGTGCGTGTGTGGAGCTTCACTAAGATCCGAGTGGGCTGCTGCAAGCTCGGGGTTAGGCAGAAGGACGATACGACCATGGTCGACCACTTCACGCTCGGTCACGCCGTCGAGGGCTTGACAGGGAGCCTGCAGTGCACGCAGTAAGCAGATAGCAGATAGCACGCAACGGCGTGAGTGGTTGCAGGGTATGATAATGATACTGCTCTCTACTATTTCACGTAAGCTGTCGGGAGCCAGTCCGGCGTACATCGTAACCCTCACTGCTGATTGTCCCGGCAGCATCGAGATTCCCGATCATACTCTCTGCAGTATCATGTCAGCCAAGCGGCACTTGGACGTAGAAAGTGACACACATTTCGAAACCTATAACAACACCGGACTAAGAATTATGGGTAGTGGGTGACAGTGGACGTCGGGAAGTGAATTCATGGCTCAATGGCAAGTGCTTTCCATAACAGCTCTCAATCAATACAGATCCTCGCACCACACTTTCTGCCTGACCAGTGATCACATTTCCCTATCCACCAAAGCCTATGGTGCAGAAAACCCAACAGCGCAACGTTTTAACCATTTCGAGGCTCCAGAGAACATCGACGACCCGGTAAATTGACTGTCACCACCACCACTAGCCTAGCAACAAAGTGTCTCGCCGGTTCTGGATTCCAAAGTCGTAGGCCATGCGCAACATGTATTGGCGGCTGACTGCCACCTCAACCGTACTCCGAGGAATCATTAATGACAAGTATACTGCTTTCATACTTGGGGCACTATCTCGTGAGAGTGTGACTGCCATACATCTTGTCTTAGGCCAAGACCGAGTCTGCGATCTCATCGAGCCAATCCTACGACCAGAGCCAGACGTAGGGTATTCTCGAGTGTCAATAGCTGTCACGGCGCGTCTGTCCTCACGTAGATCGCGTGCTCGGGCTCATCGTGCAGTCGAACGCCTTGGTGTATGCATCGTCATGCATGGGCAAGGCGCTGTTTTCAAAGGGTTCCCTATGTTCGATGGAATTGCAACGAGTAAACAACGCATCGATCGCCGCGCTGGTCGTGTATTCGCTGGAGCGTCCGTCTCTTTGCCGTGTCCGTTTCCAATCATTTCACTGCCGCTTGGGGCGGCTCCTCTCTTTGTGGCGGCCCAGTGAGAGCGACTCTCGGGCTCGTCATCGAGTCAAGGGTCTTCGTACAGGGAAGCAGTGTTGGTGCTGGAGGTTTGCCTAAGCTTGCCGATGTGATTACGGCGCGTCGATCGCCACGCAGACTGCTGTTCCTCGGCTCCATTAACCCGAACCTTTGCTCTCTTGCTACCTCTTGGATGAAGGCATCGCTTTACGTGGACGGTGGAGTGTTGATAACTCGTCTCTCTCTTTCGGCTTCGTGATAGCTCCTTCGATGCCGGCGAGCGCTGTTACTTGTGGCCTGGCTGCACGCTGGAAGAACAGGTGCTGGTCAGTGATGGCACGCTGCTTGGGAACAGAAAGCTCTTCTTCGCGCTGCTGTGGACGCGTGATCGCGTGGTGCTTTACGTTCTCGTTCCACAGGTGAGGGACCTTCTTCTTGTCGGATGCAGTCAGAGGGGTGTCAATCAGTGCCGTTGAAGAGTCAATAGCCGTATATTCGGCAAGAAGCCCTCGCACGTCAATGACCTCGGTCGGAGTTGCCGGCCTTAGCTGGCGGCTTCTGGAGAATCTTAATAGGCCGCGGACGACGATCGGTGGAAGACTTGTTTGATGTTTTGCGGCCAGAGAGTGGCAGAGACTCTCTGCAGTCCTGTCGAGCTGTCAGTGCTGTTTGTCGAAGCCAGAGACTGGTACTCACCACCCTGATCTCCGCGAGCAGCTTCTCCATGGCAATCTCGTCTTGATAGGGCCCATAGGGGTCCAGGGGATTTCTTCCTGGAGAACGCGGCATTGCTCTTCGCCGAGGGGAGTGAGTAAGTGAACGTGCATTGGATGGTTGGTGACTTTGGGGTTGCGCAAGCCATGAGCATCGCGCACGCGGTGCTTCAGTCGGTGCGGCCGAAGCCACAGGGCAAAGAGAATGTGCTAACAGTGGCGGCGGTGCTGATACTGCAGGTGATGTGGCCCTGTCATCGGCGCGGGCTACGGGCAGACCGGTGGTGTCTGCTGAGAAGGAGGAGAGAATGGAAGTCGAGTTGAAGTTGGAGTAGAAGCTTCTGGTGGACTGCATGGGCTTTGTTTACGCAGCCAAGAGAGGAAGGGGCAGCAGCACAGAACCACGCAGGAGTCTGTCCAAGGCAGGAGCCCTTCCGCAGCCAGAGGGCTACAGATCTATGCTACGTCCGGCTGTATGGTTTGAATATGGTCCGGCTTGACCCTCGTGGCTGTGGAACTGTGTAATGTCTTCACACCTATGGAGCTCACTGAACTGACCTTAACCCTCAGGTCGACACTTGATCCATCTCGGCTCTAGAAGCTGGCTTACAGTAACACGCTCACCTCACGCCAGCGTTCATGATTCAGCCTTCTCCTTCGGCGGAGGTTGGCAGCAAGCAGGATGCAACATTGGCGCTCCTTCGCCTACCGCGTCATCTCTGTTCCCTCAAGCAGGAGGGTCTGCCACACTTGGTCTATCAGCGTTCTCGTGTCGATCCTGACCTCTACAGATCACTGCCGAGGACGTACTTCTCCGGTGACTCTGAGCAACCGCATCTTCCCGGTCCTTCCAGGCCGCACCACTCCGACTACCTTGAGAGTCTCTTTCATTGCTCCTCGCCCATCCCTCATCGACTGCGCTCGCTGCCCGCGCGCCTGTCGGCCTGTCCGCGTTCCTTTCCATGCTCCTCCCTACTCGCAGCCCTCTTCCAAATTCATCTTTCTAAGTCGAAGATATGCTCACGGTGACTTGCCGCTTTTCGCACACGACTTACCGATTCGTCCATTTGCGAGCTCAGTCCCCAGTTATGCCGGGGCGACGACAACAACAGCCTAGCGATCCTCTTCACACCGCCAATGCCATTCAGGTTCGCCCAATCAAATACCTCGCCAGATGTATGCATACCGCGGATGGCTACAGCAGGTCTCAAAGCTTCTGCCACAAGGCTGGCCACCGCGATGAGGCTACACTCGCCAGCTTCAAGAAGATCCGACTTGGCCGACCGCAAGACAGA